AAAGAGGGTTTAAAGGGTGTGTGTCTCTGTCACCCAATTGAACAATTCTGGGAGGTTCTGGAGCGGCACCGGAGACGGCGTTTTCCACCACCATCAACACATTTCTCGTGGAAGAATGATGTCGCATGCCTCCATAGAGTTCCAGACACTTGTAGGATCTATGCCAAGGCGCATTGAAGCTGTCCTGGCGGCTCGTGGTGGCCCAATGGCCTATTAAGACGCTTTATGTTGATGTTTCCTTTATTTTGGCAGTTACCTGTACATAAATAATTAGCCTACATCTCAAAGTGTAGCTTAGGTGATATGTCCACACCGATGTTGACATGAGGGAGGCATCAGAAAATGTTGCCAAACTTTAATTAGACTTTTAATTACATAAATATAGGACAAACTCCAGTCATGTTTGACAAATATAATGTAGGATCATTAACATTAACATCTAAATCCCTCTTTCTCTTTAATCATCCCTGTTTCTCTCTCTATTCATTCCTCTTTCGCTCCATGTCTCCCATCCCACCCATAGCATTATTAACCAAAGCTAGCAGAGCGGAAACCAAAGCCTACTGAAGGCACGGTTCATTCAGATCAAGCACAAGAGTGGAGAGAAAGGCCAGTGCCTGTAGCGCACCACGTATCACCCACCTTGCACCTCTGAGTGGAGGCAGTCAGCATTTTGAAACTATTTAACCATAAACTTAATTATTTAAACCCTGGAGGTTTTATGCCATTTTATGAGGCATGTCTTACCTTGTTTCAAAGTAGCCTAGCCAAAATCAGACCATAGAAATGGAGGGAATTATTTGATAAATACTTCCTTATCCCATAGCAGCTTTCTTTCATTGTCCAGCAGCCAAAGACACAATCCTAGTCATATTAGCAACCCATGCTAGTTGTTGCATCTTTAGATCTCCCCTCTTTCTAAATGTGTGGTGTGCGTTTTTAGTGTGTTACCGCTACTTGCATTCATCAACATTCGTGCAGAGCCTACTGCCGTGTGCACATTGCTGCACTTAAAACTGTACAGTGGTTGTATGAATTTTGGATCTGTCGTCCCAGAACTGTCCCAGAGTCTGTTTTGAACCGTCCCAGACATATATTTGTATCGTCCTGGGACGACGGGACACCCTTAATTTCGAGCCCTGTAGCTACGTCTCCTCAGTGAACAGCAAAGAGAGGGAGGAAGTGCACGCTGCTGAACTGTTAATGCAGGGCTGCTGCCTCTGGGGACCGGGCGCAAACAAAATAGTTTTTGGCGGCTGGTGGATCCAATCATAAAATGAGGAACAGGTGTTGTTTTCTATGTTTATAACATTACAATATAATATGAAGGTCTGACATGTAGGCTAGGTTATGTGTGTGTGTGTCTGTGTGGTATGAAGTTTAAGCCTTGTTTGAACTTGAAGGTCTCGTGCAGCTTAGTAGTATTTCCAACTTGAACTTGTTGGAATGTGACATTGCAGTGCTAGAATTCTACAGAGGTCCCATTTGTGCACTTTTCACACTACTGAACCGTGCTGGCCTGGTTACAATGCTGCAACTGTGTTGGGAAAGACAATCTGAAAATAAAATATCAAATCCAGCACAGTACGGTTTGGGTTCGAGACAGTGGGAAAAGGGTGCTAGTGTGTGTCTGTGTGTAAGTGTGTGGTAGGCTACAGTCATTCAGTTCACCACATCTACTGGACAGCTAGACACTCAAACAAGTCAGCTCTCTTCAAAACATGTATTTTATTGTGAAGTACTAACAGAGGATTTCACGCTGGCTATTTTTCCCAATATGACATCAATCGTTGCCAGGTTACCCACAGTGACACAGATTCCATCCCCACACTCTCTAAGAGTAGTGGTTCCCAACATGGTGTTCCTTGAGGAACTCTCAGGTGTGCCACAAAACTTTTCCTAATCTTGATTTATTTATTTATTGAACACTTAGTTAAAAGTGACCAGTGGAATGCACATGGGAGCACTAGTGCCGGTCAGATAATACACTAAACGGCACATGGTTACATCAGTCCAGTGTGCTCAGGCTGTTACATTTGTATTATTTGAGGGGCGTGCAATCACAAGCAAAGTCATTTGTATCATTTTACTTCGTCTGTGAAAACCATTAGCACAGGCAAGTTTGATTAGGCTTAGTCAGTCATTTCTTTCTTAATATATGGCTCTGGACTTAGCTATACCACAGCCTTTGCCATAGAACCATATGGAGCATGGCTTTGTGTCTGTGGTTCCACCTTTTACAATGCAGAAAACTGCTCATCTGTAGCCAAAACCATTCAAACCTATTTTACCTGAGCTACAGTTTCTTCTTTCTGGCGCAGGTTGCGAGACGCTCTTAAACGGGTGCACACAAAAATTAACCATCACGAGTAAGGAACTATCAAAACTATGAAAATGTTTCAAATAAACCCTATCTAATCTATAAAAAAAGGTTTTCACAGAAAATAAATGGTTTGCAGTATGGATCAGATGAGATGGAGGTCATTACCACTAAATAAATGAATAGGTCAATTTGAGGTCTGACGTTAATTTTATATCCCATCAAGGTGTGCCACGGTTAGAAAAAGGTTGGGAACCACTGTTCTACAGTCTAATGGAATGTTCTACAGTCTGTGGTGGGTTAGCCATCTCTCTCTCTCTTTCTGTTGTTTTTGTTTCCAACGAAAGAGTAACTAATCTTTACAGTTTCCTCCAACTCACACCGTTACTCAGTAATTTATCTCAGTGTATCTTTACATAAATTATTTGCTGGATAACATTTCTCAATACACATCCATTACACAAAACACGAAAAGCAAAACACAAACATATGAAACAAACACATTCTTCAGTAAAAAGGCCCTCTAACATTTACCTAAATTGCCCAAAGAGGCACCAACTTTAGGCACTTTTGGAGATCATTCCACATGAGGCGCAAAAAAACTAAAAGCAAATTTACCTAACTCGGTGGAGATCATATCCAATATCAGCTTTCTGTATAAACCAGAGGAGTCAGTTATATATCGGTGTGAGTGGTACTCAATCAATGCTAGCTGGTTTACTTATTGATCATACTAACAACACTGCTGCTTCCTGTTGAAGTACAACCCAGAGATGGGCTAACAACGGGTACATGATGAATGTGTCTTCAAACGGGACTAGATACAAACGGTTGTCTGAGTTCATCTCTCTTATTTTATAAGGCCAGGTTACAGCTGCACTATATATACAAAAGTATGTGGACAACCCTTCAAATTAGTGGATTCAGCTATTTCAGCCACACCCGTTGCTGACGGATGTATAAAATCGAGCACACAGCCATGCAATCTCCATAGACAAACACTGTCAGTAGAATGGCCTTATTGAAGAGCTCAGTGACTTTCAACATGGCACCATCATAGGATGCCACCTTTCCAACAAGTCAGTTCATCAAATTTTTGCTCTGCTAGAGCTGCCCCAGTCAACTGTAAGTGCTGTTATTGTGAAGTGGAAACATCTAGGAGCAACAACGGCTCAGCCGCGAAGTGTGTAGGCCACACAAGCTCACAGAACAGGACCACCGAGTGCTGAAGTGCGTACCACGTAAAAATCATCTGTTCCTCAGTTGCAACACTCACTACCGAGTTCCAAACTGCCTCTGGAAGCAACGTCAGCACAAGAACTGTTCGTCGGGAACTTAATGAAATTGGTTTCCATGGCCGAGCAGCCGCACACAAGCCTAAGATCACCATGCGCAATGCCAAGCGTCGGCAGGAGTGGTGTAAAGCTCGCCGCCATTGGACTCTGGAGCAGTGGAAACGCGTTCTCTGGAGTGATGAATCACGCTTCACCATCTAGCAGTCCCACAGACAAAGCTGGGTTTGGCGTATGCCAGGAGAACGCTACCTGCCCCAATGCATAGTGCCAACTGTAAAGTTTGGTGGAGGAAGAAAAATGGTCTGGGGCTGTTTTTCATGGTTCGGGTAGGCTCCTTAGTTCCAGTGAAGGGAAATCTTAATGCTACAACATACAATGACATTCTAGACGATTCTGTGCTTCCAACTTTGTGGCACAAAGCGAGGTCCATACAAAAATGGTTTGTCGAGATCGGTGTGGAAGAACTTGACTGGCCTGCACCGAGCCCTGATCTCAACCCCATCAAACACCTTTTGGGATGAATTGAAACGCAGACTGCGAGCCAGGCCTAATCGCTCAACATCAATGCCCGACCTCACTAATGCTCTTGTGGCTGAATGGAAGCAAGTCCGCGCAGCAATGTTCCAACATCTAGTGGAAAGCCTTCCCAGAAGAGTGGAGGCTGTTATATCGGCATATTAATGCTCATGATTTTGGAATGAGATGTTCGACGAGCAGGTGTCCACATACTTTTGTTCATGTAGTGTATCAAGTACTTATGTATATAATGTATGTATAATACTTATATTTTACTTCATACTCTAATGTGAAGATGTGTTTGTTGTTTCAGATGCCTTCCAGGATGTCAGATCTGCCAGCAGTTGGTGAGGTGAGTCTTTGGCCCTATTCGGATCTCCCAGACAGACATGAGCTCAGTCCATAGTGCCCCCAATGTATAGTACTGTATATAATACTTCACTGTATAGTACTGTATATAGTACTCCACTGTATAGTACTGTATATAGTACTCCACTGTATATAGTACTCCACTGTATATAGTACTGTACTACACCCCGGTCCTGTCAAGGAACCATTACCTTCCAGGCTTTGTGTGTCATGAGGAACACATCATCCCTCTGAGGTGACTGAGAGAGGGTGTATGGGAGAGCAGGACCTAGACTGCTCTGTGTATATCTCTCTTTATGGAAGTGTAGAGGGGGAAAGCTGATGATTCCTATGGGGCTATGACGTGTGTGTGTGTAAAATAATATTTAGCTCTCTGTCCCCCCCCACCCCCCTTCCTCTAGATGCTGCTGTGGTCGGCTGGTCCGGCAGCATGCTGGGTTTACAGCCAGCCTGGCCATGAAGTACTCGGACGTGAACTTGGGTGGGGGGGCAGAGGGTGGGGTGCAGCCGGAGTTGGAGGAGTGGGCTGTGGACAAACACACAGAGGAGAGCCCTACAGACGCTTACGGCATCGTTAACTTCCAGGGAGGGTCGCACTCTTACAGAGCCAAGGTAGGGTGGAGAGAAGCTTACACACTCAAGCGCACACACACACACACACACACACACACACTCACAGAGACTGACACTCCCTAAGCGCTTAACCCAACAATCCAAAACAGTGTCTAAGTCACATTGTGTCTATGGCCATCACCCCAAATGTATACAGTATAAGACATCCTTTGACCTGGCCTGGCTTAGCATTCTGGAAACTCTTCAGTGCCCTGAGCTGAGCAGCCTAGCCTGTCTAGCCTTCCTCGATAGCCAGTGGCTTCATCCCAAATGGCATCCTATTCCCTATATAGTGCCCTACTTTTGACCATAGCCTATTGGGCTCTGGTCAAAAGTAGTGCACTATGTAGGTAAAAGGGTGCCATTTGGGACGTAGACAACTATACCACCTAGGAAAACACTTTTACCTCAGACTAACTTACTTACTTAGGCCTTTGTATAAACATAGGTAATGTTTCTGATGAGTCAACTACATTTTACATTTTCTTTTTTACATTTTAGTAATTTAGCAGACGCTCTTATCCAGAGCGACTTACAGTTAGTGAGTGCGTGCATACATTTTCATAATGGCCCCCTGTGGGAAACGAACCCACAACCGTGGCGTTGCAAGCGCCATGCTCTACCAACTGAGCTACAGGGGACCTACATCCTTTTCAGACTAAACTAAGTGTTTATTGTTGTGGTTATTCTACATGAAGGAGGTGAATATAATCACATAACGCCATTTAATCTAATATTTTAGAAACAGCAGTGACTATAATACGAGGAAATCCCCCTCTTAAAACTACAGGTTTATTATGCCTTGGAGCAAGTGAAGGGGTTGGGTGGCTGTGAGACTGAGGATATCCTTTACTGTACTGTACATTCCGCTTTCCATGGCCCAGATTAACACATTTAATGGAGAATCTGTATCAAGCATGTCCATGTAGGTTCGGGAAATCGGCCCTCAAAGACCCAAGAATTGACATTGCAACATCATTAATAATAATGTTGCGCTCAGGGTTCAAACTTAAAATTAAAGCTGGGCGTCTTTTGAAAGGACTACAACATTTTGTTTGTACATGAGAAGTTCTAACCATCCAATTTCTCCTTTCGGCTCCGCTCTCTCCTCTCCTCTCCTCTCCTCTCCTCTCCTCTCCTCTCCTCTCCTCTCCTCTCCTCTCCTCTCCTCCTCTCCTCTCCTCTCCTCTCCTCTCCTCTCCTCTCCTCTCCTCTCCTCTCCTCTCCTCTCCTGTCCCCAGTATGTGCGTCTGTCCCATGACAGCAGGCCAGAGAGCATCCTGAGGCTGATGCTGAATGAGTGGCAGATGGAGCTTCCTAAGATCCTCATCTCTGTCCACGGAGGCATCCAGAACTTTGACCTGCACCCCCGTATCAAACAGGTGGTGGGGAAGGGCCTGATCAAAGCTGCTGTCACCACTGGGGCGTGGATACTGACGGGAGGGGTTAACACAGGTGACACACATACACATTTGCATAGAAAAACGCACATACGCTAGCACACACGTGCACACAGATTTGCGCAAACTCTCTCACACACTGACACACACACACACACACTGCTATTACAGTTATTGTTCTTATTAAGCAAAAGGCACACAAGTCGGGTGTTCTGTCTTAGCAGAGTACTACTGGGACCTAAAGACTGTGTTTAACTCATTATGGAGACCTAATGATCATGTTTGACTCATTACTTAATGACAGTGTTTAACTGATTACTTACTGTAGTGGGTTAATTAACCAGGCTGGTGTTTACTCTGACTGGTCCTGATAGTGACACTCCACTGCAGCAAACTGGCTATCCAGACAACTACACTTGTAACTAGTCTGTTTGGATACATTGCTTGTTGTTGATTGGTTGTATTTGAACCCCTGACCTCCAGGTGTTGCCAAACATGTGGGTGATGCACTGAAGGAACACTGTTCTAGATCGTCAAGGAAGATCTGTACAATTGGAGTCGCTCCCTGGGGCGTCATTGAGAACCGCAATGACCTCATCGGGAGAGACGTAAGGAACACACAAGTTTGTTTTACTATCCTTGTGGGGACCAAACAATTGATTTAAAATCCTATTTTCACTAACCTTAACCCCTAAACCTAACTCCTAACCCTAAAATAGCCTTTTTCCTTGTGGGGATCGGCGAAATGTCGTTTTCCTTGTTTGACTATCCTTGTGAGGACTTCTGGTCCCCACAAGGATAGTAAAACCCAAAAACCCCACACACAAACAAGCACATCACAATACTTACATACCCAGTATTTATTTTTCAAGTGGTCAAAAATATCTGCTGTCCAGTCAGAATAGTGTGTGTGTGTGTCCCAGGTTGTAGCCCCCTACCAGACATTGCTGAACCCCCTGTCCAAGCTAAACGTGTTGAACAACCTCCACTCCCACTTCCTGCTGGTGGATGATGGGACCGTGGGGAAGTATGGAGCAGAGGTCGAACTACGCCGCCAGCTGGAAAAACACATCAAACTGCAGAGGATACACGCACGTAAGCGACACACACACACACACACACACACACACACACACACACACACACACACACACACACACACACACAATAAATACATTGACCTGCAGAGGATACTTTAGCAATAAGGCATGAGAATCGTGGATTATCGTGAATAACACACCATTTTGGTCTGTTCTTACGCACAACGGGAAGCGGAGTGCCGGTAAACAATACTTGAGTGTGTTATTCATGATAATCCACAGGTTGGAGTGTGTTATTCATGATAATCCACAGGTTTGAGTGCCTTATTGCTTTTATAAAACGATTACTAACATATTTTTAAAAAAGATTAACAACATGTTTTCATTTTAACAGTAAATTCATTTGATTTCATCCTTCCACCCAACAATATAGTCTGGTCAAACCCCAGTTGTGAGTTCTATTTCTGAGGTTGCTTGCCAAAAGCACTGGTTGTTTGTTTTATTGGCACATTAGCTAGCCAAGCGGACTGGTCGCCAGTTCTAATTGCTAAGGGTTACTATGCCGGCTAGCTATTTTTCCTTTGCTAGCTAAGCAACTAAAGCTAACACAATCCCATCAAGCAGCTGGAATGACAGCAAACTAGCTCAATTTCTGTTTTTCACCTTTGTTTATTGCCATTTCTTTGGATATTTCCATAATAATAATGCTGATGCATGAACAGGGCCCGCCCCGCCCATTAGGCAGGATTAGGTGGCTGACAACGGCGGCATTTTCTGAGCTAAACGTATCTCGCCCAATGGCATATGGGCTATTTAGGTGAGTGCTGATGCCAACCCATGATAAGCAGTGCCCACTTTGGCAAAGCCAGGGGCGCAAAATATTTATCTTGTCCATGCCCAGCATGCCTCTCCAGAGTGCTGTTGAAGATCAGCAGCGCTGCGTTGCTTCACCAACACTCAAGTCACCTATCATAAATAATGTAGTCTATAGGAGACTAGTAACCTATGTGGTTTTTCTGTAGCCTACAGACTGGAGACCATATTTATGACAATGTTATGAGACAGACACTTTTGGCACGTGTCTCCGACCACATACCCCTATTAAATAAAAATGCACTTCCATATCCTAAAACCAGGACAGGTCAAAATAAAATGGACAATATGGAATTAAATTAGGCTACTCCCGTCTGCTGCGGGAGTTTCACGCCGTGGGCTAAATTGTCATGAATCAATGATTTCAATTGTAGGCCTATTTGTCAATTTTTTACGAGCTGATCATAGCGAAGAAGAAAACACGTCTGCATTTACCGCTGTGTAAACACATTGATTCTCACTGAAAATAGGCTCATAACCGCTGTGTAAACACATTGATTCTCACTGAAAATAGGCTCATAACCGCTGTGTAAACACATTGATTCTCACTGAAAATAGGCTCATAACCGCTGTGTAAACACATTGATTCTCACTGAAAATAGGCTCATAACCGCTGTGTAAACACATTGATTCTCACTGAAAATAGGCTCATAACCGCTGTGTAAACACATTGATTCTCACTGAAAATAGGCTCATAACCGCTGTGTAAACACATTGATTCTCACTGAAAATAGGCTCATAACCGCTGTGTAAACACATTGATTCTCACTGAAAATAGGCTCATAACCGCTGTGTAAACACATTGATTCTCACTGAAAATAGGCTCATAACCGCTGTGTAAACACATTGATTCTCACTGAAAATAGGCTCATAACCGCTGTGTAAACACATTGATTCTCACTGAAAATAGGCTCATAACTCCTGATGAACTTGTGTATCTCTCATGCAGATCTTAAATAGACAAAATGATGAGTCTTAAGCCTTGGTCGGGAATCAGGTCTAGGCTAATAAAGCCAATGCAAACGGTAGGACACGGATGGGCAGTCATAAAATTGCATTGCGGCCCGTCACTGTAGGCTACACTATTCTAGTTTTTCTCGCCTAGGGTGGAAGAACGGCCAGGACTAGGCCTGCATGAATTCGCCTGGCTCAGAGAAGCTGTCTGTCTCGTCCGAACACGTTCATTCTCATTTTGCACGCTGAAGGTTGCATTCCAACATTGTTGCAGAGATCGGAGAGGCAGACTGCAAGGTTTAGACAAACCCCCACTGTTACAAACCAAATGCTAGGCTAGAAACATGGGGGAAATAATGTCTAGATGCTTTGTCCAGTAGAGATAACGTTTTGGAATTGCCTGGCTGGGCTGTGGGACAGTGAATGCACGGTGATAATTCAAATAGCACTGTTAACAGGCATTACCCGTGGATTATTGTAAATAACTAACGACTATCAACCAATTAGCATCCAGGATCTAAACGTAACGTTTTATTATTATTATTTTCGCCACAGGCATCTTCTGTGGCTGTGTGTTGAGAGTACTTTGACACCTGAAGGCAATGTCTAAGAATTACGATCCGGTCCAAAATGATTGGCACCCTTGATAAAGATGAGCAAAAAATGTATATCAGTAAGTGTCTCCTACCGTAGTTGCTGTATCTCCCCTGGCCTGTTCTGTCTCTGTGTGGTGGTTCTAAGTGCCAGTGTGTGACAGAAGTAGTTTACCAGAGACCGGCTATTATCACAGTAACCTTAGATACCCTATTATTATAATATCCTAGGCAGACACCCATACAGTATGTACACCCAGTGTAGAAAGCCTCTGTTATTATGGTGTGGCAGTCCGATGACCTGCTGAAACACCCTCTTATAATGGTGGTTTAAGACCTGTGACATGTCTCTCTCAATTAACCATTTACTGCTTTCCTGTTGTCATCACAAACAGAGACCGATAGAATACAGGATCTACAGTAGATGAACATACAATGTTGATATTTGAGACGTTTCCAATGTTCTTCTACAGCATATTTAGTGATCTTCTGACTCTCTCTCTCTCTCTGTCTCTGTCTCTCTCTGTCTCGATCTCTCTGTATCTCTCTGTCTCTCTCAATCTCTCCCTCCCTCCCTCCCAGGAATTGGTCAGGGTGTTCCTGTGGTAGCGTTGATATTTGAAGGGGGTCCCAACGTAATTCTGACGGTGTTGGAGTACCTTCAGGAGACTCCCCCTGTCCCTGTGGTGGTCTGTGAGGGGACTGGCCGCGCTGCTGACATACTGGCCTACGTCCACAAACAGACTGAGGAAGGGGGGTGAGACACACACATTCCTCCAACCCATTGACCCACATATAATGGGCTTCCACAAGGTTCTGTGCTAGGACCGTTACTTAGAGGATGGATGGTAACATAACTTCCTTTAACCCTTCAGGGGTCTACCTGATGGTGTGGATACGGAAATCATCGCTACGATCAAAAAGACGTTCAACTTCAGCCACAGCGATGCGATCCACCTCTTCCAGACCCTTGTGGAATGTATGAAGAGCAAAGAACTGGTAAACACACAGTTAACTCACAGTTAATACATGGAACTCTATTCCACATCAGGTAACTGATGCAAGCAGTAGAATCAGATTAAAAAAACTAATAAAAATACACCTTATGGAACAGCGGAGACTGTGAAGAGACACACGCACAGACACATGATAAGACCCACTCTACACACACGTACACATGGATGTTGTATTGTAAATATGTGATAGTGGAGTAGTGGCCTGAGGGAGCACACTAAATGTATTGGGTGAAGTGTTATGAAATGTAATGTAATATTTCAAATGGCATATAACTGTCTTAATGTTGCTGGACCCCAGGAAGAGTAGCTGCTGCCTTGGCAACGGCTAATGGGGATCCTTAATAAATACAAATACTTAATTAATTTTAAGAGAATGCTGAATCCTACAATGCATACTGTGTCCTCTGTTCATAGTCTGATCATGATCAATATAAAGATACGGATTAAAAGAATAACGCTTATCATTTTTCCTAAATACCAGAATGTAATGCATTACTTACGATGAATGACTGCCTGTTTTCTCTCTCTTTCTGTCTTCCCTCTGAATGACAGATCACTGTGTTTCATATTGGCTCTGAGGACCACCAGGATATCGATGTGGCCATACTGAGGGCATTACTGAAAGGTGTGTGTGCGAAGCGTGTGTGTGTTTGAAGCGTGTGTGTGATGGGTAACTCCATCGCAGTGTCCTGCTGTTTGACTGACAGAAGATCTGTGCCCATGACTCCTCTCTGACCTCTGACCTCCTAGAGAAAGGGAGAAGGCAAATGAAAAGACCATAATAATAACAAAAAGAGAAGGGCGAGACAGTGGGTTGTGTAGCAAAAGTTTTCATTTGTATGTTTTCATTTTGAAACTGATACTATAGAGATGTTTTGAGAAGTCATCACTCTCTTCCCTCCCTGTCTAAATCTCTCTCTCGTCATGCTCTCTCTCTCTCTCTCTCTCTCGTCCTCTTTCTCGTCCTTCTCTCTCTCTCTCTCTGGTCCTGCGCTCTCTCTCGCTCTCTCTCTTGATCTCTTTTGGGGTTTCCCTGTGGGTCTCGGAGGGGCTTATTGCTAGGTACTCTGAGGCCCCATTCTCACAACACATAAAGCTTTCCTCTTCTCACTTTTCTCCGTTCTATTCTATCCATTCTGGCTCTAAGACAGAGGGCAAGAGAGAGCTCTGAAAGGATAGGTACTCACCTGTTTTGCTAAAACATGAATGAGTCTGTCCTGGTGTAGTCAGTAGTTGTGTGTGCATGTTTGCCTATCTGTTAGTGGTCTTCCATCTAGATAGAACTGCCAAAGGGGGTGGAGTTGCAATCTACTGTAGAGATAGCCTGCACAGCTCTATCATACTATCCAGGTCTGTGTCCAAACAGTTTGAGCTTCTACTTCTAAAAATCCACCTTTCCAGAAATAAGTCTCTCACTGTTGCCGCTTGCTACAGACCCCCCTCAGCCCCCAGCTGTGCCCTGGACACCATATGTGAATTGATTGCCCCCCATCTATCCTCAGAGTTCGTATTGCTTGGTGACCTAAACTGGGATATGCTTAACACCCCGGCCGTCCTACAAACTAAACTAGATGCCCTCAATCTCATACAAATGATCAAGGAACCTACCAGGTACAATCCTAAATCCGTTAACATGGGCACCCTCATAGATATCATCCTGACTAATTTACCCTCTAAAACCAGGATCTCAGCGATCACTGCCTTATTGCCTGCGTCCGTAACGGGTCCGCGGTCAAACGACCACCCCTCATCACTGTCAAACGCTCCCTAAAACACTTAAACGAGCAGGCCTTTCTAATTGACCTGGCCCGGGTATCCTGGATGGATATTGACCTCATTCCGTCAGTAGAGGATGCCTGGTTGTTCTTTCAAAGTGCTTTCCTCTCCATCTTAAATAAGCATGCCCCATTCAAAAAATTCAGAACTAAGAACAGATATAGCCCCTGGTTCACCCCAGACTTGACTGCCCTTGACCAGCACAAAAACATCCTGTGGTGTACTGCATTAGCATTGAACAGCCCCCGCGATATGCAACTTTTCAGGGAAGTCAGGAACCAATATACACAATCAGTTAGGAAAGCAAAGGCTAGCTTTTTCAAACAGAAATTTGCATCCTGTAGCACTAACTCCAAAACGTTTTGGGACACTGTAAAGTCCATGGAGAATAAGAGCACCTCCTCCCAGCTGCCCACTGCACTGAGGCTAGGAAACACTGTCCTCTGTAGCTCGATTGGTAGAGCATGGCGCTTGTAATGCCAGGGTAGTGGGTTCGATCCCCGGGACCACCCATACGTAAAAATGTATGCACACATGACTGTAAGTCGCTTTGGATAAAAGCGTCTGCTAAATAGCATATTATATTATACTACCAATAAATATACGATAATCGAAAATTTCAACAAGCATTTTGCTACGGCTGGCTGCTTTCCACCTGGCTACTCCTACCCCGATCACCAGCTCTGCACCCTCCACTGCAACTTGCCCATGCCCCCCCTGCTTCTCCTTCACCCAAGTTAACAAACAGATCACCGACCATTTCGAATCCCACCGTACCTTCTCCGCCATGCAATCTGGTTTCTGAGCTGGTCTTGGGTGCACCTCAGCCACGCTCAAGGTCCTAAACGATATTATAACCGCGATCGATAAAAGACAGTACTGTGCAGCCCTCTTCATTGACCTTGCCAAGGCTTTCGACTCCGTCAATCACCGCATTCTTATTGGTAGACTAAATAGCCTTGGTTTCTCAAATGACTGCCTCACCTGGTTCACCAACTACTTCTCAGATAGAGTTCAATGTGTCAAATCGGAGTGCCTGTTGTCTGGACCTCTGGCAGTCTCTATGGGGGTGCCACAGGGTTCAATTCTCGGGCCGACTCTATTCTCTTTGTATATCAATGATGTCGCTCTTGCTGCTGGTGACTCTCAGATCCACCTCTACGCACACGACACCATTTTGTATACATCTGGCCCTTCATTGGACACTGTGTTAACAAACCTCCAAACGAGCTTCAATGCCATACAGCACTCCTTCTGTAGCCTCCAACTTCTCTTAAATGCTAGTAAAACTAAATGCATGCTCTTCAATCGAACGCTGCTTGCACCCGCCCGCCCGACTAGAATCACTACTCTCGGCGGGTCTGACTTAGAATATGTGGACAACTACAAATACCTTGGTGTCTGGTTAGACCGTAAACTCTCCTTCCAGACTCACATTGAGCATCTCCAATCCAAAGTTAAATCTAGAATCGGCATCCTATTTCGCAACAAAGCCTCCTTCACTAATGCTGCCAAACATGCCCTGATTATCCTACCGATCCTTGACTTCGGCGATGTCATTTAAAAAATACCCTCCAACACTCTACTCAGCAAATTGGATGTAGTCTATCACAGTGCCATCCGCTTTGTCACCAAAGCCCCATATACTACCCACCATTGTGACCTGTACGCTCTCGTTGGCTGGCCCTCACTACATATTCGTCGCCAAACCCACTGGCTCCAGGTCATCTATAAATCACTGCTAGGCAAATCCCCGCCTTATCTTAGCTCATTGGTCACCATAGCAACACCCACCTGTAGTCTGCGCACCAGCAGGTATATCTCACTGGTCATCCCCAAAGCCAACACCTCCTTTGGCCGCCATTCCTTCCAGTTCTCTGCTGCCAATGACTGGAACTGCAAAAATCTCTGAAGCTGGAGACTCTTATCTCCCTCACTAACTTTAAGCATCAGTTGTCAGAGCAGCTTACCGATCACTGCACCTGTTCACAGCCCATCTGTAATTAGCCCACCCAACCACCTCATCCCCATATTGTTATTTATTTTGCTCATTTGGACCCCAGTATCTCTATTTGCACACCATCTTCTGCACATCTATCATTCCAGTGTTAATACTAAATTGTAATTATTTTGCACTATAGCCTATTTATTGCCTTACCTCCATAACTTGCTACATTTGCACACACTGTATATAGACTTTCTATTGTGTTATTGACTGTACGTTGTGTTTACCCCATATGTAACTCTGTGGTGTTGTTTTTATCGCACTGCTTTGCTTTATCTTGGACAGGTCGCAGTTGTAAATGAGAACTTGTTCTCAACTGGCTTACCTGGTTAAATAAAGGTGAAATAAATAAATAAAAAATGAAATAAGTAGATCAGACAAAGGTAGGAATGTGTTCCTGGTCCGCCCTGCCCAGCGTTTCTACCAGCTATGTAGATCGTCTTTGATCCCGTAGTATAGGTCCCCAGTAGCTCAGTTGGTAGAGCATGGCGCTTGCAACGCCAGCGTTGTGGGTTCGTTTCCCACGTGGGGCCAGTATGAAAATGTATGCACTAACTAACTGTAAGTCACTCTGGATAAGAGCGTCTGCTAAATGACTAAAATGTAGAGGAACCAGTCCAGTCAGTCTAGAGTTCAGGACATTCTGACTGAACATAATAGATCCCTAGCCAGCAGGAAAATACAAGCCTGTCAAACCAGTATTAGTCCTGGTCAACCAGTAACACATCCTCAATAGGAGGCCTCCAATAGCTCATTAGACCCTAAATGATACATACACAAGCATATAGAAATACCTTTAAAATAGCTGTCCAGTGTTTCCAGATTTCTATGAAATATGACCTATAATGAATTACAACATGAGTGAAATAGTTTTACTTCCAAAAATGGTAATTAAGTATGTATGTTAAAAAGCAGCTTGTCTGTGTTTGAATGGTGTGGGCTTACTGCAACAACAGAATGGTGTGGGCTTACTGCAACAACAGAATGGTGTGGGCTTACTGCAACAACAGAATGGTGTGGGCTTACTGCAACAACAGAATGGTGTGGGCTTACTGCAACAACAGAATGGTGTGGGCTTACTGCAACAACAGAATGGTGTGGGCTTACTGCAACAACAGAATGGTGTGGGCTTACTGCAACAACAGAATGGTGTGGGTGTAAATGGCTGATCAGCCAATCAGCCACCTCGTGATAATGAGAAGTCTCCTCTATGAGGAAATATGAGACGTCTCCTCTATGAGGAAATATGAGACGTCTCCTCTGAGGAAATGGCAAGCATTTTTGAAACGGTCTGTTTGAGATACAACTTTGAGGTGGGGTTTTTGAAGTGTTTTTTTCCTGTAATTTATGCTTTGGCCACAAATATGAGTATAGGACAAGTCAACAACATTGTTTGGGTTTGCGTTAACAGATTATGAGCCATTAAAAGTGAGATTTTCACTGGACAGTTACTTTAAGATTTCCTCCATAAACATATCAGATGAACCGTAAGGTTACAGAGACATGTTTGTAAATATGGAAATGTACCTCCTCCCACATCAGGACTTACATCCTGAAAATACAACTTGAACTTTAAATCCTGTAGGAAATTCTCTCTCCATGGTAGTTGTATTTGACTGTGTATTAGTATGCACTATATATATTTTTTTTAATAAGGTACACTAAACAGGTACACATAGACAGAGAATCAAGTGACAAGGCCAAACAAGTTCCCTTCCCATCCACAGGACTTCCCCAACCCAAAGTTAGATTAGTGGTTCACAATAGCAGTCTTTTTACAGAGTCATACATTTGATGAAAGAGCAAATATGTTTATTTTTCTCGCCCCATGCATGAGTCCTACATATATTTCCATGTTTTTAATGTCCATGAATGATAGCAGCCACTGCTGTCTGCTTAAAGAATGAGGAGCCTGCCAACGTGATACTATCATTCTTTGGTCTGCTGTCAAGCCAGCCAAATAGGTCTAAAGTAGTGTCTTCATTTAACAATAAAATAGATGGGGAACATGGTACATTTCTACCCATTATGTCAGAAAGACAGGATGAAACACAACTTGAGAAATGTAAAGCGCCTGGGCACTCCCAAATCATATAATAGAAACTATCAGGAGCCCACTGAGGGCACAGAGAGCAACTTGGGGATTGTCTAGCTTTCATGCAGTAGAATCCTAACTTCAAATTGGTGTGTAACTCTGACCTCATGCATGGATTTATATGGACGATTAGTGTTGGATGTTAGGATATGGTCCTGTGTAAACCGGAGTGATTAGTATGGTATTGAATCTGTATTATTCTGTATGGTTGTTTCTGTAGTCCGTCCTCCCCCTAGCCCTGTTATCTTAATCCTGCTGCTAAGTCAACAGGAAACACTGCATTAATGGTAATGTTTGTGTTTTGCGTGTGTGTTGTTTGTATGCTGTGCATGTGTGTGTGCTTACGCTGCTGCTACTCTGTTTATTATATATCCTGATTGCCTAGTCACTTTTACCCTTACCCACATGTACATACTGTATTACATCAATTACCTCAACTACCTCGTACCCGGCACAGGTACTCCTTCTATATAGCCTAATTATTGTTTTTATTGTGTTACTATTTCCTTTTTTATTTAGCAAATATTTGTCTTACTTTTTAACTTTGCATTGTTGTGACCAATAACATTTGATTCGTGTTCTACTCCTCCAGGCACCAATGAGTCTGCGTTTGACCAGCTGGTTCTGACTCTGGCCTGGGACCGGGTGGACATCGCCAAGAACCATGTGTTCGTCTATGGACAACAGCTACTGGTACGTCTGTCTGTGTGGCTGGCTGGCTGGCTCTCTCTGTCTGTGTGGCTGGCTAGCTGGCTGGCTGGCTGGCTGGCTGTCTCTCTCGTGTCTCTGTCTCTGGCTGGCTGGCTGGCTAGTTGTCTGTCTGTCAAGACTGCATCTATTATGAATGTGCTGTTCACCAGTATCAGCCTAAATGAAAACCTTTAATTTAAACCCCAAATATCTCCTAAGCTAGCCACTCCAGAGTCAGTGGTCCTATATGACCCAAGGGACAGGCTACAGGAAGGCTGCCAGTAGACTGTTTATTTTGACTAATCTGAACTGGTCTGGTATATTTATTCAGGATATAGAAACGTCCAGTCACTTGTTAGTGCAGTCAATGTTGGATCCTTGTTGAGGTGTGTGTGTGTGTGTGTGTGTGTGTGTGTGTGTGTGTGTGTGTGTGCGGGCGCAGGTGGGTTCGTTGGAGCAGGCCATGCTGGATGCCTTAGTGATGGACCGTGTGGAGTTTGTAAAGCTCCTGATTGAGAATGGAGTCAGCATGCACAGGTTCCTTACCATCACACGACTGGAGGAGCTATACAACACGGTAACACACATACACACACACACACACAGCTCACCAATTTCACACACATACACATAATGATGCTCCACAGGGCTCTATGCTGGTACCATTACTGTTCTCATCACACGTGCAACCTCTCGAATCTAACGTTTGATTTGTATTCTGTCAAAATCATTTCTAAATGGTCTGTTTGTCCATGGTCCTGCTGGGCATCGTGTTTTTATCTGTGTCTTTTCTGTTCCAGAAACAGTCCCCTACCAATCCAACGCTCTTCAACCTTGTAAGGGATGTCAAACAGGTACACCTTTGACTTCCTGTCAACCATTGATTGTCAATAAAGTTTTTATTAAATTGAACAATAGTAATTGATGATGATGGTGTTGTTGATTAGATTAGTATGGCTCACTATGACTCTTATTATGATTCTTTCCAGGGTAATCTCCCCCCTAACTACAAGATGACGTTAATTGACATTGGCCTGGTGATAGAGTTCCTGATGGGCGGGACTTACAGGTGCAACTACACCAGGAAACGCTTCAGGATCATCTACAACAATCTCCACGGCAACAGCAGGGTAAGGGTTAACGGTTAGTGTTAAGGGTTGAAGATTACAGGTTAAAAGGTGAGGTCGCTTCAGGGTCAAGGGATAAACTAATTTTGATTTTGATCTTCCGGTTTCACTGATTGATTCACTTAGAGTAATGGTGAAGGTAAACTTTTCTCTATCTCTTTCTCTCGGTCTCGCTCCCTCCCTCACTCCCTCCTCTCTCTCCAGAGGTCAGGTCGCCACTCTGCGGGGCCTGGGTCCCACCTGAGGAAGAGCCAAGAGTCGTTCAGTATCCAGGCCGACAAGAAGGAAAAGACCAGGCACAACCACTTCATCAAGACTGCACAGCCATACAAACCCAAGGTACACACACACACACAACACGGAGAGTCGTTTGAGAACACACTGGCTACGCCGATGACTGAGCTGTACCGTGCTATAAGGCTAGCAAGCATTAAAAATTACACCTCAATGGAAGAGAAGGTGAAGTAACTGAAGGAATGGGTGGCAGGTATCAACATGCTTCTTAATGTAAAAAAAATAGTATTTTTAACTAAGAATTTGCTATTCCAAAAATCCTCCCCAACCAGCTCCACTAATCCTGGGTTGACAGGCTGTTCCAGTTGTAACAAGCACAAAATACCATGGCTTCCACTTGGACAACTAACTCAGTGGGGAGTAGGGACCAACACATTGACCAGGCAGTGAAAAACGCTTCAAAGCGTCTCTATTTCATGACTGTGACTTGTGTGATGGCAAGGAACGGCCTGTCCACTGATGACCTTGTGGAGATCTACACCACTGTAATCCGACCATGCCTGGAGTATGCCAGTGTGTTGCTGGTGGGCTGCACAAAGAAGCAGCAAGATGCACTGGACAGGTTAGAGAAAAGGGCAAGCAAGATAATAACAAAAAAACCGAGACATCCCACTGACCCTTCCACCACTACAGTCATGGAGAGAGCAAGCAGCAGTAAGATTGGTCGTTGACATGCACCAACCTGACCACCGTCTACAGGATCTCCTACCACAGAGAATGGGAGATTACTGGCAGAGTACTCCGCAACCAGAACCAACTGTCCAGCATCAACGCAAGGACAAATAGGCTGAACATTTCTAATCAGACTTTTTAATAACAAAATGTGACTTTTTAAACTGTAATTTCTTGTAAGATAGGACCTTTTTAATTTAATGTAGTATTTTGTGTTTTTGAAGTATTGTCTAAATGTAACTGTGCATTCTGCATTACTCTTGTTGACTGCGAGCATGAATTAAATCAATCAATCAAATCAATACAAATCCAAGGTACACACATACACACGATCAGTCATACAAACCCACGCCACAGAACTGAGCCATCAGATTACATTAAACTCCCCCTCTCGACACCCACCCCTCTCCCTCTTAGTTGGAGTCGGCGACAGACCAGTCCAAGAAAAAAGCCAAGGAGGAGATAGTTGACATCGACGACCCGGAGACGCGCAGGTTCCCGTACCCGTTCAACGAACTGCTGATGTGGGCCGTCCTGATGAATAGGCAGAAGATGTCTCTGTTCTTCTGGAAGCATGGGGAGGAAAGCATGGCCAAGGCCCTGGTGGCCTGTAAACTCTGTCGCTCCATGGGCTATGAGGCCAAGAAGAGTGACGTGGTCGACGACACCTCTGAGGAACTCAAGGACTACTCAAAGTATGTATGACACATTACACACCAAATAACTATGACACTTCAATCCTCACTAATTCTCAGAGTATAATATGTGACAGATGACATACTAATACTTTGAGTACTCCAAGTATGACGCATTACTACTAGTAGTCACTAAAACGTAGTCACTAATACTCAAGGCTACTTGAAGTATGAGTATTACTGAGTATTAGTATGTAATGTGTCAGACTATTATTGTGAGTGAGGTGCTGACAATGAGGTGCTGTGTTGCAGTGACTGATGATGATGTTTATGATGGTGTTTTTAATGAGTTTGATACCCTGTTATGCGTGTCATGTTTGCAGTGATGATGATGATGATGTCTGGAGTAATGTAGATATTATTATTTTATAGTGAATTTGGCACTCTAGCAGTGGACCTCCTGGAACAGTCGTTCAGACAGGATGAAACCATGGCGATGAAGCTGCTGACCTACGAACTGAAGAACTGGAGTAACAGCACCTGTCTGAAGCTGGCAGTGTCGTCACGGTTACGACCCTTCGTGGCTCACACCTGTACCCAGCTGCTGCTGTCAGACATGTGGATGGGACAACTCAACATGAGGAAGAACTCCTGGTACAAGGTGACACTGCCCAGCAATGCAGTGTATACACACACACACACACACACACACATAATGGTGTTCTACAGGGCTCTGTGCTTAGACGGTTATTATAGATGTATTATGTTTTTTTCTCATTTTTTTCTCATTCTCATTTTCCTGGTCCCTCCTGAGTAAACATAAATAAAAATATATAATAAATACATATAAAAACGAAATATAATCTGAATATAATAATCTATATATTTCTAGGTGATCCTCAGTATCCTGGTGCCTCCTGCCATCCTCCTGTTGGAGTTCAAGACAAAGGCAGAGATGTCCCACATCCCTCAGAGTCAGGACGCCCATCAAATGACCATGGAGGATAGCGAACACAACTTCCATAACACCACCGACAACATACAGATGGTCAGAATCAATATGACAGAGTTCATCACATCTGTTATCTTAGTTTATGTTGTATTTTCTTATCTTACTGTGTCTGTTCTGGCATGTACACTGGTGCTACTGGTATTCTGATGGTCCTGGTATTTAACTATGAGGGGTAGCTATGATGGTCCTGGGGCTTAGCTATGAGGGGTAGCTATGATGGTCCTGGGGATTTAGCTGTGAGGGGTAACTATGATGGTCCTGGGGATTTAGCTGTGAGGGGTAGCTATGATGGTCCTGGGGATTTAGCTCTGAGGGGTAGCTATGATGGTCCTGGGGATTTAGCTGTGAGGGGTAGCTATGATGGTCCTGGGGATTTAGCTGTGAGGGGTAGCTATGATGGTCCTGGGGTTTAGCTATGAGGGGTAGCTATGATGGTCCTGGGGATTTAGCTGTGAGGGGTAGCTATGATGGTCCTGGGGATTTAGCTCGGAGGGGTAGCTATGATGGTCCTGGGGATTTAGCTGTGAGGGGTAGCTATGATGGTCCTGGAATTTAGCTATGAGGGGTAGTTATATGAGAGAGAGGGTTGGACTGCAGTTCTCGCTTAATTGATGGTTTCTTAATTTCTGGTGCTGTAGTCTTTTCAGTCTACATGTATATACATGGACATATACACATACATATACATATGCGTACATGTCTATACAGTCTATTAAACATGCGTTATTAAACATGATTCTTCTCCAGGACGTGTTCAAGGAGGCGAAGGCGGATGACAACGTGGAGGTGAAGGATGAGGCGGAGACACAGGTCCGCTCCCGAAGACTTCCTCTAACCAGGAAGTTCTACGCCTTCTACCACGCCCCCATCGTCAAGTTCTGGTTCAACACGGTATGAAACCCTAGCCGCTAGACCAGGGTTCTTCAATTCCGGTCCTGGAGGGCCGAAACACTTCTGTTTTTCATTTCTACCTGGTAGTTAATTGCACTCACCTGGTGTCCCAGGTCTGAATTAGCCCCTGATTAGAAGGAGAGGATGAAAAACAGAGGTGTTTCGGCCCTCCAGGACCGGAATTGAAGAACCCTGCGCTAGACCCTACTTCTACCCCCTCCATGTGAACTGACCAGCAGAAACTCTGGGCCCTACTATGTTTAATGGTACAGCAGAGTTCTGACCATCATGGTTCTCCCTGTGGAGCAGCTAAACAGCTTGAATGGAAGGGATGTTTCCTTTCTCCTCATGGGATATTTCCTGTATCCTGTCCTGTGTGTGTGTGTGTGGATGAGTTCGTTTTGCATCGCTCGGTGTCCCGGGTGGGTGGAGATTTCCCTTTAGAACCAATGTAATGTAATGGTCTGAAAATAAGCTAAACTCGTCCAGTGTGTGTACTCTGAGACCAGAGAGGGCTGACATGAAACGTGTTCGTGTTGAGAGGACAGAGGGAGGCTGGGGCGTGTGTGTACTTTTCCAGAGCTCTACCTCCCACCCCCTGCATACTTCTCACACACACACACACACACGTACCCTCAGGTGGTTTTCCAGATGCCCTGGCCTCATTTACATGTCCTGATAGCATCAGTAGAACAGGCCTTAACATAACTATTGCTGCTGTACCCAGATCAATGCGCTTATCTACCCCACAATCAACATCAACATAATGATGCTGCCTGCCACACAATGATCCTGCTCTGACTGCATATCTGTCACATCATGATTTCTGCTTCCACATAATCACCCCTGCCTGCCTCAGTCAGCACTGATCCCAACACTGATCAGTCTCAGTTTAGTCATGGCCCGCCAACTGCCCCACACACCCTACCTAACCCCCGGGGCCATAGTTAGAATGACTGATGTCTAGGGGGGTGGGGGGGTTCTGTATAATGGCTGAGAGGTGTTGTTGAATGCTGTAGTTTCCTTCACTTCAAGCTTCACTAGTCAGGCTCACAGTGTTCACCTCTAAAAAGACCTGGGGGTATGTCACAAACCAGGAACAAAGTAGGACTGCTGATATAATGACTCATACAGATCAGCCTTTTTAAACCCCTCCTCTGGTAGCCCTAAACTAGCACACCTGTTTTACCTCGGCGAGGGCTTGATGATTAGTTGACAAGTTGATTCAGGTGTGCTAATTCTGGAATATCTGGGGAAAGGTTTGAAAAGGGCTAATATAGATTATGAATTAAATAAGAATATATGGACGGGGGGGACCTGATCCTAGATCAGCACTTTTAATGTTAATATGGGCCCTGGGCGTTGTCTTGGACAAAGGTTTAGTAACCACATAGCAGCTTTACTCTATGTGGGTCATTCTGTATTAGAGCCTTGGTGTACAGGGGTGTGTGTGTTAAGGTGAGTGTTGTCACGATACCAGTATCACAATACTACAATACCAGATTTTCATTGACAAAAAAACAAAACACAAAGCAGACTTCTGTGGCGCTGTTGTAAAACAGTGTGCTATAGCTTGCAAAATAAACAAATGTGACTGTGACAACATAAGGCAGTTTTTCTCCAACATGAGGACGGTTTTCCTCAAGAGATGAAGTCAGCTTGTTTCCTTTCCTTCCTTCCTTACTGGTTTCACAGTACTGGTATCGTGATAACACTAATTAAGGTGTATGTGTGTTGTGTGTCTTCTGGCTAGCTGGCGTACATTTGTGGATCTGTATAATAACCTGTGTTAGGTATGTAAAGGTGTGTGTCGAGGGTCTGTATCATAGCCTGTGTTAGGTATGTAAAGGTGTGGGTCTGTATAATAGCCTGTATTAGGTATGTAAAGGTGTGTGGGTCTGTATCATAGCCTGTGTTAGGTATGTAAAGGTGGTCTGATATAAGCCTGTTTAGTATGTAAAGGGTGGGCTGTCTAAAAGTGTTGGGTAGAAAGTGTGGTCTGTATATAGCCTTGTTAGTAAAGTGTGTGTGGTCGTTAGGTGTTAGTTGTAAACGTGTGTGGGGTCTATAATAGCCTGTTAGGTATTAAAGCTTGAGGTCGTAAATAGCCTGTTAGGATGCTGTTGGTATAAAGCCTGTGTGGGTAGTAAGCTTGTGTCAAATACTGTGTCAGGTATGACAACTGTGTCGTTTTTTAAACGTGTAGGTAAAGGTGTGTCCGTAATAGCATGAGTATGTAGTGTGTTTCCGTGTCCTGTATAATAGCCTGTTTAGGTATGTAAAGCTGGTGTCGTGTAAACTAAGTATTAAGGTGTATGTGTTGTTAATAGCTGTGTTAGTATGTAAGTGGTAATGTGGGCCTGTATAATACCTGTGTTAGGTATGTAAAGGTGTGTGTCGTGGGTCTGTATAATAGCCTGTGTTAGGTATGTAAAGGTGTGGGTCTGTATAATAGCCTGTGTTAGGTATGTAAAGCTGTGTGTCGTGGGTCTGTATAATAGCCTGTGTTAGGTATGTAAAGCTGTGTGTCGTGGGTCTGTATAATAGCCTGTGTTGTATGTAGTGTGTGTCGTGGGCTGTATAATAGCCTGTGTTAGGTATGTAAAGGTGTGGGTCTGTATAATAGCCTGTGTTAGGTATGTAAAGGTGTGTTCGTGGTCTGTATATAGCCTGTGTTAGGTATGTAAAGCTGTGTGTCGTGGGTCTGTATAATAGCCTGTGTTAGGTATGTAAAGGTGTGTCGTGGGTCTGTATAATAGCCTGTGTTAGGTATGTAAAGCTGTGTGTCGTGGGTCTGTATAATAGCCTGTGTTAGGTATGTAAAGGTGTGTATCGTGGGCCTGTATAATAGCCTGTGTTAGGTATGTAAAGCTGTGTGTATCGTGGGTCTGTATAATAGCCTGTGTTAGGTATGTAAAGGGGGTTATCGTGGGTCCTGTATAATAGCCTGTGTTAGGTATGTAAAGGTGTGTATCGTGGTCTGTATAATAGCCTGTGTTAGGTATGTAAAGGTGTGTATCGTGGGCTGTATAATAGCCTGTGTTAGTATGTAAAGTGTGTATCGTGGGCTGTATAATAGCCTGTGTTAGGTATGTAAAGCTGTGTGTCGTGGGTCTGTATAATAGCCTGTGTTAGGTATGTAAAGGTGTGTGTCGTGGGTCTGTATAATAGCCTGTGTTAGGTATGTAAAGGTGTGTGTCTGGCTGTATAATAGCCTGTGTTAGGTATGTAAGGTGTGTATCGTGGGTCTGTATAATAGCCTGTGTTAGGTATGTAAAGCTGTGTGTCGTGGGCTGTATAATAGCCTGTGTTAGGTATGTAAAGGTGTGTGTCGTGGGTCTGTATAATAGCCTGTGTTAGGTATGTAAAGGTGTGTATCGTGGGCCTGTATAATAGCCTGTGTTAGGTATGTAAAGCTGTGTATCGTGGGTCTGTATAATAGCCTGTGTTAGGTATGTAAAGGTGTGTATCGTGGGCCTGTATAATAGCCTGTGTTAGGTATGTAAAGGTGTGTGTCGTGGGTCTGTATAATAGCCTGTGTTAGGTATGTAAAGGTGTGTATCGTGGGCCTGTATAATAGCCTGTGTTAGGTATGTAAAGGTGTGTATCGTGGTCTGTATAATAGCCTGTGTTAGGTATGTAAAGGTGTGTATCGTGGGTCTGTATAATAGCCTGTGTTAGGTATGTAAAGGTGTGTATCGTGGGTCTGTATAATAGCCTGTGTTAGGTATGTAAAGGTGTGTATCGTGGGCCTGTATAATAGCCTGTGTTAGGTATGTAAAGGTGTGTATCGTGGGCCTGTATAATAGCCTGTGTTAGGTATGTAAAGGTGTGTATCGTGGGTCTGTATAATAGCCTGTGTTAGGTATGTAAAGGTGTGTATCGTGGGCCTGTATAATAGCCTGTGTTAGGTATGTAAAGGTGTGTATCGTGGGTCTGTATAATAGCCTGTGTTAGGTATGTAAAGGTGTGTATCGTGGGCCTGTATAATAGCCTGTGTAAAGGTAAGTGTTGTCTCCTGGCTAGCTGGCGTACCTGGGCTTTCTGATGCTGTACTCGTTTGTGGTTCTGGTCCGGATGCCCGAGTTTCCGTCTCCTCAAGAGTGGGTGGTCATCCTCTACATATTCACCTCCGCCATCGAGAAGATACGAGAGGTACGCTAATGCTGCTCCCTACTCTCTAGGTCAATATGGTTATGTTCCAATTGGCACCGTATTTACTATATAGTGCACTGCTTTTGACAGTGCACTCTGTAGGGAATGTTCCCTTCATTAGTATGAGAAGGACAAGACACTTACCCAGCTATCTTTGGCTCTCAGAGGATTCAATACAATTTAGTATAGTTCAGTTTGCTTTAAAAAAGGTCCTTATTCCTTATTCTTCTAGTCGACAGCTTAAACAGAGAAGTACTGAGCCCCCATTCACGTTGGTAGAATATCTATCTCAATTTCTATCACTATTTGTTTACATTTTTTCTGTCTGCATGTTATTGTTGATTTGATTTGAGCTCTCAGTTTACGAGATGCACTCATCTCCTATTTCTGTGTCCTGTTTTCTGTTCTGTTTCTTTCTTTGTAGATGTTTATGTCTGAAGCTGGGAAGATTAGCCAGAAGGTTAAAGTCTGGTTCAGTGACTATTTTAACCTCTCAGACTTCCTGGCTATTGTCACCTTCTTTGTGGGCTTTGGATTGAGGATAGGAGGAGAGGATGTGCTTGTCCCGGGCCGGACTGTGTATTGCTTGAATATCATCTTCTGGTACGTGAGACTCCTAGATATTCTGGCAGTCAACCAGCAAGCAGGACCGTATGTGATGATGATCGGTAAAATGGTGAGTATTCATTTTTTTCGAATGCTTTACTAATCCAAATTAATTTTTCAACTGTGTAATATACATTTCAATGTATATCTCCCGAGTGGCGCAGTGGTCTAAGGCACTGCATCGCAGTGCTAGCTGTGCCACTAGAGATCCTGGTTCGAATCCAGGCTCTGTCGTAGCCGGCTGCGACCTGGAGACCCATGGGGCGGCACACAATTGGCCCAGCGTCGTCCAGGGTAGGGGAGGGAATGGCCGGCAGGGATGTAGCTCAGTTGGTAGAGCATGGCGTTTGTGTATGAAAAAATTAAATAAAAAAATTAATAATAATGTTTGTACTCACTAACTGTAAGTCGCTCTGGATAAGAGCGTCTGCTAAATGACTAAAATATAAATATCTAAATGTTTTATATATCAGTGATAATGTATATCAACATATTTTATATAGTGATGATAATGTCAATATCTATTACAATTGAGTTGTCAATTCAATTGTCTATTACAATTACATTATATTAAATATAGAGCTGACATTGTACAGGTAACTGCCAAAATAAAGGAAACACCAACATATAGAGACATTGAACACTAGTCACTTTAACAATGTTTACATACTGTTTTACCCACTTTTAGAGCCCTGCACAGGCATGAATTTTAAGTCCAAGCTCTACCCATGCTCGTGACGTTCAGGCCTTACCCTACCCAGGCCCGATTGCTTCTGCCAAATTAAGAGCCGGCCCTGCCCGAAACCAGAAATAACTTCCTCTGTTAGTAAATCCCTTAGCTGCTCCTCTCTGTCTGTCACTCGCTCCCTGCGCGAAGCTTGCTCTGTGCATGTACACTGCGAGTAGCCATAGCAACGGCTCCACTTGGGCTGCTCTGCTCAATGAAGAGACATAAGAGAGCATTCTCTAAACTCTGACAAAACTCAAGGAACATTATTATTTTCTCTGAAATAATCTCTCCTGTCGTATATATTTGACGAGGTTGAAGCACTTCTGACACCATGGTATGATCTTAGTCAGATATGACTGTACTGCGCAGTAGAACACGCGCAAATGGCTCCGCTTCCAAATGTTAGTGATCAATTTAGTGATACCTGAGCCCTGCCCGTAGTTATTGATGAAGAAACAGGCCCCACCTGGCCCTAATGTTGGGGCCCGTCGGGGTCAAGTAGCAGAGCTCTACCCAATTTAAATGTAAATACTGTATTCTAGTCATGGTTAATCCTATATACAGTAACTACTGCTGTACACATCTTTTCTATTCATATACTGTCCATACACACTGAAAAATAGCGCAAAGAAACTAAGGGAACAATGTGTGTCTGTAAAAGGCTCTACACAGTCTACGCAACGGATCCGCAACCAATCCGACGGAGGTTTGTTTGCTTAGACTGTGAAATCACTGTGGAGTGCCCTTAAGAACAAGGTGAGAGGAGGGTAGCCTTTGACCAACTTATTTAGGTAATGTATGAAGGTAGATTGGATGGTTTTCACTCAATAGCACATCTCTAGGGTTCCATGCTGGTTTGGTTTGAAAGAGGATAATGATTGCAGGTGGGGGTATTTAAAGGGGTAGCCCTGGCTCTTTCATGTGGACATGATCTGGTTGATTACATTGAATGAGGTGTGTGGGGACCAACAGGTGGCAGGCTCCGCTCCAGGGTAGGAGGGAAGTGGGAGGAGTTTTATACGCACACTATTTAATATAATATAATATAATATAATATGCCATTTAGCAGACGCTTTTATCCAAAGCGACTTACAGTCATGCGTGCATACATTTTATATTCCGGACTCTGATATTGCTCCTTCTGATATTTCTTAATTTCTTGTTTTTTAAAAAAAAGTTTTCGGATTATGTATGTATTGTTATTGTATTGCTAGATTTTACTGCCCTGTTGGAGCTAGAATGGTGTTTTGTTGATGGTGGTGGAAAATGTTGTCTCAGGCACCGCTCCAGAATCTCCCATTAGTGTTCAATTGGGTTGAGATCTGGTGACTGACACACACACACACACACTTTAAACTCCTTATACTCTTTTCAGACCCCTCTTTCAAAGTCAAGAAAGATATCTTCTAGCCATGGTAGCCAAAAGAATGGCAACTGGGCATTTTTATTTGTATGTTAATTGCTTAATTAACTCAGGAACCACACCTGCTTTCAATATACTTTGTATCCCACATTTACGCAAGTGTTTCCTTTAATTTGGCAGTTACCTCTATATATCAACATGTTTTGCATAGTGGCAATAATGTCTACTATCAACAACATGTTTTGATAGACTAGCACCAGTTCTTTTCATTCTGAGTCTGGAAATTCTCTCAGTATTTTCTGGGAACTTGGACGTTTATAGACCTGGTTAACTGCATGTACATGCCCTTAATATAGTGGTGGTAATGTATCTATTCATACAGATGGCCAGCATGTTTTATGTTGTTGTGATAATGTATAGGATAATGTGTATATTCCTCTAGGTGGCGCTGGTGTTGTTGCGTTATGGCATGAAAGCCATCCTGTAATAATGTGTGTATATATTAGGATAATGATAATGTATAGGATAATGATCGTGTGTGTGTGTGTATATATATATATATATATTCCTCTAGGTGGCCAATATGTTTTATATTGTGGTGATCATGGCGGTGGTGTTGTTGAGTTATGGTGTGCCCCGAAAAGCCATCCTGTACCCAAATGAGGAGCCCAGTTGGACGCTGCTCAAAGACGTGGTCTTCCAGCCATACTGGATGATGTACGGGGAAGTGTATGCATATGAAATCGACGGTAAGGAAGACGAGCCTAGTATAAACGACTACGATGGTAAGAGAGTTTTCTTAAGGATTCTCACCACGGCATGAGAAGCTGATTAGCACTGGAAATCAATCAAAAACCCATGTTTGGTCTAATCAACGCCTCGCACCACACAGTCACCTCACACAGTCGCTGTGTTACAAAATCTATTTAGAGTATAGATTGAGATGCTAGTCCCTTGGTTGGAGAGGCATACGTTTCACTATGCCTATCCAGTTCTTTCATAAGTAATCAAGTCCCTAGGAGGTAGGGGCTAGGAGTTGATTGTGGACACAGCCAGTTGGCCCCTGTTAGGGGAGGTATAGCCAGCAATTGTAGGGAACAACAGCTATTAACCAATCAGGGCTTTAGTTTAGGTTATTGTACACATGTGTCCAGATTTCTCTCGAGGCATGTCAAATGTCAGTGATTTGCTTAAAGTACAGGCTCAGTGCTTCAAAATGGTGTATCGTACACTGTAGTTGGAGGAAACATGGGAGTCAGCATGGCATTGTCCTCCAGAAAGTAGTCTCTCTACTTAAACCCAGCTAAATTCAGGGCAGCAATGTTTTTGAGAGCTGTAGCAACACTTTTGCAGTTGTCCATAGCTTTATCTTTCCAAAAATCTGTGGTAAAGATGATCTATATACTTACCAGAGAAGAGCCCATTCGGTTATAGACAGAAGCCTGTGACATGACAGACCAATCAGGAATCGTATCTCAGCATACCCAACCACTCTAAAATCTCAGCCAGTTATGACTAGCCAGGAAGGATCCTGTCTTTCTCCCTGTATCAGTGCTTTCTCCTTGGCTAAACTAGGCACATTTGAGATTTTTATTCATATTTACGAATCCCATACAAGTTTGTAATTAAGGCACATAAAAGTTCACATGTTCAAGAAGGCATTTCTGCAAAAAAACGTGTTTTGAAACGGCCCTACTGTGAAGTAGGAACCAGTGTCAAATGCCTCAGATCCTGTAACATTTAGTAAACATTGTTGAACACATGGGGGTAAATCCTTACTTCCAGTTAAGGCGACTTTTCACTTAGTCTCCTATTGACATAACTGCGTGACTAAGTGACATTTTAGATTTGTTGCATAGAGCACATGTGAGATAGTGTATTATGATATTGAGTAGTGATATTTACAGAAGATACATTCTGTAATATATAATAATCGCAGCTACCTGTCTCGCTCATCAGACTCAGGGAGCTCCACCCCAGTTGTGTGGGAGATACAGCGGCTGTGGGAAGAGACTACCTGTTGATATACAGAGCATAATGAATACAGTAGCAGTAGATACGGTGCAGTAGTATGAAATGTTATTCCACTATTTAGATGGTAGTCGCTGGTTTTACTGACCCAAATTATGTTTACTCCTAGACAAAAAAATATATAATTTCTGTAGAGACATAAAAAAAAAAGTAGAAAGCTTAATCTGGCTGTGCAAAACCAGTCCATGGAGCTTAGAGCTGTAGTTTGTGTGTGTGTGAGAATGATCTACACTTGTCACTGTGTGTTTGGGATGTGTGTGAATGTAAGTGCGTGTGTTTTTTGTGTTTTGATGTGTGAAGCACCGCGTGTGTGTGTCTGACCCAGTCCCCTCTCTCCACAGTGTGTGCCAATAATAGTGAACCGAATGTGAAAAACCTGTGCTCAGCTTCAGTGTGGATCACTCCGTTCCTACAAGCAGTCTACCTCTTTGTCCAATACATACTGATAGTTAACCTTCTCATCGCCTTCTTCAAGTAAGACTACACACACACACACACACACACACACACACCGGTGTTCTGTAGAGCACTCTGCTGTGACCAATACTATTCTCATTATTATTCATTAATAACATTATTATTATCATGTTTTTCCCCGATTTCTACATCACTGTGTATATCCATTTTGCAATCTCTCTCTCTTCTCCTCAGTAATGTGTACCTCCAAGTGATGTCAATCAGTAATCTGGTATGGAAGTATCAGAGGTATCATTTCGTCATGGCCTACCATGAGAAGCCAGTCCTCCCTCCTCCCCTCATCCTCCTCTCTCACCTAGTCTCTTTCTTCTCCTGCATCTGTCACAAGAGGAAGAAGGACAGTCACTCTTACGGACCAAGTACGGGAACTACCCATTTATCTCTCTAAAATGCAGATATGACAGAACCACTTGGTGATCTGCTCCTGTAAGTCGCTCTGGATAAGAGCGTCTGCTAAATGACTAAAATGTAAATGTAAAAAAATGTGATCAGCTAGAACAAGAGAGGACCTAGTACCGAGCTCTGGGGGACACCAGTAGTCTATGAACAGACTATAAAACGTATATAGGTGTCCCAGGGCTCTCTAGTTTATCAGCAAAAAGATATGCAGCTACAATAAGTTATTTGAAAATGTTTACCAGAAGTTACATTGAGATCTGTAAAATGCCTTGTTGAAACTAAACTCTTCATCCTCTCCCTTTTTCCCCCTCTTTCCTTCCTTCCCTACCTCCTCCCTCCAGAGTTGTTTCTAACGGAGGAGGATCAGAAGAAGCTCCATGACTTTGAGGAGCAGTGTGTGGAGACGTACTTCCATGAGAAAAACGACCAGTTCCACTCAGGGAGCGAAGAGCGCATCCGCCTCACCTCTGACAGGTAACTGTTACCATAGTTACCGCTCACCACAGTTGTTATTTTACTCTTACATTGACAGTAACAGTCATAGTGTCTATATAACATAAGAGGATTAGGAGGTTAATTGAATAGTGAATGTTGAACTCTATGGCAACATATCAACAAAGTTCAATATTCAATAGATCTAGATTTTTTCCCCCTTTATCTCCTCAGGGTTGAGACGATGTGTATCCAGCTGAAGGAGGTCGGAAATAGAGTGAACTTCATCAAGCGTTCCCTCCACACGCTGGACTCCCAGATCGGCCACCTCCAGGACCTGTCAGCTCTGACAGTGGACACCCTGAAGACCCTGACCGCCCAGAGGGCCTCTGAGGCCAGCAAGGTCCACAACCAGATCACCAGGGAGCTCAGTCTGTCCAAGAACTTTGCCCCCAGCCTGGCCCCCACCCCCCAGGACCCTAACCCCCAATCCAAGGGGGTCAAACGCAGCGTGGGGGCCTACTTCGGTTCGTCTTTCCCCCAGGTGTCCGGGGTGGTGGTGGGGGGCAACTTGGCTGATTCTCTGTTTGGGAGTGGGGTGGAAGGGAGGTTGGAGATGCTGGGGCTGGGGAGGAGGCCTCCTGAGATGGGAATGGGGTTGGACTCAAACCCGCCCCTGACGCTCAGTCCCCCAGAGCAAAGAGGAGACTGGGCTGGGCTGGGGCACCAAGCTACTGCTGCTATAGAGGCTGGATCCTCCACAGGTGGCAGCGCCAGTGCCAGTCACAGTGCCTTCTCCCTCGTCCCAGCTCCAGCACCCCCTACTGTCAGTCCTCCAGAGCTGCGGCTACGCGGCCACTCCTTCACCCAGTGGCAGCTGACCCGTCCAGAGCAGCCGGGCCTCTCCGACTGCCCCTCCAGCCTGCCCAGCGTGCCCTCTGCTGGGGCTGCTTTCTACGTCAGCTCTACCCCCTCCCAGCCCTTCGGCTCCAGCCACCCAGAACTCAGCCTGCCTCTGCCAGACAAAGACACAACCTCTGCTTCCACCTCTGCCTTTGCTGTAGAGTTTGGTGCGTTTGTTGGTAAGTATAAGTGTGAGGAGAAAGACGAAGACACTAGCTGTGTGTACCCCACTATTGTTGTGTCCAAGACTTCTGACATTGCTCGCCCCATTTGCCTGCCTGCTTCCATTGAGAAACGGGAGGGAATTGGTGAGAAGGAGGGGAGGGGTGAGTTGGAGAGGAGGAGGAGTGAGAGAGGGGGGAGGGCGAAAGGGATGTGTGAGAGGGAGGGGAGGGCAGAGGGGGAGGGGTATGTGAATGAGGCATTTTGCAATGATGAGGGAAGATCCGAAGGAGTTCTGATTGGTGGTCAGGGCAGAAACGCTGAGCTTCCATTGGCTCCTGAGACCACCCGTCAGGCCGCCCCCTCGCCGCATGCTGACGCTCACAGGAACAGCCCCCTCCCAGGCTGCACCCTGGCCCCTGCAGTGGTGCCCAGGAGACCCCGCTGCCAGAGGACCAGAGAGGTGGGGTCCTCAGGCCCCGTGGCCCAGCCGGGGGCCCCTCAGCAGGGGGAAAGAAGGACTGAAGCCCATCTGAGAAGTGACAGGAGGGACACTACCAGAGATAGAGGTTTGAGTCTCAGTCTGAGTTTAAGTTGGCAATGGGCAAATCTCAGATCACTCTCTACCTTTCACCTGTAACACACCTTTTCCTAACCAGGGTGAAGTATGGTTGTTGGTATAAAGGGGTGTTCTGGGGTCTAACTAAAATGAAATAACCACAGGTGTGTTCTCAAACCCTATTCAAATACACTGAGCATAACCTGATATGGGACCATGCTTAATCAATAGACTTCAAAATAAACCAATCAGTATGGCATCATGCTCAATCAATAAACTTCATAAACTCATAGCAACAACTCATTGTCATTCACCAGTAAAACATGCACATTCAATAAACAGTTGCAACCTTATACAGTGGGGAGAACAAGTATTTGATACACTGCCGATTTTGCAGGTTTTCCTACTTACAAAGCATGTAGAGGTCTGTAATTTTTATCATAGGTACACTTCAACTGTGAGAGACGGAATCTAAAACAAAAATCCAGAAAATCACATTGTATGATTTTTAAGTAATTAATTTGCATTTTATTGCATGACATAAGTATTTGATACATCAGAAAAGCAGAACATAATATTTGGTACAGAAACCTTTGTTTGCAATTACAGAGATCATACTATTCCTGTAGGTCTTGACCAGGTTTGCACACACTGCAGCAGGGATTTTGGCCCACTCCTCCATACAGACCTTCTCCAGATTTCGGGGCTGTCGCTGGTCAATACGGACTTTCAGCTCCCTCCAAAGATTTTCTATTGGGTTCAGGTCTGGAGACTGGCTAGGCCACTCCAGGACCTTGAGATGCTTTTTACAGAGCCACTCCTTAGTTGCCCTGGCTGTGTTTCAGGTCGTTATCATGCTGGAAGACCCAGCCACAACCCATCTTCAATGCTCTTACTGAGGGAAGGAGGTTGTTGGCCAAGATCTCGCGATACATGGCCCCATCCATCCTCCCCTCAATACGGTGCAGTCGTCCTGTCCCCTTTGCAGAAAAGCATCCCCAAAGAATGATGTTTCCACCTCCATGCTTCACGGTTGAGATGGTGTTCTTGGGGTTGTACTCATCCTTCTTCCTCCAAACACGGCGAGTGGAGTTTAGACCAAAAAGCTCTATTTTTGTCTTATCAGACCACATGACCTTCTCCCATTCCTCCTCTGGATCATCCAGATGGTCATTGGCAAACTTCTGACGGGGCCTGGACATGCGCTGGCTTGAGCAGGGGGACCTTGCGTGTGCTGCAGGATTTTAATTCATGACGGCATAGTGTGTTACTAATGGTTTTCTTTGAGACTGTGGTCCCAGCTCTCTTCAGGTTATTGACCAGGTCCTGCCGTGTAGTTCTGGGCTGATCCCTCACCTTCCTCATGATCATTGATGCCCCACGAGGTGAGATCTTGCATGGAGCCCCAGACCGAGGGTGATTGACCATCATCTTGAACTTCTTCTATTTTCTAATAATTGCGCCAACAGTTGTTGCCTTCTCACCAAGCTGCTTGCCTATTGTCCTGTAGCCTATCCCAGCCTTGTGCAGGTCTACAATTTTATCCCTGATGTCCTTACACAGCCCTCTGGTCTTGGCCATTGTGGAGAGGTTGGAGTCTGTTTGATTGAGTGTGTGGACAGGTGTCTTTTATACAGGTAACGAGTTCAAACAGGTGCAGTTAATACAGGTAATGAGTGGAGAACAGGAGGGCTTCTTAAAGAAAAACTAACAGGTCTGTGAGAGCCGGAATTCTTACTAGTTGGTAGGTGATCAAATACTTATGTCATGCAATAAAATGCAAATGAATTACTTAAAAATCATACAATGTGATTTTCTGGAATTTTGTTTTAGATTCCGTCTCTCACAGTTGAAGTGTACCTATGATAAATATTACAGACCTCTACATGCTTTGTAAGTAGGAAAACCTGCAAAATCGGCAGTGTATCAAATACATGTTCTCCCCACTTTATATATTCACAGCTCTGAAACTTTATATAGTCTTACTACATTGCAGGCCTGTGCTTCGTACCTTAACAGGGACTAGATGAGGAAGAGCAGTCCTCGCGCTTCTGTGTGCAAATGTGCATGTGTTTTCTGGAAGCGGGAGTTCCAATGCAGGCGAGGGCGGTCTGTAGCCAGTGCGGTAGTGGGAAACAGAGAGCTAGCGATATCAGGTTGATATCTGAGCTCGATATAAACTACTTTGACACACGGTAGTGTACTTACAATATACATGTCTCTGCCTCTTATGGAGATGGCTTGCTACGCTAGTTATCTAGCTGGTGTTGGCTAGCTAGCGGCAAATATTAGCTAGCTTCGCATTGTACCTTCAGACAGGACCCAGAGGAAACTGTAGAATTGCCGGTATCTTGAGTCGCTATCTTAGAGGTATACTACAATTTGAAGCTAGAACTACTCAGGCTTCTATAAAGTTTCAGTTAGCTTCACATTCAAGCTCAGGCTTCATCCATACTAAGGTGGATATTGATCATGCAGCTAACGCAAGCAAGCTCAGAGGGGATTTCCACATAACACGATAATTCGGGATAGCCACTCTAGCTTCACCCTAATGTGGGTGCTATCAAGCAAGGTTGTTTCATCGCCCCCATCTTTTTATATGGAAATGCACTGTCAGTATGTTTTAACTACACTTGTATTCTACCTCGCCCTTCGCCCTCGTGTGGGTGCTAGCAAGCTAGGTAGTGCTAGATATCAACAGCCAATCCATTAGGGACTGGAAGCTATACTGAGCTTCAATTGGTCAAGGGTGATGTTGCAGAGTATTTGCATAAATGTTCCTGTTTCCCCAACTTTGGTCCCGCCCTGTTCACGTCCCTCGCCCATGCTCTCATCAGCCAACATTCCCCCGCCCACTTAGCTTCTTTTCCATTGGAAAATAATGGCTTTTTGTAGTTTCATCGCCCACATCACTTCAGTTAACTGTACGTGCATGTCGCACATGGCTAGTCGAACGCCAAACTCTTAATTGAGACAATGCTCACATTTTAATTTTTGCCAAAATCAACATGAAAGAAAAGTTATCTTGCAAATTCAGCAGGCTATGATGTGAAATAGGTGCCGTGATTATTTTATTAAGTATAGTTAATGCCGTCTTTGTGCTTTGGTATGCCTATCAATGCACGAGCACCTTTTCCCCCACCTATCGATACAATAATTTTAGAAAATCATACAAAGGTTTTAGTCTGCGTGCACTTTCAAATGCATGCTGTCATTACTAAATGTGTAATGTGATCTGTATTTTGAATATTACTATAGAAAAAGTTTAAATTAAAATAAAATATTTAATCAGTCATCTTCCTCAAATGAAGGGGATGACGACAGTCTTTGCGAGAGGGATGGAATCTAATTTCATTAGTCCTCAACTCGAGGCTCAGACACTTCATTCAGGATAAATGGATTTAGCCATGAGTTAGCCTTCCCCTGAGCACGTTAGGTCTGAAGGATTCGTTGCCATATAAACCTACCTGGCTAAAAGGTGAGCCACTTTTGTATGACCGGTTATCCAAAATTGAGCTCCGAGTTGACCACACTTACCTCGCTAACTCTTCTTTGTAGTATAGGGCTCGGGTCTCGTCACTGTCATCAACTCTTCTTAGCCACTTATACAGGTCACATGCTGGTATGTTACATATACAACAGATATTTACTTTACAGCTAAACGGTTACAGCAGTCTGCTGTAAAGTGGGAATCAAAATCACCTCAGAACTAACTATTGTAATTTGTTCCCTTCACTTCCCCTACGTACGTCTGATTTGGCTAAGGGGGACCTTTTAAAGACGCTGCATGGTCAATCTGACGTCTGCATTGGCCATGCAGCATTTATGGTGGTACGGCCTCTACAGACGTCAGGGCATTCATACTTCTTACATTTCGCGAAGCAGCGCAGAGCTGTTAAGGAAGTGAGTTTGTGTTTATACAGGCCCTCCCACCCTCACCTACCGTCAACCAATCATGTCAATGCTGAGCTATACGGAAAATTACAACATTTGAGAGGCGCACGGGATGCAGAGCTCAATTTGGCCTCTGCATGCCTCCGGAGGCTCCGCAATTGCGTCACACTATCCATACGGCGCCTCCGACCACATTTGTGGATCAAGCATAAATTGGCACTTAGTCAGCAACGGGGAATAATGCTGCGTTCATAACCAAGTGGGAAGTTGGTAGGCCAATTTAGCACATACGCCTTACATTGAAGCCATGATGTTTAAGGCAGATCGGGATACTGCAGGCTGTTTTATCCAGAAAGCAGGATACCTCATTATAGTCAATGGGAAAATGGCAATCTTTGTGGTCAATATTCGTGAGAATTTCTTTTTATCCAAAACAATCATAGTACGAATAATTGCTTCTATTACACAGATATATGTCCTTGCACCTATTTTTTGTAAAATAAGTTTGTAAAATAATTGGTTCAAGGACATGCATCTGGTATAATAGAAACAATTATTGGAATTGCACACAGAATACTGTAAGTTAATGATAATTTATTTGCTACCGGCAGCCTGCAGTATCATCCAGTTGAACGCCCCTCCAACTCAATAATTACTGGTGGGAAACTTGTCTCATCCCTGAGCTCCGACTTCTCGCACATGCTGATCTCTGACTTTGATAACAGCATTTTCAGTAAAATGTAACAATTATTCATAAAAAGCTATTTACTAATATGATTTTTGAAAACTATATAATATGTTTACAAGCATGATAGCTGTACATTTAGTTTATGGTTGACACCACTTGTTGGCCATTAGCCAATCTGTGTTTCTCAACGAGTTGAAAGCACGTGAACACCTCCAACTGTTATTAACTTCACAACTGGTAATTACCACCTTTCCACTTAGGTATGAACGCGGTAGTGCACTACATAGAGAGCAGGGTGTGATTTGGGACGTTACCTAGGAAGAAGTGCCAGGGATGTAGGGTGCTAGGATCAGCTTTGTAATTGACTTGTCGTCATTGTCTCTCTTTCAGATCTGTCTCTTTCTTTCTCTCCTCGCTCTCGCTCTCTCCCTGTCAATTAGTGTGTCCACCTTTTGTCTTGTCTAACGTCGTTGGGGTGTTGGCCTCTGGTTGCAGGGGACAGGGTTGTGACTGTATCACCATGGATTGATTGATTGGTTGGTTGAGATTTGCACCCTTTCCTGAATTTGTCTGTATTGGTTAAAGGGTTTGTCACATGGAAAGGTGAAAGGTTGAGGTACCTACCCTCCGTCCATCTGTCTTCCAGTGACTGTCCAAGAGGTCTAAGATGTTCTCTCTAAGGCACAGAACCAGGTGTGGCCAACCCCTGACCTGGGTCAGGGTTGGGGTCAATTCCATTTTAATTCAGGAAGTTATCAAATTTGAATTGAAATTAACCCCAACAAAAAAGCCTGCGACTCTGCAGCCTTCCAGGACCAGTGTTGGCCACCCCTGGTGTGATGCTGTCTATGTATCTGTCTGACTAACAGTGTTCTGGTCCTCCAGGTCATAAAGACAACCTGCACCTGGACCTGCAGCGCTCCTTCCCCAGAGACATCTCCTCCAGACAGCTCAGCCCAGCCACACGGCACAGGGAACAGGTGAGAGAGTATGTGGGATTACGTGTGTGTGTTCCTCCTAGGTATTGAGGCAGTTATTTACTTTCGCTTAGTTCCCGTTTGGGAAGTGGTTGTTGGTTGGTAGAATGTTAGTCATTGTTATGACCATTTTAAAAACCAGAACCTGTTAGTTCTAGTTCGATATTTCTACCAGGGCAGGGGGCAGAGCAGTTTAGTTCCATGTGATCAATTTATTTACATGAAACATCACAGAGACACTTCCACAGAACAAACCAGAATTCCTCAATGGCTTCCTGTCCAAACACATTGTCCCCACAAATCCTAACCTTAGCCTCACTATGTGAAAAACACGAAAACTGATCTCATCAGCAGAGCCCAGTAGGAGGAAGTTGCTCCTAGATACTGATGCCGGTGTGTCTTTCTCTCTGTCTACAGGGTCATCCTGAAGGCCAAGGTAATATGAGGACGGTCAACTCGTACGCTGGCTTCACTGAGTTTGACCGGAGTCCCTCCTTCCTCCACCCAGACTCCTGTAAGTCCAGGAAGTTAGAGATGTGTTGCTAGACACATGAATACACTGCAGAACCCTGACAAGACCTGCCAGAGGTCAACGACATGTATACCATGTCTGTTAACTGTAAGTGTCTTTGGTTGTTGTGTGTCTCTGCAGCTCTGAGTAAGAGAGAAAGGAGCAGAGTGTCAGCGGAAGACATCCTCATCCAAGAAGACCCCCGAGCTGCACTACTACTGGTGAGAACTGTTCCATAACTATATGATGTCTCACACCCCTTCAGGTCCTGAAATCACTTCTGACTGTATAACTGACTGACTGACTGGTATGTTTTCCTGTCTCCTCAGGAGAGGGCTCAGGTCAAGACAGCTCAGGCCAGCAGTCTGTAAGTACCTGACATGCATTCCTACCTTCATCCTGGTTTTTCAGCTGGGGTCCACTTATACTTAGAGCCCTGGATCTTACAGCCCTGGATCTTACAGCCCTGGATCTTACAGCCCTGGATCTTACAGCCCTGGAAGAGTAGAGTAGATTCATTCACCTACAGCCGTGGGTCTAGTAGAGTATAATAGATCTCTTGATTGTTGATCAGTTCAGTGTTTCCACAGCGTGGTTTGTAACCCTGGGCCAAGCCTGGCTTACCATTACCATGGTGACAGGAAACAATGTTCCAATCACATTTCCAACACAGCCATTAGGGTTAGGGTGAGTGGGTGGTTCGTAGGCTCCCTGCATTATAGCTTCAGAATCTATGAAAGTGTTAGTTCGTTAATGAATAGGTGAACAGTGTTGTACTACTACTGTTCTACTGTATAGGTTAATGTGTTGTGTAGTATCAGCTGTAGAGGTGGATCATAGACTTGGACAACACATCTTTGTATCAGTCCCATTATGGCGTCTGTGAGGGCATGGGCAGCGCCATTGAGGCCTTCTCCATTTTAGAGTAGTCCATTTTCTTCTTCCACTACTTCTATGTGTTGGTAAACAAACTGAAAGGGGGCATACTGACACCTGTAGTGTGTTGTTTGAACAGGTATAAAGCCAAGGTTGGCGATTTTACTGCCACATGCAGTTATGGAACATTTGCTCACAAGTATAATTCATTGGCTGATCCCTCCTGATGACCTGGATGGAATTGTGTGATCCTTCCTTAACCCATAGGAAGTCCCACCCAGTTGACTACTTTAAAACGGTGGAAGTCCTCAATGGCAATGTCCATGCAAAAACGTGTTATTTCCAAGTAATGATCTCTATCTCTATGAGGTGGATGTTAATGTCCGTTGTGTGTTCTCTCTCTCAGCAGGGCACCAGGGGAGGACTCAGGAATAAATGGTATGTGTCCATTGGAACTTGCTGTCTCTACGATTACTGTAAATTGATAGTTCCTGATTTCTTTCTCTGAGATGAACAAGGATGACAGGCTATTCACCCCTGTGGTCATGTCTCTGGCTGATGATCTCTTCTCTCCTTCCTCTCAGCTGCATCATGTCTCTACAGACACGCCCACCTGGGGAGCAGGAAGGACTGTGAGTGGATGTGAACTATCCCTTTAACCACTTCTAACTCATTGGGATGTGAACTATCCCTTTAACTACATCTAACTAATTGTGATGTGAACTATCCCTTTAACTACGTCTAACTCATTGTGATGTGAACTATCCCTTTAACTGTCTAACACATTGTGTTGTGAACTATCCCTTTAACTATGTCTAACTCATTGGGATGTGAACTATCCCTTTAACTATGTCTAACTCATTGGGATGTGAACTATCCCTTTAACTACGTCTAACTCATTGTGATGTGAACTATCCCTTTAACTATGTCTAACTCATTGGGATGTGAACTATCCCTTAAACTATGTCTAACTCATTGGGATGTGAACTATCCCTTTAACTATGTCTAACTCATTGTGATGTGAACTATCCCTTTAACTATGTCTAACTCATTGTGATGTGAACTATCCCTTTAACTACGTCTAACTCATTGGGATGTGAACTATCCCTTTAACTATGTGTAACTCATTGTTCATCCACCTCTTCACCTCAATGTACTTTTTCATTCTTATTCTCTTCTCTACATGCTTATTTCTTTCTTATTTTTTACTTGTACTTTTATTAGCAAATGTCATGAGAGGAGAGCTTGCAAGTAAGCATTTTGTTGTATTGTGTACATTTGCTGTAAACCATGCATATCACAAATACACTTTAGATTTGATTGGACAGGATTTGAATAACTGATCTTTATTATTATTTTTGTAGCAATTGGTTCCCCGTTCAAGCCAATGGAAAGCTACCAATACTCAGGTGAGGTTTGGTCCTCTGTAGCTCAGCTGGTAGAGCACGGCTCTTGTAACGCCAAGGTAGTGGGTTCGATCCCCGGGACCACCCATACACAAAAAAAAAAATGTATGCACGCATGACTGTAAGTCGCTTTGGATAAAAGCGTCTGCTAAATGGCATATTATTATTATTATTATTATTAAATCATACTTTAGTCAGTTGCAAGTCACACCCTATTTCCCACTACATGGAGTAGGATGTCATTTTACTATGTTGTGTGTATTTGACCTATGTGTGTGTATGCACGTGTGTGTTCCCTCCCTGTAGCTGTGGAGCGTAACAACCTGATGAGGCTGTCTCAGAGCATCCCCTTCACCCCAGTTCCCCCTAGAGGTAAGATACAACATTGCACATCCCATTCATCCCAGTGCCCCCTAGAGGTAAGATACGGTATGACACCACACCTCTCCCCCTTGACCTGGGTCCTTTTCATCAGGCACCACATGGAAAAAAATGGGCTGATAAGAAACGCTCATTGTCCCCTACGATTGAATCAGAGTGTGACTATGGATTTGTCTCCGTCCGTTTGTGCGTACATTAATCACACGCGATATCGCTCGTCCATATATGTATATATTCTTAATTCATTCCTTACTTAGGTTTGTGTGTATTGGGTATATGTTGTGAAATTGTTAGATATTACTTGTTAGATATTACAGCATTGTCGGAACTAGAAGCACAAGCATTTCGCTACACCCGCAATAACATCTGCTAAACACATGTATGTGACCAATAACATTTTATTTTATTTGATATCTCAGACACCACTGACCCGATTTTGAGGAAACTTGGTTGAATGATGCTTCTTGCCATAGTGCCATAGAGATCCGGCATTTACAAATGTACACTGATTGGCCAAGGGGCGCGCAATAGTAATCAACTGAAATGTCTAACTTTGAACAAGCATATCTCCTCTCCCATTTAAGCTACAGTCATGACATTTTCAGTGAGGGAAAAAAGTATTTGATCCCCTGCTGATTTTGTACGTTTGCCCACTGACAAAGACATGATCAGTCTATAATTTTAATGGTAGGTTTATTTGAACAGTGAGACACAGAATAAAAAAATTCCAGAAAAACGCATGTCAAAAATGTTATAAATTGATTTGCATTTTAATGAGGGAAATAAGTATTTGACCCCTCTGCAAAACATGACTTAGTACTTGGTGGCAAAACCCTTGTTGGCAATCACAGAGGTCAGACGTTTCTTGTAGTTGGCCACCAGGTTTGCACACATCTCAGGAGGGATTTTGTTCCACTCCTCTTTGCAGATCTTCTCCAAGTCATTAAGGTTTCGAGGCTGACGTTTGGCAACTCAAACCTTCAGCTCCCTCCACAGATTTTCTATGGGATTAAGGTCTGGAGACTGGCTAGGCCACTCCAGGACCTTAATGTGCTTCTTCTTGAGCCACTCCTTTGTTGCCTTGGCCGTGTGTTTTGGGTCATTGTCATGCTGGAATACCCATCCACGACCCATTTTCAATGCCCTGGCTGAGGGAAGGAGGTTCTCACCCAAGATTTGACGGTACATGGCCCCGTCCATCGTCCCTTTGATGCGGTGAAGTTGTCCTGTCCTCTTAGCAGAAAAACACCCCCAAAGCATAATGTTTCCACCTCCATGTTTGACGGTGGGGATGGTGTTCTTGGGGTCATAGGCAGCATTCCTCCTCCTCCAAACACGGCGAGTTGAGTTGATGCCAAAGAGCTTGATTTTGGTCTCATCTGACCACAACACTTTCACCCAGTTCTCCTCTGAATCATTCAGATGTTCATTGGCAAACTTCAGACGGCCCTGTATATGTGCTTTCTTTAGCAGGGGGACCTTGCGGGCGCTGTAGGATTTCAGTCCTTCATGGCGTAGTGTGTTTACCAATTGTTTTCTTGGTGACTATGGTCCCAGCTGCCTTGAGATCATTGACAAGATCCTCCCGTGTAGTTCTAGGCTGATTCCTCACCGTTCTCATGATCATTGCAACTCCACAAGGTGAGATCTTGCATGGAGCCCCAGGCCGAGGGAGATTGACAGTTATTTTGTGTTTCTTCCATTTGCGAATAATCGCACCAACTGTTGTCACCTTCTCACCAAGCTGCTTGGCGATGGTCTTGTAGCCCATTCCAGCCTTGTGTAGGTCTACAATCTTGTCCCGGACATCCTTGGAGAGCTCTTTGGTCTTGGCCATGGTGGAGAGTTTGGAATCTGATTGATTGATTGCTTCTGTGGACAGGTGTCTTTTATACAGGTAACAAGCTGAGATTAGGAGCACTCCCTTTAAGAGTGTGCTCCTAATCTCAGCTCGTTACCTGTATAAAAGACACCTGGGAGCCAGAAATCTTTCTGATTGAGAGGGGGTCAAATACTTATTTCCCTCATTAAAATGCAAATCAATTTATAACATTTTTGACATGCGTTTTTCTGGATTTTGTTGTTGTTATTCTGTCTCTCACTGTTCAAATTAACCTACCATTAAAATTATAGACTGATCATTTCTTTGTCAGTGGGCAAACGTACAAAATCAGCAGGGGATCAAATACTTTTTTCCCTCACTGTATATGCAGACCCTCATGAGCAACAAGTTTCCCATAAGGACATGTAAGATCCGCCCATTTGATTTTCTGCAAATGAGACTTTTTCTCCCCCACCAAACTTTGAACAAGCATATCTCCTGTCCCGTTTGAGCTACAATCATGTAATTTCGTACATATGCATCTCCTCATGAGAAATACGTTTCCAATAAGGACCTTTTTTCTCTCTCATTAATCCATGCAACGTACGTTTGAATAATTTTCACTAATTGGCCCAAGAGGGTGTGGGTGGGGGGCGCTGCATAATTTGTGAGTACAACATGTTTACTGGTGCCTTGTTTTAATTTTCCACAGTGAAATGCTTTTAACAGTTTTCCATTGCGTGACGTTCTCCATTGCGTGAACACGACCCTAATTACGCTTTGCCCTTTTCAACTGATTCGGGATCCATTTTCTTCCACTGTGGTGGTTTCACGGACCGTGTCCTACTGTCTGACTCAGCTATAGTCTAGCTAGTTGAAAGGACTGCAGTGTTGGGGTCAATTCCGTTTCAATTCAGGAAGTAAACTGAAATTCCATTCCCAGTGTTTCTAATTTATAAACAATGAGATTGAACTGTCCCACCCCAACCCTGGAGAACTGGACAGGTGCAGGCAAGGTGACCCCACCCAGCCCCAGCCCCGGGACAGGAGACTGGGCAGGTGACCTTGTCCTTGTCCTATCACCGGTCTGTTAGAATGAGGACGTAAAGTGGGACATATCATGGCCAGTTAAGGGAAATAAGGAAGCCAGTTTAACCAATAAATAATAGGTTAACTCCCCCTGACACACCCTCTGAGAGTGGGTTCACGGCCAGGGTCAAAACCAGTTTAACCTATAAACGCCCTATCCTGTGTGGCCGCAATTATGTATTTAACACACACCCATACAACACTGTCTTGTGTGTGTGTGTGTGTGTGTGTGTGTGCTGCCCCCTGTAGGTGAGCCAGTAACAGTATATCGTCTGGAGGAGAGTTCTCCCAACACCATCAACAACAGCATGTCCTCCTGGGCTCACAAAGGTCTCTGTGCCAAGATAGAGTTCCTCAGTAAGGAGGAGATGGGAGGGGGGCTGCGGCGTGCACTCAAGGTATAGTTGGTGTGTGTGGGGTCACTACTGTGCACTGTCTTCTACATGTAACTGAACATGGAAAAGTATTGCTATTGGTTTGTTGCTTTTGTTGTTGTTGGTTTGTTGCATTGTTGTACAATAATGTATTTCTCAGAAGGAAAATAAACTATAACTATTGTATTCTACTCTAGGTGCTGTGTACGTGGTCGGAGTATGACATTCTGAAGCCAGGTCACCTGTATATCGTTAAGTCCTTCCTACCAGAGGTGGTCCAGACCTGGCAGAGCATCTACAAGGAGGACACTGTGCTGCTGCTCTGTCTCAGGGTAGAGGAGAACGCGCTTCACCCAACGATATATACACTGAGTGTACAAAACATTAGGAACACCTTCCTAATCAAGGCTTTAAAATCCTTCTTTAACCTGTCTCCTCCCCATCATCTACACTGATTGAAGTGGATTTAAAAGGTGACATCAATAAGGGATTATAGCTTTCACCTGGTCCGTTTGTCATGGAAAGGGCCATGTTTTGTACACTCAGTGTTTCCCTGATTCATTCCCATTACTCAAAGCCCCGAAAGGAGGACTAGGAATATGGCGACCTGGTGGCTTCAAAGGCTCTTATTGGCCAAGACATAGCGTCAGCTATCCAGGGCTTACAGTGCATTCGGAAAGTATTCAGACCATTGACCTACACACAATACCCCATAATGACAAAGTGAAAACAGTTTCTTTTTTACATTTTTGCAAATGACAAAAAAATTAAAACAGAAATACCTTATTTACATAAGTATTCAGACCCTTTGCTATGAGACTCAATATTGAGCTCAGGTGCATCCTGTTTCCATTGATCATCCTTGATGTTTCTACAACATGATTGGAGTCCACCTGTGGTAAATTCAATTGATTGGACATGATTTGGAAAGGCACACACCTGTCTATATAATGTCTCACAGTTGACAGTGCGTGTCAGAGCAAAAACTAAGCCATGAGGTGGAAGGAATTGTCCGTAGAGCTCTGAGACAGGATTGTGTCGAGGCACAGATCTGAGGAAGGGTACCAAAACATTTCTGCTGCATTGAAGGTCTCCAAGAACACAGTGGCCTCCATTCTTAAATGGAAGAAGTTTGGAACCACCAAGACTCTTCCTAGAGCTGGCCAGCCAGCCAAACTGAGCAATCGGGGGAGAAGGGCCTTGGTCAGGGAGGTGACCAAGATCCGATGGTCACTCTGACAGAGGTCCAGAGTTCCTCTGTGGAGATGGAAGAACCTTCCAGAAGGACAACCATCTCTGCAGCACTCCACCAATCAGGCCTTTATGGTACAGTGGCCAGAAGGAAGCCACTCCTCAGTAAAAGGCACATGACAGCCCGCTTGGAGTTTGCCAAAAGGCACCTAAAGGACTCTCGGACCATGAAAAACAAGATTCTCTGGTCTGATGAAACCAAGATTGAACTCTCTGGCCTGAATGCCAAGCGTCACGTCTGGAGGAAACCTGGCAACATCCCTACGGTGAAGCATGGTGGTGGCAGCATTATGCTGTGGGGATGTTTTTCAGCGGCAGGGACTGGGAGACTAGTCAGGATTGAGTAAAAGATGAACGGTGCAAAGTACAGAGAGATCCTTGATGAAAACCTGCTACAGAGCGCTCAGGACCTTAGACTGGGGGTGAAGGTTTACCTTCCAACAGGACAACTACCCTAAGCACACAGCCAAGTTAACGCAGGAGTGGCTTCGGGACAAGTCTCTGAATGTCCTTGAGTGGCCCAGCCAGAGCCCGGACTTGAACCCAATCGAACATCTCTGGAGATGTGCAATGACGCTCCCCATCCAACCTGACAGAGCTTGAGAGGATCTGCAGAGAAGAATGGGAGAAACTCCCCAAATACAGGTGTGCCAAGCTTGTAGTGTCATACTCAAGAAGACTCAAGGCTGTAATCGCTGCCAAAGGTGCTTGAACAAAGTACTGAGTAAAGGGTCTGAATACTTATCTAAATGTGATATTTCTGGTTTTTAATTTTAATAAATTTGCAAAAATTTCTAAAATCCTGGTTTTGCTTTGCCATTATGGGGTATTGTGTGTAGATTGATGAGCGGGGGGGGGGGACAATATAAGATTTAACATAACAAAATGTGGAAAGGGTCTGAATACGTTCCGAATGCACTGTATATACGTAATTGGCTTCACCTCTGTACGTATACACACACACACACACACACACACACACACACACACACACACAATAGCAGGACACAACTCTATGGTTAGTTTTCCACCCTCTCTTCCTCCATTCTATTCATCCATCCTTCCTCCTCTATTGTCTATTCAAGGCTATTTCATGTGGAAATATGGAAATACCTCATACACTGGGATCATCTCTCTCTCTCTCATTCATTGATTTCTCTTTTGACAGGAAATTCAACAGCAGAGAGCTGCTCAGAAACTGACATTTGCCTTCAACCAAATAAGGCCCAAGACAATCCCTTACTCTCCCAGGTACACACACACACACACACACCAGAGCTATATGGCACAGTTCTCATTTAGCTGCTTGGTTTCAGGTGTTTTCAGCTGCTAACATTAAAAATGATTTTATTTTGGCATTTTAAACATGAATTTCAGAAGACAGAGTGCCCACCTCTCTGTCTCTCTGTCTCTGTGTGTAGGTTTCTGGAGGTGTTTCTGTTGTACTGTCACTCTGCAGGCCAGTGGTTTGCTATAGAGGAGTGTATTACTGGAGAGTTCAGGAAGTTTAACAATAACAACGGGGACGAGATTGTCCCGACCAACCTTCTGGAGGAGACCATGCTGGCCTTCAGCCACTGGACATACGAGTACACCCGGGGAGAGCTGTTAGTGCTGGACCTACAAGGTAATACTGACCTTCAACCCCTAACCTTTAACCCCTGACCCTTCAGTGACTGGACATACAGTACCAGTCAAAGGTTTGGACACACCTACTAATTCAAGGATTTTTCTTTCTTTTTTACTATTTTCTACATTGTAGAATAATAGTGAAGACCAAAAGTGTTAAACAAATCAAAATATATTTTAGATTTTAGATTCTTCAAAGTAGCCACCCTTTGCCTTGATGACAGCTTTGCACACTCTTGGCATTCCTAACCCCTGACCTCCAACCCCTAACCTTTAACCCCTGACACTTCAGTGACTGGACATACGAGAACACCAGGAGAGAGTTGTGCTGGGCTGGTCAAAATCCTGTAAATACAAATCCCTCCCATTAGTAACTGCTATCTCTGTGTTTGTGTTTTTTAGGAGTGGGGGAGATTCTGACTGATCCGTCTGTCATAAAGAGTGGAGAGAAGGGGTGTGTAAACCTGTTTCTGTTCTCTCAAATTCAAAAATCATGTTTCACTTTGTTGTAAAACCTTTATAACATTCCCATTTTAATCCATAGATCATACAACACAATATTTGGACCTTTAGAATGCTCACATAATTAATAATAATAATGTTGTCTTGATTAATCTGTAGGTCATATGACATGATATTTGGTCCTGCCAACCTGGGAGACGACGCCATCAGAAACTTCCGTGCCAAACACCACTGTAACTCCTGCTGCAGGAAACTCAAACTTCCCGGTAGGGAATTCTCTCTCTGTTTGTTTTCCGTTTGCATCCGAGTGTGTCCGTTACTATGGAGACGGGGTGAGCTTATCTGTTGCTATGGGGACAGAGGACTGTGGGCGAAAGGGGACAATGCAGATTCGAATATAAGGCTCTAGGACAATGGAGTAGTGACATTGTTACAGTGCCTTGCAAAGGTATTCATCCCCCTTGGCGTTTTTCCTATTTTGTTGCATTACAACAAATTTAAATTGTACTGCAAATTTAAATTGATTTTTATTTGGATTTCATGTAATGGACATACACAAAATAGTCCAAATTGGTGAAGTGAAATGAAAAAAGTAACTTGTTTCAAACAAATCTAATAAATAACGGAAAAGTGGTGCGTGCATATGTATTCACCCCCTTTGCTATGAAGCCCCTAAATAAGATCTGGTGCAACCAATTATCTTCAGAAGTCACATAATTAGTTAATAAAGTCCAATCTAAGTGTCACATGATCTGTCACATGATCTCAGTGTATATATACACACACCTGTTCTGAAAGGCCCCAGAGTCTGCAACACCACTAAGCAAGGGGTACACCAAGCAAGCGGCACCATGAAGACCAAGGAGCTCTCCAAACAGGTCAGGGACAAAGTTGTGGAGAAGTACAGATCAGGGTTGGGTTATAAAAAAAATATCAGACACTTTGAACATCCCACGGAGCATCATTAAATCCATTCTTAAAAATGTTTAAGAATATGGCACCACAACAAACCTGCCAAGAGAGGGCCACCCACCAAAACTCACGGACCAGGCAAGGAGGGCATTAATCAGAGAGGCAACAAAGAGACCAAAGATAACCCTGAAGGAACTGCAAAGCTCCACAGCGGAGATTGGAGTATCTGTCCATAGGACCACTTTAAGCCGTACACTCCACAGAGCTGGGCTTTATGGAAGAGTGGCCAGAAAAGGCCATTGCTTAAAGAAAAAAATAAGCAAACACATTTGGTGTTCGGCATGTGGGAGACTCCCCAAACATATGGAAGAAGGTACTCTGGTCAGATGAGACTAAAATTGAGCTTTTTGGCCATCAAGGAAAACGCTATGTCTGGTGCAAACCCAACACCTCTCATCACCCCGAGAACACCATCCCTACAGTGAAGCATGGTGGTGGCAGCATCATGCTGTGGGGATGTTTTTCATCGGCAGGGACTGGGAAACTGGTCAGAATTGAAGAAATGATGGATGGCGCTAAATACAGGGGAATTCTTGAGGGAAACCTGTTTCAGTCTTCCAGAGATTTGAGACTGGGACGGAGGTTCACCTTCTAGCAGGACAATTACCCTAAGCATACTGCTAAAGCAACACTCGAGTGGTTTAAGGGGAAACATTTAAATGTCTTGGAATGGCCTAGTCAAAGCCCAGACCTCAATCCAATTGAGAATCTGTGGTATGACTTAAAGATTGCTGTACACCAGCAGAACCCATCCAACTTGAAGGAGCTGGAGCAGTTTTGCCTTGAAGAATAGGCAAAAATCCCAGTGGCTAGATGTGCCAAGCTTATAGAGACATACCCCAAGAGACTTGCAGCTGTAATTGCTGCAAAAGGTGGCTCTACAAAGTATTGACTTTGGGGGGGTGAATAGTTATGCACGCTCAAGCTTTCTGTTTTTTTGTCTTATTTCTTGTTTGTTTCACAATAAAAAAATCCATTTAAATTCCAGGTTGTAAGGCAACAAAATAGGAAAAATGCCAAGGGGGGTGAATACTTTCGCAAGCCACTGTATTTCAGCTGTATGTAATAGATGGATGCCTGTCTGTCTGCCTCATCTCTCTCCTCTTCCTGTGTCTGTTCAGATCTGAAGCGGAACGAGTACACGCCGGACAAACTGATGCTGCCTCAGGACGAATCACACGACCCCGGAAGCGGGACCCGCCCCTCAATGAGGCTCATGCTCTGATCCTATTGGACAGAGATCAGAGAGAAGAGGCCAGTGCTGTTATTCTATTGGCCAATGCCATAGAGGAGGAAGGAAGAAGTAGTGCGCAGACCTCATCGGTCATGGCTAGAAGGGATCCAGCTTTTGTCAAATTAGCTTCAGATTTGACTTTTCATAGCAGGTTAGGAGAATTAGGTTAATGTTAGGAAAAGAGTTAGGGTTAGCTAAAATAAAATAAAACGTTTTACATTAATTTGACAAAAGCTGGATGAGGTGGGTTTAGCCATGACCCACCTCATCCAATCAACTGGAAGAGCCACGCCTGTGTTTCCATGGAGACCAATGCATGCATGCAGAACTGTGTTACTTTTGTATCTGTCCTACCAGAAACTGTGTCCAACCAACACCAATCAGCAACCAAGAAGATTCTTTTTTTTTTTATGTGTAAATGGGGAACAAAACTTTTAAATCTGTTTTTTTTTACTACAAGTTTATATGTTATGAGTGTGTGTGTATATATATATATATATCTATATATATATATAAACATAAATGGTTATTAACAGGTACAATATCATTGCATAAAGAGACGGTATAGTACTTATTCTGAACTATGAAAAGCCTTTGTTGGCAATGACACAGGTCAAAGTTTTCTGTAAGTCTTCACAAGGTTTTCACACACTGTTGCTGGTATTTTGGCCCATTCCTCCATGCAGATCTCCTCTAGAGCAGTGATGTTTTGGGGCTGTCGCTGGGCAACACGGACTTTCAACTCCCTCCAAAGATTTTCTATGGGGTTGAGATCTGGAAACTGGCTAGGCCACTCCAGGACCTTGAAATGCTTCTTACGAAGCCACTCCTTCGTTGCCCGGGCGGTGTGTTTGGGATCATTGTCATGATGAAAGACCCAGCCACGTTTCATCTTCAATGCCCTTGCTGATGGAAGGAGGTTTTCACTCAAAATCTCACGATACATGGCCCCATTCATTCTTTCCTTTACACGGATCAGTCGTCCTGGTCCCTTTGCAGAAAAACAGCCCCAAAGCATGATGTTTCCACCCCCATGCTTCACAGTAGGTATGGTGTTCTTTGGATGCAACTCAGCATTCTTTGTCCTCCAAACACGACGAGTTGAGTTTTTACCAAAGAGTTATATTTTGGTTTCATCTGACCATATGACATTCTCCCAATCCTCTTATGGATCATCCAAATGCACTCTAGCAAACTTCAGACGGGCCTGGACATGTACTGGCTTAAGCAGGGGGACACGTCTGGCACTGCAGGATTTGAGTCCCTGGCGGCGTAGTGTGTTACTGATGGTAGGCTTTGTTACTTTGGTCCCAGCTCTCTGCAGGTCATTCACTAGGTCCCCCCGTGTGGTTCTGGGATTTTTGCTCACCGTTCTTGTGATCATTTTGACCCCACGGGGTGAGATTTTGCGTGGAGCCCCAGATCGAGGGAGATTATCAGTGGTCTTGTATGTCTTCCATTTCCTAATAATTGCTCCCACAGTTGATTTCTTCAAACCAAGCTGCTTACCTATTGCAGATTCAGTCTTCCCAGCCTGGTGCAGGTCTACAATTTTGTTTCTGGTGTCCTTTGACAGCTCTTTGGTCTTGGCCATAGTGGTATATACTAAAGCAAAACTAAAGTGCATTGCCTGTGTCTGTAGGGCTGGACTGTAAGGGTTAACCCACTGAGATACAATTTGAAACACTTTATACAGAATGTCACCAGATACTTTTTTATAAATGTAAAATACCTGTTATGGCATTAGTGGTTCATATTTAATGAGAAGACACATTAATTAGAAAGTCTTGTAAAATATGGGCAGATTGCAATGCAACTTTTACAGTACATATGTAATAATTGTATTCTGTTGAACTCTTCTAAAATGTGTCCATCAAATATTGCTGATAGTTTTTAAATGTTACAAAGCTGGTACTATTATTGTTATTTCTTTGTCATCACGTATTGTATGAGCAAATACCAATCTAGTGTATCTTATAGATACTTATATCTGGTACTGAGCAGAAGCAGATGATATTTTATGCAGGGGAGTGTAAGGTTCTATTACTCTACATTTTCTACTGTATATTATTTAAACTAATAAAATGAAAAAATGACAGTTATGTCCCATTCCTTGTACAGAATGAGGCTGATACTGTCTTGTGGGGATGAGGCCCCCACATTCTTCAGTATGACTGCAGCTGCTGGCAGAGACACACACCTGTTGATGAGCCAGCTGATAAAGAACCCAGTAGGCAACAGTTATTCATCAGTTACTCAACAGACTATTTGTCTGTAACCCAACACCATTACCCTACAGTTAGAAGGTCTGGATGGGAACTCTGCATATTTCCTCATTTTCACAAACTTCATCTCCACCTATATCTTTAGCAGTTTAGGAACATCGATCAACGGTGATAACGCTTCTCGGTGTTGTCACATAAAGTCCAGTGGAAAGCAACATTATGTAAAATCAGTATGTATAGTGATATGTCCATTTTACTGCCACATATCTTTGTCAGAGGTGGAACTGCCTTAGAGCTGTCAAATCCACAAGCGGCTCCTGGCATTATACCTAAAGTGGACATTGCCATTGGCTGCACGGAGTTAAGTTCCAACACTGGAATGCGAGATGTAATCTACACCTTGATTAGGATGATAAAAAAACGTATTTAGTTGAATGATTTTTCAATTTGACTAATTATTTCTATATAGCCTACACTTTCTCGTTCTGAACTTCCAAAGCGAATGGGGGCGGGTATGGCTTCATGAAGAGGCAAGAGCAGCTGCTCACTGATTTGATGGCTCCAACACAGTTCCACCACCAAGTCATCCGCTATGCGGGTGTCTGCTATCGCTGGTTAAGGCTTGATTGAACCTAGGCCTTAGTAGTAGTAAGTTAGCAGTAGTAGTTATTAGTAATAGTAGGACTCCATATGTTTGTGTTTGTTGTTTTTATGTCCTATGAATTTGTATGACAATTATTTCACACATTTCTGTGAAAATAGACAAAATCCTTTTTGATCTTCGGCAAATAGAGAGCAGAGTACAGTATATTGACAGTCTGTTGGTCAAATAGCAGAAGGATTTTTTTTAACCACTTCCTGTCTAGGCTAGATAAACCAGTCTACTTGTTACCTGGAAAGGCGTGGTTAGATGGGGGCCAGTGACTCTGCAGTTTACTCAGCTTATCTGTAACAGTGCTCACCTGCTTTCACTTCTGTCTCTTTCGCATTGCTCACACACACTGGTTCTAGAGAGGAGAAACTACCAAGAGATAAGAATCATGTCTGTGGAAATCCACATAGAATATTGGTAAGTTATTGTCAAACGTTTTACTACATCTGTTAATGTCTACTCTAAAATGTTATTAGGAGATCTGGTGTTATACCCAAGAAAACATCAACAGTGAGTCCATGTACAAACTGTCTGAATGTGTTGGTGTGGAACCAATAGACTTCCTATTGCCTCAGGTTATTGATTTAAAGGGATAGTTTACACACAAAACATTTTTTTAACATGATTTTCCACTTAGACTGATGATGTAAATAATGAGTTTCTCTAACTTTTACCAAAGTTTCAGCCACCCTCTCCATTTCTATTGTCCAGTGTAAAGTTAGAGATATGACATGCCATGTGCAGCCTGTGTGACAGTGTGTGTGTGACCGTATGTGTGTGACAGTGTGTGTGTGACAGTGTTTGTTGTAACGGTGTGTTTGTGTTGTGGTCTGCAGTAGTGGATGAGGGTACGAGTCTCGCTATCAGGACCTGGCATCCGCCATCAAGCGGAATGTTCCTGATGCGACGGTGACGGGAACCACAGGGCGGCGTTGTAAGTTACTCACACACACACAGCTTGAAGTTACCCTGTCAGATACAGTGACGTCATAGCTGTGTTTTACACACAGAACAATGTCACAGATCCCATCGGACTTCAACTGACTACACTATGATGGTCCATCCATCAGATTTGATCAATACCTCAGATTATTATTTTATATTCTAACCTAACTGCTCATGGTTTGTCCCACAGCCAGTTTCGAGGTAACAGTGAATGGTAAACTGGCTTACTCTAAACTGGAGGCAGGAGGATTCCCAGACACCAAGGAGGTGGGTGTTGTTCCTGTTCTAACCACCAGGTGGCACCATACTCAATGTATCTTCATGTTATGTCTGAGGTCAAGCCACACTATCTGAACCTGAACAGTAGCTCAGAAGTGTAAAGTCAGGGAGCATGGATAAGACGATAAGGCATGGGATCCAATCCCAGCCAAGTCATACTATTTATTTAAGCATTTCATTGTACTGTATAGTATACACCATGTGTATCCTGTGCATATGATATGACAAATATACCTTCATTTGATTTATCGCCTACATGCTCTCTGTAACATGCGCTACCATCTGACCAGCTGGTGGCGATGGTGAGGGAGGTGAGCCACGGAGGAAAGGTGGAGAAAGTGAAGAAGAAGGATAAGTGCGTTCTCCAATAGATGAGTGGAGAGAGAGAGATGAGGAGGAAAGGAGAGAGCCGGACAGGAGGAGGAAGAGTGTTTTCTAAGATCCTGGGTCCTGATCTGATTCTATTAATGATTGTTCACAATTAAACTAGGGATGTGCAACATGATGAAGACTAGTCATTTCAACTGTCTGGGATCTGAGGGAAAAACTCATCCTGTGACTCTGTTTTATACAATCATGTCATTTTATGTTATTCCTTGTCTGTTTTTCTTTCGTTATACAGACAAAAATATTATATTCAACTGACCAACATTTAGATTTACATTCTATAAATTATATTGTACTCAATGTAGATCTCTGCAGTTGTATAGGCTTTACGTGTATTTTTAAATGATCAAATAAATTCAATTAATCAATTGGTATTGAGTTTGTGTGTTGGGAGGGTGCTGTCTGACATTTATTGGTGTTTTGTTTTTATATGGCTGTATAAAGATTAACGTTTTTATTGAACTTGTGACACTTCATCCAAGAGGGGAATTTATTCCAGTTGTGGAGTGCGAGGGAATTACCACTCTGCCATCTGGAGTTTTGCTACATTTTACCACCCAATGTATTCCATGGAATTTAGAGCTGATTTATTATTCATTCTATCCACTCTATAAGCCTCTGTCAAATGCACTTTAAATTGTAATACATCTGTTCTGTGATAGCCTCCAGCATATTGGAGAATATTGTAGAATCTGATCCTTTCTACCCCTCTATCCCGCTTTCTCCCTCTCTATCCACCTGTTACCTGAAAGGGTGTAGTTAGATGGGGGCCAGTGACTCTGCAGTTTACTCAGCTTATCTGTAACAGTGCTCACCTGCTTTCATGTTTCTTTAACATTGCTCACACACACACACACAGGTTCTAGAGAGGAGAAACTACCAAGAGATAAGAATCATGTCTGTGGAAATCCACATAGAATATTGGTAAGTTATTGTCAAACGTTTTACTACATCTGTTAATGTCTACTCTAAAATGATATTAGGAGATCTGGTGTTATACCCAAGAAAACATTACAGTGAGTCCATGTACAAACTGTCTGAATGTGTTGGTGTGGAACCAATAGACTTCCTATTGCCTCAGGTTATTGATTTAAAGGGATAGTTTACACACACAAAACATTTTTTTAACATGATTTTCCACTTAGATTGATGATGTAAATAATGAGTTTCTCTAACTTTTACCAAAGTTTCAGCCACCCTCTCCATTTCTATTGTCCAGTGTAAAGTTAGAGATATGACATGCCATGTGCAGCCTGTGTGACAGTGTGTGTGTGATGGTGTGTGTGTGACAGTGTTTGTTGCAACGTGTAACAGTGTGTTTGTGTTGTGGGCTGCAGTAGTGGATGAGGGTACGAGTCTCGCTATCAGGACCTGGCATCCGCTATCAAGCGGAATGTTCCTGATGCGACGGTGACGGGAACCACAGGGCGGCGTTCTAAGTTACTCACACACACACAGCTTGAAGTTACCCTGTCAGATACAGTGACGTCATAGCTGTGTTTTACACACAGAACAATGTCACAGATCCCATCGGACTTCAACTGACTACACTATGATGGTCCATCCATCAGATTTGATCAATACCTCAGATTATTATTTTATATTCTAACCTAACTGCTCATGGTTTGTCCTACAGCCAGTTTCGAGGTAACAGTGAATGGTAAACTGGCTTACTCTAAACTGGAGGCAGGAGGATTCCCAGACACCAAGGAGGTGGGTGTTGTTCCTGTTCTAACCACCAGGTGGCACCATACTCAATGTATCTTCATGTTATGTCTGAGGTCAAGCCACACTATCTGAACCTGAACAGTAGCTCAGAAGTGTAAAGTCAGGGAGCATGGATAAGACGATAAGGCATGGGATCCAATCCCAGCCAAGTCATACTATTTATTTAAGCATTTCATTGTACTGTATAGTATACACCATGTGTATCCTGTGCATATGATATGACAAATATACCTTCATTTGATTTATCGCCTACATGCTCTCTGTAACATGCGCTACCATCTGACCAGCTGGTGGCGATGGTGAGGGAGGTGAGCCACGGAGGAAAGGTGGAGAAAGTGAAGAAGAAGGATAAGTGCGTTCTCCAATAGATGAGTGGAGAGAGAGAGATGAGGAGGAAAGGAGAGAGCCGGACAGGAGGAGGAAGAGTGTTTTCTAAGATTCTGGGTCCTGATCTGATTCTATTAATGATTGTTCACAATTAAACTAGGGATGTGCAACATGATGAAGACTAGTCATTTCAACTGTCTGGGATCTGAGGGAAAAACTCATCCTGTGACTCTGTTTTATACAATCATGTCATTTTATGTTATTCTTTGTCTGTTTTTCTTTCGTTATACAGACAAAAATATTATATTCAACTGACCAACATTTAGATTTACATTCTATAAATTATATTGTACTCAATGTAGATCTCTGCAGTTGTATAGGCTTTACGTGTATTTTTAAATGATCAAATAAATTCAATTAATCAATTGGTATTGAGTTTGTGTGTTGGGAGGGTGCTGTCTGACATTTATTGGTGTTTTGTTTTTATATGGCTGTATAAAGATTAAAGTTTTTATTGAACTTGTGACACTTCATCCAAGAGGGGGATTTATTCCAGTTGTGGAGTGCGAGGGAATTACCACTCTGCCATCTGGAGTTTTGCTACATTTTACCACCCACTGTATTCCATGGAATTTAGAGCTGATTTATTATTCATTCTATCCGCTCTATAAGCCTCTGTCAAATGCACTTTAAATTGTAATACATCTGTGCTGTGATATCCTCCAGCATATTGGAGAATATTGTAGAATCTGATCCTTTCTACCCCTCTATCCCGCTTTCTCCCTCTCTATCCACCTGTTACCTGAAAGGGTGTAGTTAGATGGGGGCCAGTGACTCGGCACACCAAAAATTAGGGATTCAACAAGGGTTCTTCTAAGATCCTCAAAGTTCTTTGAAGAACCTTAGGGTTCTTGGCACAGAAAATTGGACCCAAAAGGTTCTTCCAAGAACCCCATAGGAGGTGGGGTTCATCGAGGAACCTCATTAGTTGGTGGGGGTTCTTGCAGGAACCTAACTGCCCAACTGAAACATTTGGATTTGAAAGGACAGCAGGTGCAGGCCCTTAACTAAAACATGTAAAGATCTCCTCAATTTAAGGTAAGGTTTGTTCCTTGTATGATCTAAATTGATATTGTTGAACAGTAGCTCAGCAGTGTTAAGCATGGATAAGACGATAAGGCATGGGATCCAATCCCAGCCAAGTCATACTATTTCTTTAAGTATTTCATTGTACTGTATAGTATACACCACGTGTATCCTGTTCATATGATATGACAAATATACCTTCATTTGATTTATCTCCTACATGCTCTCTGTAACATGTGCTCTACTGTCTGACCAGCTGGTGAGGGAGGTGAGCTGCAGAGGAAAGGTGGAGAAAGTGAAAAAGAAGGAAGATAAGCTTGTTCCCCAGTACAGGGTTTCCCAAACTCGGTCCTGGGGCCCCCCTGGGTGCACGTTTTGGTTTTTGCCCTAGCACTACACAGCTGATTCAAATAATCAAAGCTTGATGATGAGTTGGTTATTTTAATCAGCTGTGTAGTGCTAGGGCAAACACCAAAACGCACCCAGGGGGGTCCCCAGGACCGGGTTTGGGAAACCCTGCACCAGTAGATGAGTGGAGAGCAAGAGGTAGGAAGAGGAGGATAAAAGGAGAGAGGGGGAGAGGAGGAGGACGGTGTTTTCTAAGATCCTGGGTCCTGGCCTGTTTCTATTAATGATTGTTCACATTGAAACTAGGGATGTGCAACATGGAGACTAGAGTCATTTAAACGGTCTGTGATTTAAGGAAAATACTCTTATACTGTTATGTTATGTTGTTATGTAATGTTATGTAATGCTGTTGTTATTCCTCTGTTTTTCTTTCATGATACAGACAGGGATATTATATTAGACTAGCGTTTAGATTGATATTCTATAAGTTATATTCTACTCAATATAGATCTCTGCAGTTGTACATGTATTTTTAAATGATCAAATAAATTAATTCAATCAGTTGGTATTGAGTGTATGTGTTGGGAAGGTAGAGGTTGGGGGATCAGGGGCACACACAACCACTGCACTTTACCTTCCCAGGTAACATCCACACACTCCAGCAGCATCACAGACTGGCCTACCAGGTGACAGTAGTGCGTGCACCATGGACAGATAAAATCTCACACCACCTGAGATCAGAGCACCCATCTACCGCAGGCTTCCTGTCCAGATCCTCATCTACCCTGCTCTCTGTTTCTCCTTCTCTAGCTCTCCATCCCTCTATCCCACCAGGTTTTGAATGATCAGAGATGGAAATAGCTGTTCTATACACAAATCAACATCCTACTGCTATCACACAGTGACACGCTGGCAGTGCCAGCAGGGGTGTAAAGTATTTTTACTTAAGTCGTTTTTTGGGGTATCTGTACTTTACTTTACTATTTATATTTTGGACAACTTTTACGTCACTACATTCCTAAAGAAAATAATGTACTTTTTACTGCACACCCAAAAGTACTCGTTACATTTTCAATGCTTAGCAGGACAGGAAACTGCTCCACTGCTTCACGCATTTATCAAGATAAATAAATCCCTGTTCATCCCTACTGCATCTGATCTGGCGGATGCTTCATTTGTAAATGATGTCTGTGTTGGAGTGTGCCCCTGATTATCTGTAAATTAAAATAAGAAAAAGAAATGTGCCGTCTGGTTTGCTTAATATAAGGAATTTGAAATGATTTTGATACTTAAGTATATTTTAGCAATTACATTTACTTTTGATACTTAAGTATATTTAAAACCAACATTCCAAACACCCATGCACACACACACACTCACCTGCCACATGTAACACAGCTACTGTAAGCGCAGAGATGTCACAAACTCACAGCACAAAACCCCCCAGAATGAAATACGCCCAAGAGAAGCAAACCAAGCATGCATATCTAGTGACATTCACTGTCCACAGTCTAGAGATATAATTCACTGTCCCCTGTCCACAGATAACATAATTCACTGTCCACAATCTATAGATAACATCATTCACTGTCCCCTGTCCAATCTAGAGATAATATCATTCACTGTCCCCTGTCCAATCTAGAGCTAATATCATTCACTGTCCCCTATCCAATCTAGAGATAATATCATTCACTGTCCCCTGTCCAGTCTAGAGATAACATAATTCACTGTCCAATCTAGAGCTAATATCATTCACTGTCCCCTGTCCACAGATAACATAATTCACTGTCCACAATCTATAGATAACATCATTCACTGTCCCCTGTCCAATCTAGAGATAATATCATTCACTGTCCCCTGTCCAATCTAGAGCTAATATCATTCACTGTCCCCTGTCCACAGATAACATAATTCACTGTCCACAATCTATAGATAACATAATTCACTGTCCCCTGTCCAATCTAGAGATAATATCATTCACTGTCCCCTGTCCAGTCTAGAGATAACATAATTCACTGTCCCCTGTCCAATCTAGAGCTAATATCATTCACTGTCCCCTGTCCAGTCTAGATCAGTATCACTGTCCTGTCCATCTAGAGATATATATTCACTGTCCTGTCCAAGTCAGATGAAATTCACTGTCCCTGTCGAACTGGCTGATATGCATCTAGTCCCCCAGTGATCATTCTGCTGATACTGGTGTCTGGGTATCTAAGGTCAGTGATCATTCATGCTGATACTGGTATTCTGGGTATCTAAGGTCAGTGATCATTCTGCTGATACTGGTGTCTGGGTATCTAAGGTCAGTGATCATTCTGCTGATACTGGTGTCTGGTATCTAAGGTCATGTGTCCATTCTGCTGATACTGGATGTCTGGGTATCTAAGGTCAGTGATCATTTGCTGAACTGGTGCCTGGTATCTAGAGTCATATCATTCTGCTGATACTGGTCGTCTGGGTATCTAAGGTCAGTATCATTTTGCTGATACTGGCTGTCTGGTATCTAGAGTCAGTGATCATTCTGCTGATACTGGTAGTCTGGTATCTAAGGTCAGTGATCATTCTGCTGATACTGGGTGTCTGGGTATCTAAGGTCAGTGATCATTCTGCTGATACTGGGTGTCTGGGTATCTAAGGTCAGTGATCATTCTGCTGATACTGGGTGTCTGGGTATCTAAGGTCAGTGATCATTCTGCTGATACTGGGTGTCTGGGTATCTAAGGTCAGTGAGGTCAGAGAGTTTAACACATTTCTCAAACCCCCGGACCTCTGTCTGTCTGACTCCCTGCCTCTCCCTCCCTTGCGCTCTCTCTACCCTGGTCTCTCGCCAATTCTCCCCCCCTTATCTCAGTCTCTCCCTTTGCTTGTTTATGAGATCCAGTCCCGAGAGTCCCATCTGGAGGCCAGTAAAGATGTCCCCCTTCATCAGTAATCTCTATAATCCATCATCTAAACAGACAGTGTGCGTCAATAGAAAGAGTGATAATAACTAGGCATTAATATGTCAGCCAGTTCACCATGATGAAGCACAGCAGTGAGGTGCTGCTGTTAGTCTACTGGGAGAAAACATGTCAACAGGATATAACAAACAGTCACACGTTGACAACATCAGCTCTCAGCCATGTGAGTGTGTGTTGTATGTGTTCTATGGTAGCAAATCAGGTCCGTCTCATTGTTGCATGTTTTGAGGGTCTGAGAGGCCGAGGGCAACACAGACTCTTTGATGGTTCAGATATACAATGACTGGTCTCACGTTTACCTCCTCCATCCCTCACTCCGGAACCCCTCCTCCATCCCAGACCCTATTGGTGACATAAAACAGTCACTCTTAGAAGGAAATCTATTCTGGGGCAGAGCGAAAGAGAGGGGCAGAGAGAGAGAGAGACTTTGTATGGGAAGCAGGGAAAGGGGGTCAAACTCGTTCGCAGGGTTTACTTGGCTGCTTGGGGTGAAATATGGACTCTGTCACAGAGCTTCCTCCTCACCTGATGTTCTCAATGACCCCACAAAGCAGCTGAGTGCCGGCTAATCAGAGAGCAAGGCTTGTGTGTATGTCAGCAGACAGAGTGCTGATAGTATAAACAGATTGGAGAGAGGGGAGCAGATAATACTGCTCTTCCCATGGCTCAAGGGTGTGTGTGTGTGATAAATGTGATGAAAGTGTGTGTATCAGATGGAAAGCCAAAACAGTTCAAAGCCGGCATAGCAGAAACGACTAGCTATCAACAAGATGAGGCCAGATAGTGACTGAGACACTGGGATAGCAGAAACTACTAACTATCATCAAGATGAGGCCAGATAGTGACAGACTCTGGAATAGCAGAAACTACTAACTATCATCAAGATGAGGCCAGATAGTGACTAAGACACTGGAATAGCAGAAACTACTAACTATCATCAAGATGAGGCCAGATAGTGACAGACTCTGGAATAGCAGAAACTACTAACTATCATCAAGATGAGGCCAGATAGTAACAGACTCTGTATGTCTGTCCATCCTGGTAGATAAGGATAAAATAGACAGACATAGAATGGTTACAGCCCTCAGGACTGATCTAATTCCCCCATCACAGACACACACCTCTCATTGCTGTAGTATCACTGAGTATAGGACTGAATTCTCTGGCTTGGAGAAACCACTGGCTGATACTTCTAAATTCACTAGAAATACATTTAGTAAAAACGATTTGAGAGGCAAATGTGACTCAGTGAAAGACAAAGTTGTGTTTTTCCTAGCAATGGCTGTTTCTTAGAAAGCTTGCTGTGGCTATGTGTATAGAATAGCAGTAGCTACAGCTTTGTATGGGACTGAGACCAAAGTGCTGAGTTCCATTAGATGTGCGTGTGTCTAAAATAGCGGTAGCTGCATTTGTGTAACAGGATACAAGTCAGCGCTTTTATTTCTGACGATTCTGAGAAGCGTATCGGAGAGACAAGATGTGGAGCACAAGGCCTGCCTCGACAAGACTATGATGGGGGAGGAGAGGGGCAGTGTGTAGGCTGATAAACACACACACACAAACTAAGCACTTAAGTGACAGTAACAAGAACAGAGCACTCAAAAGGAGTCCTGATGCCATAGTGGAGTGTGTGTGTCGTGGTTTACATGGGGTGTGTCAAAGTAAAACCAAAAGGACTCCTGGGATATCAGTGTCTTCACTATCCTGCAGTCTCACTCACTCTGTTTTAACAAAAGACAGAACTGTAACTCAATGATTGCAACTTTTTATTTAGAAAAAGACATAAATAAATAAAAGTAATGCCCTGTAGGGAATAGGGTGCCATTTGGGATGCAGTCCATGTCTAGTTAATTGGTCTAAGGTGAGGCAGACATGATGTCTGTAATATCATATCACACTGTAGCACCACTGTCTGTAAGACAGAGACAGAAACATACATAGACATACCAAGGATATTCAACTGCAGGCCTGGAGGACCTAAACACTTCTGGTTTTCATTCTCTCCTTCTAATCAGAGACGGGAGGCGGGATGTATGTAGGCTCTCTGGCCAATCAGTGACAATCAATTACCAGGTAGAAAATAATCAAGCAGTACTGTGGACTGCCGGGCCTGGAGTAGAATAACCCTGTTGTAAACCATAGATGTTTAACATGACGAGACAGAGAAAATAGGTCAAAACTAAAAATTAACAATGAAATCTGCCAAGTGTCAATTCAAAGATGGCCACTGTTTACATTTTTATTTCATATAAATATAATATATTAATGTATATGTTTATTACACTAAAAAAGGCTTCTTGCCACACACACACACACACATTTGAAGTAGAAAGGCAAGAGACATTAATACATTTAAGACAGGACACTAAACCAATGGACAAAATGATAGGGTTCGTCCCAAATGGCACCCCATTCCTATATAGGGCAGGGATATTGAAATCTGGACCACCAGGCCAGTTCAACTGTTCATTTTCATTCTTCCCCTCTTACTAGGGACGGCTTTAGACCTGAGACACCAGTTGGGTGCAATTATTTATCAGGTAGAACAGAAAACCAGGACTACTTGGAAACTTCAGGCTTGGATACCCCTGATATAAGGAAGAAGTCGCCATTAGGGAAGCGGCCATCAACATCAAAATGGTCATCTATGTAGCTGCACGGTCGAACAGAATGCTACCAACCATAGTGGTCCAGTTGTGGTCAACACAACATGTGGTCCCTGTGCGCTCGCTTTGACAAAATACAACATTTTAATAACATAACAGGGGAAAGATATGCAAACTAATAATATTCACATACTCCATCATTTCAGAAGGCATTTAGTTTGTTGTGTTACAATCTCCAGGTATGACTGAATAATAGAGTTGGTAATAGTTGAAGGTATTACTGCGGGGCTGAAAGATGTGGAAACATTCAGTTGATGGTTGAACGAATGAAACAACTAAACCATGTAATGGAATCCTGCTTCAATGTGACATAATTCACCGGGGGTGAAGGGGGACATGTCCCAACCACTATTCTCTCTCTCCCCCCTCCATTTTCAAGACACTGTTTCGCCCCTGTTGTGACACCATTTAACCCATTAAAGACCTACCACACTGTCATTACTTTGAAATGAGACTGATGATGCAGCAGGTGCTGTGTGTTAGCGGACCAGGAGGAAGGTTAACCCTGCTATGCCCATGCCAGCGGCAGCAAACAGAGCAGTCTTCATGGACAAGTCCTGTTTCACCTCTCTTGCTGTGTGGAAGAACTTACAGAAGCCCTCCTAGAAGAGAGCGGAGAGGGTTAGGGTTAGATCCATATATTTTATTGAACACGTACGTATTCAAGGCACAAAAGTGTATCAAAGGACCAGGCTAGAGGTCAAAATAAGGAAGTCAAGAAAGTGTTTTAGTTCAATACTGCTCAAAAAGCCCCATTTCCTCTCATGTTTTCAGACAGAGACAGCTGCCTGTGGACAGTCCCTAGTCCCTGCTATAACAGACCTGCGTTGTGATTAGTAAGGCCCATTTCAAAATGTGGTTGTGTTCATCAGTCTAGTTGATGTACTGATCCAGACCCAGGTGGTTGTGTTCATCTGTCTATTTGATGTACTGATCCAGACCCAGGTGGTTGTGTTCGTCTGTCCTTATTTTGTTGTACTGATCCAGACTAGTATTTGAGTATTAATGATTGTTGTGTGCTTGGAGGTCACTAGAGTGTTACGTTAGAGACAGTACATATGGCTGTTGGGACCAGCTGGCTAGAGGAGGGGGGTGTGGTTAATTCACAAAAGCAGTCAACAAATGGAGCTGCAGCTGTGCTTGTTGCTACCCCAGTTCTTCACAGCACTACAGTCCTATGTTGTTTTGGAGTACCCCAGTAACCCCACTACCCCTGATCCACTTTATATGACTATACTGGCTGTGTGGCTACCTTGTACAAACCCTCCTCTTTTAAGTGACAGGTAGATCTCTGACCTCTCAGACTACCAGGGTTTATAATCCACACCACAGTAAAACCCCTGAGTGTATTGACATGTATAATCTACTGTGACACACTTATAACATCCTACTGATATGTAACACATTACAAATCAAAGACCCATTTCTAATAAGCATTAAAAAAAACCTTAGGGCCAGTTTCCCAGACACAGATCAATCATTTTCTAATGGGAATTCTCCATTGAACTTGCTCTTTAGTCCAGAACTAGGCCTATATTTAACCTTTACAGTCATTTAAGTCATTTAGTAGACGCTCTTATCCAGAGCGACTTACAGGAGGAATTAAGGTTAAGTGCCTTGCTCAAGGGCACAGACTTTTCACCTAGTCGTCTCGGGGGATTCGAACAAGCGACCTTCCCGTTACTGGCCCAACGCTCTTAACCGCTAGGTTACCTGCCGCCCCTAGACTTAATCTGTGTCCAGGAAACTGTCCCCCAATATTGTCACATTTCGTGTAGCATAAAAAGCCTGTGTGTTGAACAGTCATTCCTGGGTTAGACCTGAACATCATCTTGGTAGCACAGACACACATTCCAGACATTCTTGGCTGACGCCACTCTCTAATTGACATAAACACAGCAAGCAGCAGCCACATAGCAAGAAGCCACAAGGTGTCTGAATCATAGACATTATTATGACAATATAGAATGTGTCTGAATCATAGACATTATCATGACAATATAGAATGTGTCTGAATCATAGACATTATCATGACAATATAGAATGTGTCTGAATCATAGACATTATTATGACTATAGAATGTATCATTGTCCAACTGCTTCTTTTAACTTGACAGAGAGGACTAGTGCTGCTGATATGAGCCCAGATTCCCATATCTAATTCCCACCAGTTTGGTCAATTATCCTGTGTGTGTGTGTGCACGTGTCCATAAGCGCATGTGTGTGTGATGCTCACTGCTCAAACCTACCCAGCCTTTGTTCTGCAGCATCCAGTCACTCTTCTCTTCTCCTAGGTAGTCTGCTATGGTCTCCGCCAGCGCCCTGCAGCTCTCCTTCCCCCCCAGCCCCATCCCATTCCCCTGGTCAGTGTCCTCTCCCTGTAGTTCTCTGACCAGCACCCCAGTGAAGGTGAACAGAGAGACCACCCTCCCCCAGTTCATCTGTCCGTCTCCCACCAGCTCCTCCATCACCCTCCTCAGACAGGTGCAGGGGTCCGGCCCGCACTGGCACAGGAAGCTGTGTGCCAGGGTGTGGAAGCGGGCCTGGTGCTGGGCCTCCATGTCCCGGGCCAGGCGTCGCATGGCTGCAGCCGATTCGCTGGGAGGAGGAGGGGGCGGGGCTTTCTGGGACCCACTGGCAGGGACGATACTGCAGACAGACAGGTAGTCCTCTGCTACAGCCAGGGTTTCTTTCCACAGCCCGCATGACATGGTCTACAGGAAGATATACATTATCATCACATACAGTTAATACATTATCTATAGCCTATATATCAGAAAGGTCTTCTGCTACAACCACCGATTTTCTCACAGCCAGCATGACATGGTATATACAGGAAACATTATCAATACATTATGCTCAAACATGACCAGTACATTATCACATGCAGTACATTTTTCCCACCCTGTACTACAGGGTCTAGACTCAAAAGGAAACATCATCAATATTCATATAGTTAGGCCTAAAGGTAAGATATTATACAGCAGGCTTCTTTCCACAACCCATCCAACATGGTCTATTGGAAACAACCTCAATCTAACCCCAAGAGGTGACATCCTGTGTGCAATACCAAGAAGAGGCTTGTATTCAAAAGAAAACAAAGCTAAGTTTCCCAATGAGCTGCATAGACCACATAGCAATATGATGCAAGCAGCACAGTGACTTGAGGTTAACATGTAATGTCTAGTCTGAGGCCTGCTTGAACTAATCAGTAGGTAGAAAGGTAAACCGTTGGTTAGCTAAATAACTGGCTATGTGAGCAAGCCAGTAAAGTCTAACTTAAGAGCCCTTGCAGGCTGGAATGATTCAGGACGTGTCATGAAGGAAACAAGGTTGTAGCTAGAGCTAATACGTTAGCTAGCTACTGTATAAAGCCAACTGAATTGACTTGAAAACGGACATCTTTGTACTTGCTAGCTTGACTGTCAAATCGCAGGCAAATCATCACACAATGATAAATCGCAATCTAGCTACTGTAGCCAGCTAAGTTAGATATCTAGCTAACGTTAAGTGGTTGGATTGTTTTACATTTTTTTGTCAACATCAACATTGGAAAATAGACAACCAGTCTTGGTTTGGATATGAGTAAGAAAGCCTTCTCGCGAACGTTAGCCGTTTCTGGCTAGCAGCTGATAGCTAACTAGCGTAGCTGGATCTGTCAATGAATATTGACACACAAAGGACCAGAGAAACCGGGGAAGCGAACAACGTCAGTATATCAAACCGCATCGATCCATTCACTCAAAGTTTATAAAACCGAAGCTTTACTAACGTATACAAGAATAGTTGGAGTTGAAGAAAAAAATATGTAGAATAGGTAGAAAAAGGGTTTTCAAAATCTCACCCTCCCAGCGATCAGACTGCTTTCTCCAAGTACAAACGGAAGAAGGAAGATCGCTGTCGTCAACGGTATTTCCCCCTCACCAGCCTCTCGCCATTCTTTATACTGTCGGTTCCGCCTCACCAAGAACGTCACAAAAAATGGCATTTCCCTGAATTGTATTTTCTTCCGCTAGAAGAGAATCAGATGTAATGGAAATACCACAGTCTCCATACTATCATCATCATCATAACCATAGCATAAAACACACTTTTAACACACCATTCATCAATCATTTAAATAACATGTATTTATTTCACAAGAAGAACACTATGATTACAAATTAACAATATTTCAAACACTCCCTCTTTCTCCCTCTCTGGCTAACCACAGTCTATGGTCTGATTGTATATAACAGTAGTATTGCACTTTCGATCTGAGCGATTGTTAGACTCTGGGCAGACTGACTGACTGGTAAACTACAGACTGTGAAGCAGGTAACAGGGGTTTAAAGGGGGACTAGGGTGTATAAACATTGACCTGATGAGCATTTGGTATAGTCCAACTTCAATCAAATAAATAGTTTCTGGGAGCCAAACCTAGATAGTTTATTATTGTGTGTGTGTAACTTAATAGAGTTTCTATAGGCAGACTCTTTCTGCGGCAGTGTGTGCTCCAGGGGCACTCTGGGTCTACTGGTCACATGACTCTGGTCCTGACCCTTAACCTCTGACCCCTGACTTCCAGCGGTTCGGTCTCGCTCTGATGACATCACAGCAGCTCTAGGCCCATATCTGTTAGAGAAAGAGCACAGAACATCAGTAAATCACATTGTATTCATTAGGACATTTGAACAACAACACAAAAAGTACATTACAGTAACCCGGTCTAGACCCCAAAGAGCAAGCAGCAGCATAGTGGCAACGAAAAACTCCCTGGAAGGAAGAAACCTTGATAGGAGTCAGATTTTTGGGGAGATGGAGAATCCTAAAATGCTAAAATGACTAAAATGTCAAATGTAAGTGAGATCACCAGAGGGAACACTAATGCTGTGTTACTGTACTTCCACAGACATTAATGAAGAACAACTACTACAGTATCTCTCAGTGGGTGGTTTCCATGTCATATATTGTGGCTACAGAGGAAAACAGAAGTATGTACTAGATTATTGTGATGTGGGGATTATCTGATGCATGACTCTGCAGAACCAGGGTTTACCACAAACTCTCCCCCTCTCTCTAGCCCATAAGGTGTTGTCCCTCCTTGTTTCATCTCCCTTCCGACCCCCCTACCCCTCTCTCTCTCTCGTGTCTCACCCGTAGAGTGTTGTCCCAGGACCCAGAGCAGAAAGCGGTTCCATCAGGAGAGACTCTGAGTGAGCTGACTCTGTTTTCATGACCAAACAGGATGGCTACTCTGGTCCCCTTCAGGACGTCCCACACGTTGATGGTGTAGTCATTATAGCCAGCAAACAACAGACGACCTGAGAGAGAGAGAGAGAGAGAAAGAGATTCTAGAATATTAGCTAGAGGATATCACAGAACAGATTTATTACAGTTTAAAGTGCATTTGACAGAGGCTAATAGAATGAATAATAAATCAGCTCTAAATTCCATGGAATACAGTGGGTGGTCAAATGTAGCAAAACTCCAGATGGCAGAGTGGATTAAATTCCCCATCTTGGCTGAAGTATGATCTCTATCACAAGTTTGATAATTAACTTTAATCTTTATACAGCCATATAAAAACAAAATACTTTGTACCGCTACAATCATATAACACACAGAGAATTAACGTTTTTTGGGGGTATAATCCAGTCTCGGCCTACACACAAAATCAGATAAGATCAAATAAAATCCCTTCACGGTTATCAAGGCCATGGCAGTATATCTATTGCATCATCACACCCGGTAAGAAAGAAAGTGAAAGAGGCAAAGTGAAGATGGGAAAGTATTGCCTGGGACAACAACATCCAATAATAACAGCACAACAACACCAGTAAATGTCCAACAGCATAATTGTAAATCTGTTCACGATCGGGGGACCAATGCATGTTTAGTTGACTCTAGTCTCTGTTTAGAGGAAGCTAATAAAAATAGGTATTATTTGTCAAATAGTTGACGACTTTTGTCCACATCTTACCACTAAGAGAGAAGTCAACACTGGCGGCTCCAAATATGATGCTGTCTTTGGAGTAGATGGACACCTCACGATCAGCCCTGAGATCAAACAGACGGCACTGGAACACACACACACAATCAATGGGACATAAAAAAATATATTTATTTTTTAACCCATCACATGCTAGTTTAATTCTGTGTTGTGAACTCAAAGGCCCGGCATTTTTCCTCATGAGAGACAATAAAGTCACATTGTAATTTTCCCATGAGGTACAATAAAGTTATATTGTAATGTATTGCATTTTTGCTCCTTGGCCCGAATAACACTTCTCAAAACAATACAAACCTGTGTAGTAATGTAAAACAGTGGGATGCTTTGACACATGTACTGTATGATGTGGTCAAAGAAAAGAGTGGTCTTTGACCAGTGACATCACAGTAAGATAACATAATCTCTCTGAGATAATCGATTAAATCAATGGTGTTATTGAGACAGACTGTCCGACTGCCACACACAACACACAGAATCACATCAAAGGTAAATCATCTCTCAAGTGTCACCATATTCCCTTTATAGTGCACTACCTTTGATTACAGCTTTTTAGTGGCAACTATGTGGCTTTGCTCAAGAGTAGTGTACTAAGTAGGGTGTATAAGTGTGTTATAAACTCACTGTAGAGTCGTCAGAAGCAGAGGCAAAAGCATCGCCACTGGGGTAGTACCTGGAGAGAGAAAGAGAGCGAGCGAGAGTGAGAAAGAGAGAGAGAGAGAGAGCGAGAGAGAGAAAGAGAGAGAGAGCGAGCAAGAGAGCGCGAGAGAGAGAAAGAGAGAGAGTGAGAGGACTAAAGAGGATGACATGGGCACTAAGCTGTATGAAGGGTTAGGTTTAGGGTCGATGGATGCTGTACTGTAGAGATTATGTGGATACTATAAAGATAGGAGATCTGTAGACAGTGAGGCTGTATAAAGGGTTGATGTGGATCCTGCTACTTACTTGACACAGTTGATGTCAGAGTCGTGGGTATCAAACGACTGGACGTTCTGCCCTGAGCGCAAGTCCCAAACGTTAGCCTTCTTATCAGAACCCTGGAACGAACACACAGACAGGTTAGGGGAGGGGGGAGAGAGAGAGAGAGAGAGAGAGAGAGAGAGAGAGAGAGAGAGAGAGAGAGAGAGAGAGAGAGAGAGAGAGAGAGAGAGAGAGAGAGAGAGAGAGAGAGAGAGAGAGAGAGAGAGAGAGAGAGAGACAGAAGAGAGCGAGAGAGAGAGACAGAAAGAGAGAGAGACAGACAGACAGACAGACAGACAGACAGAGACCCCGGAGACGAAGGTGTTTCCAGTCTCAGAGGGGGCGAGGTCCAGAGTGAGGACATCAGCAGAGTGACCGTGGAAACTCTGCAACAGCTGACCACTCTCCACATCCCACAGCGCACTGGTACCGTCACCACTGGACGTCAGGATCTACACATACGCACGCATGCAACGCGCACACATGCACGCATGGACACACACGCACAAGCAAACACACAAACAGTTTGTCAGAATATTGAAACACACACTATGATGTATTCCTAAACATGGGGCAATGTGTGATCCTCCTACCCTTTTGTGGTAGTTTGGGGTAATATAACTACAGTGCCTTGCAAAAGTATTCATCGCCCTTGGCGTTTTCCTATTTTGTTGCATTACAACCTGTAATTTAAATGGATTTTTATTTGGATTTAATGTAAAATGGGCAAACACAAAATAGTCAAAATCGGTGAAGTGAAATGAAAAAAATAACTCCAGTCTCGGCCTACACACGAAATCAGATAAGATCAAATAAAATCCCTTCACGGTTATCAAGGCCATGGCAGTATATCTATTGCATCATCACACCCGGTAAGAAAGAAAGTGAAAGAGGCAAAGTGAAGATGGGAAAGTATTGCCTGGGACAACAACATCCAATAATAACAGCACAACAACACCAGTAAATGTCCAACAGCATAATTGTAAATCTGTTCACGATCGGGGGAACCAATGCATGTTTAGTTGACTCTAGTCTCTGTTTAGAGGAAGCTAATAAAAATTGGTATTATTTGTCAAATAGTTGATGACTTTTGTCCACATCTTACCACTAAGAGAGAAGTCAACACTGTAATTTAAATGGATTTTTATTTGGATTTAATGTAAAATGGGCAAACACAAAATAGTCAAAATCGGTGAAGTGAAATGAAAAAAATAACTTATTTTAAAAAATTCAAAAAAATAAATAACGGAAAAGTGGTGCGTGCATATGTACAGTGAGGGAAAAAAGTATTTGATCCCCTGCTGATTTTGCACGTTTGCCCACTGACAAAGAAATTATCAGTCTATAATTAATGGTAGGTTTATTTGAACAGTGAGAGACAGAAAAACGCATATCCAAAATCGTATAAATTGATTTGCATTTTAATGAGGGAAATAAGTATTTGACCCCCTCTCAATCAGAATGATTTCTGGCTTCCAGGTGTCTTTTATTCAGGTATTAAGCTGAGATTAGGAGCACACTCTTAAAGGGAGTGCTCCTAATCTCAGCTTGTTACCTGTATAAAAGACACCTGTCCACAGAAGCAATCAATCAATCAGATTCCAAACTCTCCACCATGGCCAAGACCAAAGAGCTCTCCAAGGATGTCAGGGACAAGATTGTAGACCTACACAAGGCTGGAATGGGCTACAAGACCATCGCCAAGCAGCTTGGTGAGAAGGTGACAACAGTTGGTGGGTGATTATTCGCAAATGGAAGAAACACAAAATAACTGTCAATCTCCCTCGGCCTGGGGCTCCATGCAAGATCTCATCTCGTGGAGTTGCAATGATCAAGAGAACGGTGAGGAATCAGCCCAGAACTACATGGGAGGATCTTGTCAATGATCTCAAGGCAGCTGGGACCATAGTCACCAAGAAAATAATTGGTAACACACTATGCCGTGAAGGACTGAAATCCTGCAGCGCCCGCAAGGTCCCCCTGCTCAAGAAAGCACATATACAGGGCCGTCTGAAGTTTGCCAATGAACATCTGAATGATTCAGAGGAGAACTGGGTGAAAGTGTTGTGGTCAGATGAGACCAAAATCGAGCTCTTTGGCATCAACTCAACTCGCCGTGTTTGGAGGAGGAGGAATGCTGCCTATGACCCCAAGAACACCATCCCCACCGTCAAACATGGAGGTGGAAACATTATGCTTTGGGGGTGTTTTTCTGCTAAGGGAACAGGACAACTTCACCACATCAAAGGGACGATGGACAGGGCCATGTACCGTCAAATCTTGGGTGAGAACCTCCTTCCCTCAGCCAGGGCATTGAAAATGGGTCGTGGATGGGTATTCCAGCATGACAATGACCCAAAACACACGGCCAAGGCAATAAAGGAGTGGCTCAAGAAGAAGCACATTAAGGTCCTGGAGTGGCCTAGCCAGTCTCCAGAACTTTATCCCATAGAAAAACTGTGGAGGGAGCTGAAGGTTCGAGTTGCCAAACGTCAGCCTCGAAACCTTAATGACTTGGAGAAGATCTGCAAAGAGGAGTGGAACAAAATCCCTCCTGAGATGTGTGCAAACCTGGTGGTCAACTACAAGAAACGTCTGACCTCTGTGATTGCCAACAGGGGTTTTGCCACCAAATACTAAGTAATGTTTTGCAGAGGGGTCAAATACTTATTTCCCTCATTAAAATGCAAATAAATTTATAACATTTTTGACATACTTTTTCCCCTCACTGTATTCACCCCCTTTGCTATGAAGCCCCTAAATAAGATCTGGTGCAACCAATGACCTTCAGAAGTCACATAATTAGTTAAATAAAGTCCACCTGTGTGCAATCTAAGTGTCACATGATCTGTCACATAATCTCAGTATATATACACACACCTGTTCTGAAAGGCCCCAGAGTCTGCAACACCACTAAGCAAGGGGCACCACCAAGCAAGCGGCACAATGAAGACCAAGGAACTCTCCAAACAGGTCAGGGACAAAGTTGTGGAGAAGTACAGATCAGGGTTGGGTTATAAAAAAATATCAGACACTTTGAACATCCCACGGAGCACCATTAAATCCATTATTAAAAAATTGAAATAATATGGCACCACAACAAACCTGCCAAGAGAGGGCCGCCTACCAAAACTCACGGACCAGGCAAGGAGGGCATTAATCAGAGAGGCAACAGAGACCAAATATAACCCTGAAGGAGCTGCAAAGCTCCACAGCGGAGATTGGAGTATCTGTCCATAGGACTACTTTAAGCTGTACAAAAAAATAAGCAAACACATTTAGTGTTCGCCAAAAGGCATGTGGGAGACTCCCCAAACATATGGAAGAAGGTACTCTGGTCAGATGAGACTAAAATTGAGCTTTTTGGCCATCAAGGAAAACGCTATGTCTGGCGCAAACCCAACACCTCTCATCACCCCGAGAACACCATCCCCATTGTGGTGGCAGAATCATGCTGTGGGGATGTTTTTCATCGGCAGGGACTGGGAAACTGGTCAGAATTGAAGGAATGATGGATGGCGCTAAATACAGGGAAATTCTTGAGGGAAACTTGTTTCAGTCTTCCAGAGATTTGAGACTGGGACGGAGGTTCACCTTCCAGCAGGACAATGACCCTAAGCATACTGCTAAAGCAACACTCGAGTGGTTTAAGAGGACACATTTAAATGTCTTGGAATGGCCTAGTCAAAGCTCAGACCTTAATCCAATTGAGAATCTGTGGTATGACTTAAAGATTGCTGTACACCAGCGGAACTCATCCAACTTGAAGGAGCTGGAGCAGTTTTGCCTTGAAGAATGGGCAAAAATCCCAGTGGCTAGATGTGCCTAGCTTATAGAGACATTCCCCAAGAGACTTGCAGCTGTAATTGCTGCAAAATGTGGCTCTACAAAGTATTGACTTTGTGTGTGTGTGGGGGGGGGGTGAATAGTTATGCACGCTCAAGTTGTTTTTTTGTCTTATTTGTTTCACAATAAAATATATTTTGCATCTTCAAAGTGGTAGGCATATTGTGTAAATCAAATGATACAAACCCCCAAAAAATCAATTTAAATTCCAGGTTGTAAGGCAACAAAATAGGAAAAATGCCAAGGGGGGTGAATACTTTCGCAAGCCACTGTAATCTATGTCCATTCCACAGAGCTTAACTACTGGGGTGTACCCAGCTAGCGTACAACGTTCTGAGAACCATATGTTTCTTAGAGCTTGGTGAGAGAGTGGTTGTCCTATGATTATTTTGCATACAACCTTCCCACAACTTTCTGTGAACGGTGCAGGATAGTTGCTTGGCTTTGAACATTCTCAGCACATTTAAGGAACTTAACAAAAAAAATATATTTTCTTGGTATTTCATTACTTTAACAGAAAGTTTCCTAAAAGTTCAAACATGGTTGCATTTCATTTCAATTTTGGTAATGTTCTTGACATTGGGAATGTTCTCAAATAGTTCTGAGAACGTTAAGAAACAACGTTCTTCTGTGGGAATTTCAGTACTTCAGCATAACGTTTCCTACAGGTTTCCTTATTGGTTCTATTTAAAGTAATGTTCTCAAATTGTTCAGAGAACGTTAATAAAACTTTCCATAAAAACCACCAGAAAACTTTTGTAACATTCAGAGAACATGCTAAGAATGCTATTCAAAAACATATACATTCTGTTCTTAGCATCAACAAAACTCTCTCTATCCTCTTGTTAATTGTGTTCAGGTGTTTTGGCCGCGCCCATTAATTGGCCACACCTGATCTTAATGAGTGCTTGTTTCCTTTGAAATGGGGTCTGTTTGAATAGACACAAATTAACAGCTTTGTATGTGTGAAACAACATGGCATGCTAGCGCCATCCTGGTGGCGCAGTGGACTAATTCCATGGACAGAGAACAGAAGATTATAGGTTCAATTCTCACTGATGCCGTGTCACACAAAATAAATGTATTTGCTTGATTAATGCCTAAGGAAATTAATTTCCAAGTGTCCATTCATGCTTGGACGTCAAAAAAGTTAACCCAAAATAAGCTAGCAGTGTTATTAAACGTCTTATTGAAACATTCAGAGGAAGTTATTCAAAAACCTCCAAATAACCTATAATTAAGTTCGAATTATAATAATAATGTATATTCTCAGAGTGTTAATAAAACCTCCCAGGAAAACGTTCAAGGAACCAAAGTAAAACATTCTCACAACCTCCCTGCAACCTAAAAATGAACATTCCCAGAACAGGACACATTTTTATTTCTGTTCTCAAAACGTTGACATTTTTTCAGTTTTAACGGTCAGGAAATGTATGGCTTCATTCTCACAACCAATGTGAAACCAAAATCACATGTTCCCACAACTTCCAAGGAACCAAATGTGCTAACTGTATATTCACTAGGAAGCAAACAGAACCAAACGGAAGATATGAAACATCCCCCTGTCAGTCAGACAAAGATATGAAACATCCCCATCAGACAATAAAGATATGAAACTGAGACTGAACTGAGACTGACTGGGACAATGTAGTCTCAACTCTCCACAGCCCTGTGCTTTATTCCTGTTAGAGGAGAGGAGATGTGTCTGTCTCTGTGTGTTTCCTGTATTATATTACAGCTTCCTCTTTACAGGTCCCTCTCCTCACAGATGTGGCACTTAAAACTCTTGACCACTTCTATCTCTTCTTCTACATCTCCTCCACTCTTTCTTTCTCTCTCGAGAGAGCGCAAGCTTGACACACACACAGGCAAACACACAAACACCACCCCACGTTCACCCCGTCCACACGCACACAGGCAGCAACAGCCACTAACAGACCCCAGTACATTAGGTAGACAGATATTGTGAGCGTGTGCCCGTAGGTATGAGTTTTCAGCTCTGACAGATAAAGGCCTCTTAATGTCTAGTAATACACTCATAATGGAGGGCCATCTCTCTCTCTCATCACCTTCTCTCTCATCACCCTCTCCTCTCCTCTTCCTCATCCCCCTATCATTCTCAACAGTTCCTCTCTGTCTAGCAGAGATGAATTATTAACAGCCTTATATCCTCCATCTAATATTATCTTCCCTCTATTCCTCCCTCTCTCTATCCATTCTCACCTCCTTGTTCTGAAAATCTCAAATCGATTTCCTTCTCCCTCTCTCCTCGTTGTGTTGTGTGCGCCTGTGTCTGAGTGTGTTTGTGTCTGTGTGTGTGCGTGTGTGGGTGTGGGTGCATGTGTCTAGTCCCTAACCTGCATGTCAGAGTTGGTGAATGTGCAGCCGGACAGGTAGTTGGTGTGCATGGCAACCGACTTCTTCTTAGCCGCCAAGTTCTCGTCCTTGTCCAATGAGAGAGGGTACACCGAACACTTATTATCCAATCCCCTGTCAGACAGAGAGACAGACAGAGGAGAGAGATATTTGTTGGCCTTTACTTTAACATCAAGCCCTCAAGCCAATACTTTAGCATCAAGCCAATACTTTTCTTGGGGCTAAGGGGTTAAAGGTCAGAGGTTAGGGTCAGACCCACCCACAGGCGATGGCACAGCCAGAGGGGGCGTAGGCACACGCCATCACCCACGTAGTCGGCATGGTCACTGCATGTTCCTAGAACACATTGTGCATATACATTAACGTAAATAAGCACACTCACTCCACTCTCTAGTGTTAATGGAACTATGCTCTTAGCAGCCTGGTTAAGACTGCTCCACCATGGGACTGGATTAGGCAGCCATTAGCGCACTCACACACTCAGGCTGCTTTTACTAACCTTATTGGTGGTGAAAGCATCCCACACGATAACCTTCCCATCCTGGTAGACAGAAGACAAGGAAAAGAAGCATACAGATCACATGGACATACAGGGAGAGATTACTATTAAATGCCTGGTGAGAATAACATGTTCAGTGTGTCTGAGAATGGAGGAGGCAGGGAGGGAGGGAGAAATGAAGAAGGGAGGTGGGAGGGAGGAAGAGGGGAGGTGGGAGGGAAGAATGAAGACGGGAGGAGGGAAGAAGGGAGGGAGGAATGAAGACGGGAGGAGAGAGGGGGAGGAGGAGGGAAGAAGGGAGGGAGGAATGAAGAGGGGAGGAGAGAGGGAGAGGAGGGAAGAAGGGAGGGAGGAATGAAGAGGGGAGGAGAGAGGGAGAGGAGGGAAGAAGGGAGGATGAGAGAGTGAAGAGGGGAGTGAGAGAGGGGAGGATGAGAGGGGAGGAGAGAGGGAGAGGAGGGAAGAAGGGAGGGAGGAATGAAGAGGGGAGGAGGGAGGAATAAATAAGGGATGAGGGAGGGGGGAGGAGGGAAGAGTAATGGATGAAAGTTGGGTGTCAGGGAGTTCAGCGCCATGGACAGGGCTGTGACTAAAACACACTAATTACAGTAGAATAGAAGGAGGACGGAAGGCTAGAGGGCGAGGGGGAGAGGGTGGAGAGGGAGGAGAGAAAGGGGAGGGAGAATAGGGGGAGAGGGGAGCTGTTCAGGCCTAAAGTTGTGTGTATGTATACCTGTGAGGAGCTGACAATGCGTCGTTTGTCTTTGCACCAGTCCATACAGAGCACCTTGTTACCATGGCCCTTCAGTGTCCTCCTAGTCTTCATGTTTAACTCACCCAGAGCTTCTGCCTTCTCAGCTACCTTCTCCACTACACACACACACACAGTTAAAAACTCCAGTAATGACAATGAATTGTCGTGTAAATTAATAAATAGGATCTTTTTTGATCACCCTGTTGCAGGAGAACCTTCCTGCAATGCACTATATTAACTATATTATGGTAGCATATCTAATGCGGTTTCATAGCCACGGGCAAATCTCTGCAATAATGGACCTTACATATCGGATATAATAACAGTTTCAGCGCAACATGTTTGGGGTACAGTCGGTAAACATTTAGCGCATCGCGAGGCCCCTCTCCCTCCCTCCCATTAAACACTCACACTCCACATCGTGCAGCTTCTTCCGCTCCTCCTCGAGCTTCTTCCTCAGCGTCTCGCTCTCCGCCTTCAGCGACTTCAGAGTTTCGCCGCTCGCAAGGCCCTGGCACGCCATCTTTAGAGGAGAGGAGGAACAAAAGAAGGGAACCGGGGAAAGGAAAGAAAAGGGACCGGCAAGACCATGTTTTTAGTCGCGCACTGGCTGCGCCTGTCAAGGCGGCTGTCTGCTTTCCTACAGCTGGGGCGTATTCATTACGCCAATTCTGTTGCAAAACGTTTCTTAAACGGAAGCAAACGGAACGAAATGGGGAGAGACCTAGCTGAATTTGTCCAATATAAACTCTCGTTTTACTTCCAAAACGTTACGTTTTGCAACTGTTTGGACTAATGAATATGCCCCTGATGCTGCTGCCGCGCTGACGTTCTCCTTCTCTCCCCCTCTTTCCCTGTCTCTTCTCTCACTTGCTCTCAGGCAAGTCTCTACCTCTTTCTCTCTCTCCCTCTTTCTATATCTGTCTTTCTCGCCACAGAGATGCCACTATGACTGTCTTTGGTAGTAATTTCACTAAATATAGCCTATTTTTTTCTCTAATAATATTAATTTAAACACTTTACAGGAAAAGCACAGTTTCCTTATTTTATTGAACCACATTGCAATGAGTTTACTTGTTGAAATGTATGTGTTTTCCCTTTAAAAAGTGTATTTGCACCTATAGTAGGCCTATTGCTGTTTAGAGAAGTGAAAGACAAGGTTGCTATCAGTGTGGATGAGCTGCCAGAGAGAAGGGAGTACAGATAAGATGAGGTGGTGAATTCATCCAGGCATGGTGTGAGTGTGTATGTGTGTGCGTTCTGAAAGAGGCTCTCTGCTACTGTATATCAGACAGATAGGGAGGCTGCATTCTCAGAAGGGGCCCTCTCCAACCCCCTAAAAATACATAAAGAATCTCAAATCTACCCCTAACCCCTGGGCATTTGTGAAGATCTTAAAGGTTTGTATAGGTCCTGGATGGAGCAGTTAGATGGGTTAGACTCAGAGGTTAGAGGTCAGGGGTTAAGGGACGTACAATCTCCATGCATAGTGAGCAGTAGTTGATGGGTTCAGTCTTGATGTACAGGTTCATCAAGGGGCGGTTCTCCGAGCAGCTATCACACGGCCCGAAGGTGATGGCCACAAACGTCTGGTCACACATGGCTGCAGCTGGTTAACCACACACCTGTATAGGGGAGAAGAGGAACACAACGTTAACATTCAGGTATGAGAGATAACACACACACACACACTGTTATCGATTCACCTGAAGGAAGCATTGCTATTTTGTGTGTGTGAGTGAGAAAGAGAAAAAGAGATAGAGAGAGAGAATGTGTGTATGTGTGAGTCAGTTAGAGAGAGATAGTGAATAAGAGACAGAGCGAGAGGAGAGAATGAGAGAGAGGGAGTGAGTGTGTGTGTAGGTGTGTGTGTGCTGCCAATTGTATTGAGGATAAGCAGTGGGTAATCTCCCTCCTGCCTGATCCTGCTCAGAGAAGGAGAGAGCAGTAGGCCTATTTTGGGAGACGCACACACACACACACACACACTTGGATGTAAATTATTACACATTGTGTATAATGGTTGGGATAGGTAACTGATAGTGATAGTCTGGGGAATGAATCATAGACACACAGAGCTGGATATGGACCTGCAATATACACAGTGTAGAAATAGAACAGATAATATCCTGCAATATACACACTGTAGAAATAGAACAGATATATAATGACCTGCAATATACACACTGTAGAAATAGAACAGATAGATAACCACAATCTGATACAGACAAATACTGTATAAATACATTGCTGGCTGTAACAGATACACAAGGGTGGAGATATACACACTGTAGAATTATACAACGGGTGTGTCTAATCCTGAATGCTGATTGGTTAAAACCGCATTCCAGTCGGTGTCTATTCCACAAATTGCCACCGGCTAAATCTGACGTTAAAATGCCTATTTACTCTGTTCCATCTGACTGCGCAATCAACTGTCTCTGCAATCAATTGTCTCATCAGCCCAACCAGGCAATTTATAAACTTGATCTCCACTATAAAAAGCATCTAGACATTATCTCACATTTCTTTTAGACTAACATTTCGTTTTCAACAGCGGAGATTTGTAAAAAAGTGTTAAACAAATCAGAATATTATTTATATTTTATATTCTTCAAAGTAGCCACCCTTTGCCTTGATGACAGCTTTGCACACTCTTGGCATTCTCTCAACCAGCTTAATGAGGAATGCTTTTCCAACAGTTTATTGGTAAAATTGCCCTTACACAGCCTGGAGGTGTGTTTTGGGTCATTGTCCTGTTGAAAAACAAATGATAGTCCCATAAGCGCAAACCAGATGGGATGGCATATCGCTGCAGAATGCTGTGGTAGCCATGCTGGTTAAGTGTGCCTTGAATTCTAAATAAATCACAGACAGTGTCACCAGCAAAGCACCCCCACACCATCACACCTCCTCCATGCTTCACGGTGGGAACCACACATGCGGAGATCATCCGTTCACCTACTCTGCATCTCACAAAGACACGGCGGTTGGAACCAAAAATCTCAAATTTGGACTCATCAGACCAAAGGACAGATTTCCACCTGTCTAATGTCCATTGCTCGTGTTTCTTGGCCCAAGCAAGTCTCTTCTTCTTATTGGTGTCCTGTAGTAGTGGTTTCTTGGCAGCAATTCGACCATGAAGGCCTGATTCAGGCAGTCTCCTCTGAACAGTTGATGTTGAGATGTATCTGTTACTTGAACCCTGTGAAGCATTTATTTGGGCTGCAATCTGAGGTGCAGTTATCTCTAATGAATTTATCCTCTGAAGCAGAGGTAACTCATGAGAGCTAGTTTCATCATAGCGCTTCATGGTTTTTGCAACTGCACTTGAAGAAACTTTAAAAGTTCTTGACATTTTCTGGATTGACTGACCTTAAAAAAGAAATAGTTTACCAACTGTTTCCAACACAACTGCATGACATCAAGATAACAAACATATAATATAGTTCTTACCTAGTGAGGGAAGTTGGTCTGTCTGTCAGACGGTATGCTATCCTGAGGAGAGTGTTTTCCTAGGTTAGTTAGAGGATTGGAGGCCAGGGACAGAGAGGGAACACTAAGCTACTTACCAAGGGCTTTGACCGCGCCACAGTAATACCCTCAGGTACACAGACCAGGGCTACGTCCCAAATGGCACCATATCCCCTATAAAGTGCACTTCTTATGTCCAGAACCCTATGGCCTGGTCAAAAGTAGTGTCCTGGTCAAAAGTAGTGCACTACAAAGGGAATAGAGTGCCATTTGGGGCGAAGCCCAGGGTATTAGGACTGGGTAGAAGCTGTCCGTAATCACTGGTCCAAGGTCAGATTGTTTCTCATTCTCTAATGGCAAATGTTATTGTTGGTGGTAAAGGTTATCTGATCCTAGATATGTTGTTAATAAGGGCTGTATTACCTGTTCAGACCTGTCAGCTAGTCACTGGACGGTCTGAAGGCAGAAATAGTTAACGTTATAACGTATTCAATATTAACTGTTTAACATTAGGTTTTAAACTTAAAAGCTAAAATTCCATGGCAGAATGTTTATAAGTAATACAATATTATAATAACTGCTATATTTTCATAACCCATTCATGACCACAGCTTGCCTTTCGCTTTGGACAAAAAAAATAAACAAATATTTACAGTGCTGAATTCCTTTATTTGTCTTTTACAGAGTTTGACAATTTAAACTTATTCCAAGTTTCTTAATGGTGAACACATTCACAAGTACAGCTACCAGGAATTATACACACAGTCCAGTTCTCCTGATGTACACATGGGACTCGAGAGGAGAGGAGAAAGAAGCGAATAGAAGAGAGGAGATGGAGAGGAGAAGAGCAGAGTTCAGCATCTCTACCACAGGTGGACTGTATGATGTCTTTAGATCATTAGAACAATGAGATGCGTCGGTTAGTGATGATGTCATGAAATATGATACTTTAGCATTGACCTCAATTGTCAAAACCATAAAAGGGAGATATTAAGTATCTATTTTAAGAACCATCTGGAGATGTTTATCTCAAATGAAGTGAAGACTGGTCGTACCACAGACTGACTACATGAACAAGCCTGTCTGAGGCACAGGGCATGTACAGAGTGGGACACTATAAGGGGAAGGAGAGAGGGGGGAAGAGTGGTCCATCCACACTGCTTAAAGAGGGCTAATCATAGAAATGGACTAAGGGTACATACAGTGAGGGGGAAAAGTATTTGATCCCCTGCTGATTTTGTACGTTTGCCCACTGACAAAGAAATGATCAGTCTATAATTTTAATGGTAGGTTTATTTGAACAGTGAGACAGAATAACAACAACAAAATCCAGAAAAACGTATGTCAAAAATTTTATAAATTGATTTGCATTTTAATGAGGGAAATAAGTATTTGACCCCCTCTCAATCAGAAATATTTCTGGCTCCCAGGTGTCTTTTATACAGGTAACGAGCTGAGATTAGGAGCACACTCTTAAAGGGAGTGCTCCTAATCTCAGTTTGTTACCTGTCTAAAAAGACACCTGTCCACAGAAGCAATCAATCAATCAGATTCCAAACTCTCCACCATGGCCAAGACCAAAGAGCTCTCCAAGGATGTCAGGGACAAGATTGTAGACCTACACAAGGCTGGAATGGGCTACAAGACCATCGCCAAGCAGCTTGGTGAGAAGGTGACAACAGTTGGTGCGATTATTCGCAAATGGAAGAAACACAAAAGAACTGTCAATCTCCCTCGACCTGGGGCTCCATGCAAGATCTCACCTCGTGGAGTTGCAATGATCATGAGAACGGTGAGGAATCAGCCTAGAACTACACGGGAGGATCTTGTCAATGATCTCAAGGCAGCTGGGACCATAGTCACCAAGAAAATAATTGGTAACACACTACGCCGTGAAGGACTGAAATCCTGCAGCGCCCGCAAGGTCCCCCTGCTCAATAAAGCACATATACAGGGCCGTCTGAAGTTTGCCAATGAACATCTGAATGATTCAGAGGAGAACTGGGTGAAAGTGTTGTGGTCAGATGAGACCAAAATCGAGCTCTTTGGCATCAACTCAACTCAACTCGCCGTGTTTGGAGGAGGAGGAATGCTGCCTATGACCCCAAGAACACCATCCCCACCGTCAAACATGGAGGTGGAAACATTATGCTTTGGGGGTGTTTTTCTGCTAAGGGGACAGGACAACTTCACTGCATCAAAGGGACGATGGACGGGGCCATGTACCGTCAAATCTTGGGGGAGAACCTCCTTCCCTCTGCCAGGGCATTGAAAATGGGTCGTGGATGGGTATTCCAGCATGACAATGACCCAAAACACACGGCCAAGGCAACAAAGGAGTGGCTCAAGAAGAAGCACATTAAGGTCCTGGAGTGGCCTAGCCAGTCTCCAGACCTTAATCCCATAGAAAATCTGTGGAGGGAGCTGAAGGTTCGAGTTGCCAAACGTCAGCCTCGAAGGAGTGGGACAAAATCCCTCCTGAGATGTGTGCAAACCTGGTGGCCAACTACAAGAAACGTCTGACCTCTGTGATTGCCAAGAACGGTTTTGCCACCAAGTACTAAGTCATGTTTTGCAGAGGGGTCAAATACTTATTTCCCTCATTAAAATGCAAATCAATTTATAACATTTTTGACATGCGTTTTTCTGGATTTTTTTGTTGTTATTCTGTCTCTCACTGTTCAAATAAACCTACCATTTAAAATTATAGACTGATCATGTCTTTGTCAGTGGGCAAACTTACAAAATCAGCAGGGGATCAAATACTTTTTTCCCCTCACTGTACTAAATGGCACCCTATTCCCTATGGGCCCTGGTCAAAAGTTGTGCACTATATAGTGAATATGGTGCCGTTTGGGATACTCACTAAGACTAAAGCCTTCTACTGTGTAAATGACTACAGCTATATGACCTCTCTGAAGGAACATAAACCACAATGATGATCACAAAGAAATTATAATAATATCAGATATGTTAAGGGCAGACAGAGCTAACTTTATCAGCGTTTATTAAACTTGTTCAGTAAATATTTCAAAAAGTGCATCTAGACAGAAAGCAGAACAATCCTTCCATCCCAGCCTTCGAAAAAAGGATCCAAGGACAACTTATCAAAACACTCAATAATAATAATAATAATGTTACTTTTTAAAACAGTAGTTGTGTAACAGACGGACTGACACAAACAGAGACAATGACAGGAGATGATTGTGTTTTAAAATCATATGTAAGGCTTTGTCCAAAACATGAGTAACAATGAAGTCATCCTATACGTATGATCAACAACAGCTCTAAAACATTCACAAGAGTAAAACCTGGAGTATTGCCGGTATCGTTTTCCAGTATCGTCCAAGTTGCAGATATGCATTTTAGATCTGGTATCACTATACACATGTTGCACAACCTATCACCTATTCCTAAAAATCCTTCATTAAAATGCAACGCTGCAAAAATTAACAAAAAGGCAATTTTTAATTTTTATACAATACACTCATGGTGGTCCCAATAATAAATATGAATATTAATTAATTTATATTAATTAAATTGCACCACAAAACAAGTTTAAACATGAACTTGACTCCTACATCAATGATAGTAATAATAATATGTTTTTCTGAGTCGTGTGTCTCTCTATAGGCCAGGGAACAAAGGTCAAAGGTCAGGGTTGGCAGGCAAATAAAGGTCACGGTAAATAATAAGGTTCACAGTAAAATAAAGTTGATGGTTAAACAATAAGGTTGATGGTTAAATATAGTTAATGGGCAGATAGGGTATAGGTGAACACTGATGGCACAAGTAAGGAAGAGAGGCAACGATGATATGATGATGAATGTATTTCTGTCCTTTCTATCCCTCAGCCTTAGTAGTAGTGATTAGAATGTTAGTAGATCGTCTTTCACTCTATAGAACATCTAGAAGAACGTCTGGTTCTATAGAAGCCACAGTCATGTGAGTTAGTGTCTAATGTCGCCCTCTCCTGGTCACTATCTGGTGCTGAGTAACAACATGGCTGCTTTCGCTAAAAGTAGAGCCATGAAAACAGACTTGTCTGATGTTGGGTCACAGTGAAGAGGGGGTTGGGGAGACAGTGAATGAGTTGTTAGAGTAGGTTAGTAGGGAATGAAAGAAGGGGGTAAGAGTTAGAGTAGGTTAGAGTAGAGACTGTAGCCAAGGTGTGTAATAGTTTGTCTAGAAAGCAGTGATTTAGTTTCTGGAGTAAAGCTGGCATGACAGCATTATCATACATGCTGTAGGGAAAAACATTCAAGACATGGTTGATATTGGGTCTAAATCCAATGGATTACAAGAGCAACTACAATAAAACAGACTGACTGTTAGACCGGCTCAGTGATAACCAGGTTTAGTTACACACAATACTGAAAGTAATACCTATAGATCTTGTTCATCATAACCTATAGGGAGTTGAGCAGAGAGAGTGGTGGGGTGAGGACATGAAGATATTTAGAAGTGAAGATATGTAGAAGTTGGTAGTGCAGGGGTTCCCAAACTTTTTATTTAGATGTTTTAGATTTTTTTAAAATCACGACTCCACCATGTAGACAGTCTATTACAAATCAGTCTGACAGTACCTTTGGCAGTTTTTCAATCTGCAGGAAGTATGGTTTGAAGTGACTGGAAAGCATCAGAAAGGTATTGGGAAGTTCAGAAGATCATCAGGCAATCATTTTGTATGATCTTCTGTGTAGAAAATAACATCATCATTGATGAAGTTGTTCTCCCCCCAGTCTGATTTAGTGCCTGGTCTTGTCCACTCTGTTCTAAGGAGGCTTGTGGCCATTGTGGAGGGAAACAGAAGACACATACGTGTTCCTGAGAGTCTTATCTTTCATGATGGGGTCATAATATTTTGTAGCTTAAACCGTTCACAAGATAGAGCCACATTTGCCGGAAGAAAACAGAAACCGCTCTGTTTATTACAATCTAGCGGCTACCGGAGGTTACTATCGTAACCCCGGGGTTACCCCATTTTCAAATCTGGCGACCCCAACATGGGGCCGCGACCAATAGTTTGGGAAACGATGTGGTAGTGGATATGTAGGATCCAGTGTGCTTCTGTTTTTAACAACAGTCATTAGTGTGTGTGTGAGAGTCCTCAGTAGGGGTTGGAATGACACTACTTACTTAAAGTGGAGAAGCAAGTACAATAGCTGAAGCTGTCTAAACCTGCTAGTTTGATCCCTCTATACCCATACCTATCTAAACTACTCGTCCAATCTAACCATCTACTGCAAGTCTATCTATTTCAACCTCTGTTCCATCTAATCCTCTATATCAACCTCTGTTCCAGTTTAATCCTCTATATCAACCTCTGTTCCAGTCTAATCCTCTATATCAACTTCTGTTCCAGTCTAATCCTCTATATCAACCTCTGTTCCAGTCTAATCCTCTATATCAACCTCTGTTCCAGTTTAATCCTCTATATCAACCTCTGTTCCAGTTTAATCCTCTATATCAACCTCTGTTCCAGTTTAATCCTCTATTTCAACCTCTGTTCCAGTCTAATCCTCTATATCAACCTCTGTTCCAGTTTAATCCTCTATATCAACCTCTGTTCCAGTCTAATCCTCTATCTATTTCAACCTCTCGTGCAGCGGTGATAAAGTGCAGATCTACTAGAGAAGCAGGTTACACACGACAAAGCTACGGCAGAGAGATCTTAAAGCACAATACATTGTGAGCTAAACAAATAAAAACCTACATTAAATAGCGCTAATTAAATGATACTACATAGTTAATCTGCTATCGACATAAATATCATTATAATACTATAGGACTCTAGTCGTCTTTCATGTCCATACTTCTCTCCGGCCTGGAAAGTTGGAGAGATAGGTCTACCTGTCTATGGTATCTATGTTTTCTGTCTGCAAAGAAAAACGTATTTTAGGGAAGGGAGCGGAATAAATGCAATAAATAAAATACCCTAGCGTGATATATATATATATATTAATATTTATATGTATTTATATATGTATAAGAAGTATGGTACAGACAATGGGTACTGCACTTGGCTTGACTGTGTTCAGTGGGTGAGTTGACAACAATGTACTCAGAAGTGATGCTAGCTAGCTAACTGTAGAAGCGCTAGCTAGCTTTAGCATCACATCAAAACAGAACTATCTAATGCTAGCTATGCTAACTGTAGAAGCGCTAGCGTTAGCATCCTATTATAACACAACAGATGCTAGCTGAGTTTAGCTGAAGGAGCTAGCTAGCTGTGATGCTAGCCCTGGACAGCTAGCTTTAGTGTACCGTAATACATTCCTATGGGAGAACCGGACTGCTAGAAAACACTACACTACTGAGAAGAGAACACAGAGGAGAAAAGAGAGGACTGGGGGAACATGGTACTAGGTCTTAAATGGGGTTCTATGTGGTCTGTGTAGCTCCAGTAAAAGGGGGTAAGATAGGAGAAAAAGGTGGCCTGTAGCAGTGCATTCTCTTAGAGTTTAGCATTTGTATATGCGGAGGAGGATGGGCTTTCAACTACTGACGTAAAAACTACCGAATGGTGGAAGCTGAGCGTGTGTGTGTGTGTACACGTTGTGTGTGTACTGTATGTAAGTGTTTGGATGCGTTAGGAAGCGAATGGTTTGTGTATGCATGTGAATGCATGTGTACCTATGTATAGCCTATCTATTAATCATATATGTGTGTGTGTGTGTGTGTGTGTTAGACGCGGGTAAGGAAGGCTAGGTTGAGGGAGCCTGGTATTTGGATAGTCTCCAGGGCCAAAGAGGAGGGGTTGAAAGGGAAGGTGACGGGGTAGATGATCTTAGTGTCCATCAACAGCTGAGGAGTCTCACACCGGTCCCGCAAACGAGTCTGACAGAGAGAGAGAGAGAGAGAGAGAGAGAGAGAGAGAGAGAGAGAGAGGGAAGGACAGGGAGAGAGAGACAGAAAGAGAGAGAGGGAGATACAGAGAGGGAGATACAAAGAGGGAGGGAAGGAGAGGGAGAGGGAGAGGGAGGGAAGGACAGGGAGATAGAGACAGAAAGAGAGAGAGGGAGATACAGAGAGGGCGATACAGAGAGGGAGGGAAGGAGAGGGAGAGGGAGAGAGAGAATATACACATTAGTTGCAGTTATTTATATGCAGACAGACAGACAGACAGACAGACAGACAGACAGACAGACAGACAGACAGACAGACAGACAGACAGACAGACAGACAGACAGACAGACAGACAGACAGACAGACAGACAGACAGACAGACAGACAGACGGGTCTTACCTGTATGGTTCGTATGAAGGTAACAGACACCCTCTCTTCAAACTCGTTGACTGGAGTGTACAGGTTCAACACCTTCACAATCTGGGAACACAGAAAGACAGATACAAACTTCATTAGTTGACCTTGAACTATTAACTCAACTGTCAAAGACTCCAGTCACCCTAGTCATAGACTGTTCTCTCTGCTACCGCATGGCAAGCGGTACCGGAGCGCCAAGTCTAGGTCCAAAAGGCTTCTTGATTTGATTTGATCCCCTGTCCCATTCTCCGCAGTGATTGGGCTTGATTGGTCAGTTGAGTACCTGAGGGCTGGGATTGGTTAGTTCAGTACCTGAGCGGTAGAGGGCTGTGATTGGCTAGTTTAGTACCTGAGCGGTAGAGAGGGCTGTTATTGGCTAGTTAAGTACATGAGCGGTAGAAAGGGCTCTAATTGGTTAGTTTAGTACATGAGCAGTATAGTGAGCTGTGATTGGTTACCTGAGATGTGGAGAGGCTGTTGCACATGGAGCAGATGGCCTCGGCGTCTTCGTCCGTCTTCTTCTTGACTTGCAGAAGCTGAGCAGCCTGAATCAGAGGCTCCAGAGTCTCCTTGGCTCCACACAGCATCAGAGACTTGTCACGCAGCCACTCCTCCAGCTGACTCACGTTATACCTGGTACAAACACATTATATACGTTACACACACACACACACACACACTATACACACATTAGACACTGTCTGTCTATACATACTAATACACATTACACCCTCTCTGAACCTACCTGATCTGCATGCCCTTGCTCCAGGAGCACATGTCTTTCCGCAGTAGCAGATTGTTGAGAGTCACAGCTCCAATGATGTAGAACTGCTGCTTCACAACCTGGGGGTCAGAACACAACCAAGCACCAGGGTCAGACACATGCACACACACAGGATCAGACACATGCACACACACGCGTGCACACACACACGTGCACACACCTGTTTGATGAGTTCAGGGTCGGTGCCGTGCTGACACATGGTGGAGTGGAAAGCGCTGAGCTGGCGTAAGATGGATTCCAGTGTGTAGGTTCCCTCGTCAGCGATGCTCGATGTCCGTTTACGCAGACCGGTCGGCTTAACCCCCGACACACCCTGGATGGTCTCATGCTCCAACATACCAGAGACTGAGACACACACACACACACACACACGTTAGTGGTGTGATCCTACACACACAGGACACACACACACACAGCGTGGTATACTCACCGATCATGGGCTGTAGGATGTTCTCCATGCATTTGATGAGCTGCTGGTAGATCTGAATGGCCAGGTCACTGAGGACCTGACGGTACTCAGCCAGGTCAAAGTTAGACAGGCAGTGATCATTCTGCTTAGGAGTGTTGTGCTTCATAAACGACTGCAGGAACAGAGAGGAGGAGGAGAAAGAGAGAGAAACAGACACAAACAAGTTGGAGCAACGCAAGAATAAAGTGTGTCTGTGTTTTGGGGTGTACCTCATCTCCGCTGTACTGTTTGAGACTGTGTGTGTGTGTGTGTGTGTGTCTCGGTCTGTAAGCATTTGGTTGTGTATTTGTTTTAGCATTTGTTTGTGTGTGTGTGTGTCGTCTCGGTCTGTAAGCATTTGTGTGTGTGTGTGTGTGTGTGTGTGTGTGTGTGCTGGGTCCTGTCTCACCTCATCTCCGCTGTACTGTTTGAGACAGTGTAGGAAGCGGCAGGTGTTGGACAGCCAGAAGGAGACTGTCTCAAAGTCATCCCCCCGTTTCTGACAGAGGATAAAGAGGAGAGGGACAATTAGAAGAGATGGATATGCAGTATGGTTACTAGTGGAACTACAGGGTTACTACACAAGTTTAACAGCAACTTACTGTAGTGTTACTGACATCATAGGGTGTGCACCCCAAATGGCACCCTGTTCCCTATATAGTGCACTACTTTTGACCAGAGCCCTATGGACCCTGGTCAAAAGTAGTGCACTATAAAGGGAATAGGTTGCCATTTGGGACACAGCATAGATCAATATCAAAGGCACCCCCCCACACGCACCTTGAGTATCTTCTTGATGCTGTTGATGGTAGATGTGAGCAGGGTCCTGACCTTCTGGTCATCGTTGACATAGTCAGCATGTCTCAGACACATGAAGAGGATGTAGGCTGGGAGGCCTGGGATCAGATTCACCGCTACACCACGAGGCTTCAACTCTGTTAGAGATAATTGATTGTTACAATAGACTATTGGATTATCTATATATATGCCTGTATCTATGTATGAACAGAAAAACGTATTTCTAACACTCATAGAGAGAGAGAGAGACGGATAAAAGAGAGAGTGCAAGATTGAGAATGGTTAGAGGTCGGGGTTAGAGGTCAGAGTGGAGGTTACATACCCAGTATGAGGTTCTTAACCAGTTTCAGCTCATCCTCCTTCTTGTACTCCAACATTCCCTGGAAGTCTTTCTCCCGACGAGGAATGTTCACTGGACGGACCGTCTCTTCAACCATCTGACCCGGAGATATAGTCTCACCCTGGCCAGCTACACACACACACACACACACACACACACACACACACACACACACACACGTTTAGGTACATATACACACGGTCAGATATACACAAGTTCAGGTCCAACAGTCACCCATCTACACAGACGGTCAGGTACGTCTCCTTCCTTACCTCCCATTTCTCCAATCTTCTTAGAGAACACCTTCAGCTGTTTCTTAAGCTTACGGATAGTCTTATCCTGCTTCTCCAGCTGTTCCATGAGGTCCTAAGAGAGAGCGAGAGAGAGAGAGGTGAGATCGGCAGAAATCGATCAGTTTATCAAAGCGAAGGGATCAGCGGTCAAACAAGAAGCTGACAAAGGTCAAAGTTCAGACAAAAAACAGGCTCCATTACCCAGTGGGTTGGAGAAAGAGAGGGGGTTGATTTAAAATAGGGGGTACTTATTTGGTCCTCTGTGGGGTTAGAGAGAGTCGGGGTGCTGATTTGAAACAAGGCTTGGCTGTGTGTTAACAGAGAGAAGAGGTGCTGGGTTTAACACATTGACCTCCTGTGTGAGTTAGAGAGAAGAGGTGCTGGGTTTAACACATTGACCTCCTGTGTGAATTAGAGAGAAGAGGTGCTGGGTTTAACACATTGACCTCCTGTGTGAGTTAGAGAGAAGAGGTGCTGGGTTTAACACATTGACCTTTTGTGTGAATTAGAGAGAAGAGGTGCTGGGTTTAACACATTGACCTCCTATGTGAGTTAGAGAGAAGAGGTGCTCTACTGGATTTGTCTGCCATGGGTTAACACACACTGCTGCAGAGTTAGAGTAGAAATCTGACACAGCTCCATAAAAAACACACACCAAACTCTGTTAGTGGTCACACACGTGCAGAGAAACACACACAATGTCCTTAGAGACTCTACATACAACCATCCGTCGTAATATGTTGACTTTGGCGCTGCGATATGCTGTTGGATCCTCAGTCAGCAGCATCTCCTGTTAGGTGACAGCCACACACATCAGAGTGTGTTCTCACAGGACACACACCTGGGTGGTGTCGGACACAGTACCACTACTGACCAATAAGGGAAGTGCTGGTTGATGGCACCAGGTTTTCTTTGGTGGGGCCAGTGATCATGTATGAGTATGTGAGTGTGTTCATGTATCCCTGACCATTTGAATGTTTAAATCATTTTTGCAAAAGTAATACAATTTGTGTTTTGAAATAAGTGTGCATGTGACTGTATGTGTGTACACGTTTGCATGTTTGTAAGCGTGTGTATACACGGGAGTGTACAAAACATTAAGGACACCTTCCTAATATTGAGTTGCACCCCCCCCCCTTTCCCCTCAGAACAGCCTTAAATTTGTCGGGGCATGGACTCTACAAGGTCTCGAAAGTGTTCCACAAGGATGCTGGCCCATGTTGACTCCAATGCTTCCCACAGTTGTATCAAGTTGGCTAGATGTTTGGGTGGTGGACCATTCTTGATACACACGGGAAACTGTTGAGCGTGAAAAACCCAGCAGCATTGCAGTTCTTGACACAAACCAGTGCACCTGGCACCTACTACCATACCCCGTTCAAAGGCACTTAAATGTTTTGTCTCGCCCATTCACCCTCTGAATGGCACACATACACAATCCATGTCTCAATTGTCTTAAGGCTTAAAAATCCTTCTTTAACTTGTCTCCTCCCCTTCATCTACACTGATTGAAGTGGATTTAACAAGTGAGATCAATAAGGGATCATAGCTTTCACCTGGTCAGTCTAGGTCATGGAAAGAGCAGGTGTCCTTAATGTTTTGTACACTCAGTGCATGTCTGTATGTGTGTATATGAGTGTGTACATGTGTCTGTATACTGTGTGTGTGTGTGTGTGTGTGTGTGTGTGTGTGTGTGTGTGTGTAACGTACCAGGTTTTCGTTGGTGAGTCGTGTGATCTCATGCTGTAGACTAGCCTCTATGCGTGCCTCTGGTGGAAGCTGCAGGTTTTGGGCCAGCAGCTGTTGTTGACGGTTATTCTCCTCTTTAACACTCTGTAACTCCCCTCGCAACACCTCCACCTCGTTGTCATAGCTACGCCGCTGCTGCTGCATCTGGCCCTCCAACAGTCTGAGAGGGGGGGATGGAGAGAGAAGAAGAAGAAGAATTCTTAGAACTACTATAGGAGGTTGGGAAAGCAGGAAGGAGAAAATATGTGATGAGGGAGCAAGAGTCAACAGCCCCACACCATCCCTGGTCCACACACACACACACACACACACACACACACACACACACACACACGGTTAACCTGTTGGTCTCTTTTAACCCTTCATATACCAGCCACAGCTCTCCGTCCTCATTCAGCCTATGGAAGTCAGCAGTGGGAGATCTGACACAAAAACAAAGGAAAGAAAGGGAACATAAAAAAGGCAAAATAAAGAGGAGGACTAGGGGAGGTGGGGTGGTGGTGGACTAGGTTGGTGGGTGGGTGGGTGGTACATAGGTATCGGGGTGTGATCCTGACCGAGCACTGCTGCTTGGAAACCGGTTTGGACTAGCTGTTGTTAAAGGATTCGTTTTGACTTGCATCACCCTGCGGGTACAAGAGCCGGTTCATTGCTAATGGCTAATCTTCTAGAGTGGGCTTGGCGTGCGTAACTGATGGAAGTTGGAATGAGGAGGTGGAGTATGCTTACATGGTAGGGTGTGGACACAGTGTCCTAGCTTTGTCCACGCGCCGCGTCGTATCAAGAGGTGGGCTGTGGTGGTGTATTCTGGCTGTTAGGCTAAGGTTCGTGTGTTAGGAGAGTAGGTGGGAGCGAGTCAAGCCAGGAGAACGGACATAAACACGGGAAGTACGAGGAGGACCGGGAAGGTTGGTGTGGCTGTTAGCTGTCGGGTGTGAAGTGTGGCAGTGTGTGCTTGAGGGTGGGGTGGGGGTGGCTAAAGTGGGTTGGTGACTAGAGGATGGTGGGTGTGACTAGGAGTGGTGGGTACTAAGTGGGTTGTACTCAGGCGAGGGCGTGGGTTGGACAGAGAGGTGTGTGGTGGACTAGGGAAGGTGGTAGGGGATAAGAGGTGGATGTGTGTGGACTAGAGAGGGTGGTGGTGGACTAGAGGGGTGGGTGTGTGGTAGGGAGGTGGGTGGTGGTACTAGGGGAGGTGGTGGTGGTGGACTGGTGGTGTGTGGAACTAGAGGTGGTGTGTGGACTGGGAGGTGTGGTTGCTAGGGGAGGTCGGTGTGTGGGAACTAGAGGAGGTGGGGTGGTGGTGGACAGGATGGGTGGTGTACTGAGGAGTGGGTGTGGTGGACTAGGAGGTGGGTGGTGGTGGACTAGGGAGGTGGGGTGGTGGTGGCTGGGAGGGGGTGGTGGGGGACTAAGGAGGTGGGGTGTGTGACTAGGGATGGGTGGTGTGACTAGGAGGTGGGTGTGGTGGACAGGGAGGTGGGGTGGTGGGACTAAGAGGTGGGTGTGGTGGACTAGGAGGTGGGGTGTGGTGGACTAGGGAGTGGGGTGGTGGTGGACTAGGGAGGTGGGTGGTGGGGACTAGGGGAGGTGGGTGGTGGTGGCTAGGAGTGGGTGGGTGGTGGTGGACTAGAGAGGTGGGGTGGTGGTGGACTAGAGGAGTGGGGTGTGTGGACTGGGATTACGGGAGGTGACAAGAGGGGTGGTGTGGACTAGGGGGTGTGGGTGGTGGTGGGACTAGGGAGGTGGGGTGGTGGTGGACTAAGGAGTGGGTGGTGCTGAGGTGGTGTGGTGGACTAGGGAGGTGGGGTGTGGTGGACTAAGGAGGTGGGTGGTGGTGGACTAGGGGAGGTGGGGTGGTGGTGGACTAGGGAGGTGGGGTGGTGGTGGACTAGAGGAGGTGGGGTGGTGGTGGACTAGAGAGGTGGGGTGGTGGTGGACTAGGGGAGGTGGGGTGGTGGTGGACTAGGGGAGGTGGGTGGGTGGACTAGGGAGGTGGGGTGGTGGTGACTAGGAGGGAGGTGGGGATGGTGGTGGTGGGGTGGACTAGGGAGGTGGGGTGGTGGTGGACTAGGGGAGGTGGTGGTGGTGAGGAGGGGTGGGGGGGGAGGTGGGGTGGTGGGTGGACTAGGGAGGGGGGTTGGTGGGTGGTGATGAGGAGGTGGGGTGGTGGTGGACTAGGGGGTGGGGTGTGGTGGACTAGGGAGGTGTGTTGGTGGTGGTGACTAGGGAGGTGGTGGTGGTGGACTAGGGAGGTGGGTGGTGGTGGACTAGGGAGGTGGGGTGGTGGTGGGTACTAGGAGTGGGGTGGTGGTGACTAGGGAGGTGGGGTGGTGGTGACTAAGGGAGGTGGGTGGTGGGACTAAGAGTGGGGACTAGGTGGGGACTAGGGAGTGGGGTGGTGGTGACTAAGAGTGGGGTGGGGGACTAGGGAGGTGGGGTGTGGTGGACTAGGGAGGTGGGGGGTGGTGGACTAGGGAGGTGGGGTGGGTGGACTAGAGGAGGTGGGGTGGTGGTGACTAGGGGAGGTGGGGTGGGTGGTGGGACTAGGGGGGGTGGTGGTGGTGGTGGTGGACTAGAGGAGGTGGGGGGTGGTGGTGGACTAGAGGGGGTGGGGGGGGGTGGTGTGTGGACTAGGGGAGGTGGGGTGGTGGTGGACTAGAGGGAGGTGGGGTGGTGGTGGACTAGGGGATGGGGGGTGGTGGTGGATAGGGAGGGGGGTGGTGTGGACTAGGGGGTGGGGGTGGGTGGTGGGACTAGAGGGGGGGTGGTGGGTGGGGTGGACTGAGGGGGTGGGTGGTGTGGGGACTAGGGGGGTGGGGGTGGTGGACTAGGGGAGGTGGGGGTGGTGGACTGATAGGGAGGTGGGGTGGTGGTGGACTAGAGGAGGTGGGTGGTGGTGGACAGGGAGGAGTGGGGGGGTGGTGGACTAGGGGTGGGTGGTGGTGGACTAGAGGAGGTGGGGTGGTGGTGGACTAGAGGAGGTGTGGGGATGGGGGGTGGTGGTGACTAGGGAGGTGGGGGTGGTGGTGGACTAGAGGAGGTGGTGTGGTGGTGGGGGTGGGGTAGAGTGGGTGGGGGGGGTAGGTGGGTGGGGTGGGACTAGGGGAGGGTGGGGTGGTGGGGTTGTGAAGATGGTGTGTGTGGTGGACTGTGAGGTGGGGGGTGGGTGGTGTGGGGTGGTGTGCTTGTGGGTGTGTGGGCAGTCATTACATGAAGATGGGTGTCTTGTGTGTGTGTGTGTGTGTGTTGTGTGTGTGTGTGTGTGTGTGTGTGTGTGTGTGTGTGTGTGTGTCAGCTTGTTCTGCTTAGTATACTGAATAAATGTGTGTTTAGAACAGGGGTTGGAACCGGTTCAGGGAACAGAACGGAAAACCGAAAAATAAATACATTTTTCAAGGAACAGAATCAGAACAAAAGTGATCTATACTGTTCCGGAACAGAACCGTTATTTTAAAAGCATGGAACCGGTTAATAACGTTATTTTACTTTCCATGCATTTTTTTCCAGTCCGAACAAAAAGCGCAACATTTACATTTGACATTTTAGTCATTTAGCAGACGCTCTTATCCAGAGCGACTTACAGTTAGTGAGTGCATACATTTTTCATACAACAAAGCGCATATGCAAAGCCCTCACACTCTGTCACTCAGAAACGTATTCCAGTGTCTGCCTGTGTGGTGCTACCTGCCCCTCAGAAGCGTAGTCTACTAGCCTACTGACGTTACACGCCTGATTCAGAATTGTTTTATTAGAGAAGAATGGATTAACCTTTTCAATGCTAGTTAAGGACACTATAGTTATCATGTTTCACATTGGATTTATTAACTACAAAAAGGTAAGACGTGTTTTGATTTTAATTCTGGTGCCGCTCTGCACAAACAAGCTTGTTAGCTAGCTAGCTGATCCAACGTTAAGACAACTTTCCGAAGTTCAAAGACATTCAGAGTTCCTTCATATAAGCCGCTCTTCCGAAGGTATAATTCTGTGGGCCTAATTCAGATGATGCATGTCATAACAACAAGATGCCCAGATGTGTTTCAAGCCTCCTCCAGCCTCTCTCATTCTCTCCCCACCCGCAACATTTCAGTCGCATCCAACACCCTACACTCGTCTGTCCAACGCATGAAAATAGCTTGTCCGCTCCATAGCAAGCTGCTGTATCCTCACTGATTGGTGAAGTCATTTAATGTCGAGCTAACTGTAAAAATGTCAATTTCAGAGGTTTAAAAAGGAACAGAAAGGAACGATTTAAACCGACACTTTTTGTTGGGTTCGAACCGGTTCAAAACGTTTTTCTTCTGGTCGGAACAGTGGAACGGAAACAAAAAATTTATGGTTCTGTTCAGAACAAAACGATTGGAAAATAATATTGGTTCCAACCCCTGGTTCAGAACAAGCAAAATTAACAAAATCTGAAATGACAAGGATTCTTAATGCAACTTAACACATAGGGTGGTAGCAACATGATGGAACTAAGTAACACAACACAACACAGGGAAACACATGGTTGGTAAAGATGCAGGTTTGGTTCCATGCAGAAGAAGACATTTCATAGAGCTGATTAGTAATTTAGAGTCTGTGCATCATTCATGCCTAACCCTAAACCCATACGGAGGCTAACCTAGCATAGCCTCAACATGCTAGTTAGATGACCAATGCTATGTAGGCTAACCTAGCTATGCTTAATCTCCATGCTAGTTCGATGACCAATGCTACGGAGGCTAACCTAGCTTAGCGTCATCATCATACTAGTTAGTAGGCCGGCTTACGCCGCCTTTGCCGCTTACAGTACAGTACAGGTTAGGCATCGCCTGGCGTGCAAAATAAGCAGACCCACTGCTACTGAAGCAAACCTAGCTTAGTTTAATCACCTACATAATATAGCATTAATATAGCATTCAATATCAGCCAGCCATCATCAACTGTATTAGCCTATCCAATAAAAAGCCTCCACTCAGTCTTGCTCAATCCCCATTGGTCAGCGTGGCCATGCATGCTCCGCCTCATGATGCAAAGGCCACATCTGATTGGTTACCTGAGCCGATTAAGGAGCTCATTGGCTTCTAGTGGTTTACGCAAGAACCTGGGAGATCTGCGCAAAACAGAGAGAGTAGTTCACACATACACAGTTCTCAAACACATACAGATCACACACACCAAGTGTACTCATGGAGTACGTCACACATACAGATCACACACACACACCAAGTGTACTCATGGAGTACGTCACACATACAGATCACACACACACACCAAGTGTACTCATGGAGTACGTCACACATACTGGTGGAGAGTTTGTACTGTAATGAGTCCTCCGTGGCACTCTGGGGGGGAGGAAGGGAAAGGGGGAGAGAAAGGTAAAGAGGGTGACAGAGAGAAGGAGATAGAGGGGGAGGGAAAGCGAGAGAGGGAAAGAGAGAGATGTACCTGTTGGTCTCTTTGAGTCCTAGATAAGCCTGAGTGATTGCACCAGAGTCCTTCATCTTATGGACATCCTCTACATAGTGCACTGGCTCTGTCATTGTCTCCTTGAGAGAGGGATGACATGGAGGGGGATGAGAGAGAGAGACAGAGAAAGAGTGAGAGAAAAAGAACCATCAGTCATGTAGATAAGACAGAAAACAGAGAGTCAGAGAACAGAGCAGACAGTATGACACTATTATTCCACTTTAATCTTGACCCATCCAGTATTGTGAACCTAAAGACTATACATACGGTGGGGTTACATGCAAATAATCAGTGGCACGTGTGTGTGTGTGTTTAAGCTAGTCATTCCCAGAGCATGCAGTCAGCAGGGGAGTTCTAGTACCTTCTCATCCTTTAGGAAGACATGGGAGGAGAGAGAGACAGTAGAACAGAAGAGAGAAGAGACTGGAGTGTTAGAAGCATTGTTAGTGCAGTGGACAGACATGAAAGGGTTTGTGTGTGTGTGTGTGTGTGTGTGTGTGTGTGTGTGTGTGTGTGTATCTCTGCAGGTCTGTGTGTATATATGCGTGTCTGTGCATGTGTCAGTGTGTGTGTTTACACGTGTCTGTGTATATGCGTGTGTGTGTGTATGGATCCCTCCATGTCTCCTACCTTGTGCTGCATGGCCTCCTTCTGAGAGACCAGTTGGGATCGTAGAATCAGCACCTCCTCTTTCCGCACCTCCAGCTCCTCACAGGAGGAGTTCAGTTGGTCCATGAGAACTTTGTAAGGTGGACTTCCTGGTGCACCTGCCCCAGCGCCTGCATTACCCAGCAGGCTCTGCCTCATGGCGGTCAAGTCGTGCTTCAGCTTCTTGTTCTCCGAATCCAGCTCCTGGCGCTGTGAAATAAAGATGGATGCCGCCGGCGGCAGGCAGAGAATTAATACACACCCATAGAGATGGCAATGTCAATGCTAAAATGGGTTATATCATCTAGAGATCTCTATCTATCTCTATGTACACAGCACACTCACCCTGCTAATACAGTCCCAAATCAACCCCTAGCCCCGTGATGGGCAACTGGCAGGCCCCGGGGCCCTTGAGCCACGAGCTGTTGCCCACCACTGCCCTAGGCCCTAAGTCCTAGCCCCCACCCACTACCCACTAGAGTAGATGAGTAGATTGGATATCTATTCGGATTCCAATACAATACCTTGAGCGACTCGTACTCCAGTTCTGCTCCACGAGATTTCCTATGCTCCTCATCATCCTGACACACAGACAGAGAGACAGAAAGAGCGGTCCGACAGTAAAGTAAGTAAGAATGTGGTTGTAATACAGTAATACTGCATAGTATTGTAGTAATATTGTGTAGTACTGTCGCTGTACCCTGACTCTAGCCCGCTGGAACTGCTCCTCCTTGTTCTCGAGCTCGTTGCGGAGAGAGGATTTCTCCTGCTCCAGCTCCGTCACGCGCTTCTGCAGCTTCAGAGTCAGAGACGTGTCCATGCCCCGGGTCACATCCTGTCACAACAGGAAGTGAGGTCAGAGACAGGAAGGACACTGACAGGCAGAGCTTCGGGGCATCATCAGGGCATTAAAGACATTAGCTGTCAACACTAAAATGTTACAGAACGTTTTTTACTGTATGATTACCAATTCTGCAGGGTTGTAGTTGTAATAACTGTTAAAATAACTACAGAACAGTTTGAAGCAACATAAACAGGTTTTTGTAACATTTTCTAATGGTTAGAGGATGTTCCTGTCTAAGTCCCACCCCACTCACTTCTCCATGTCGGGAGCTTTCTTCTGATTCGGCGAACTCGGAGTTGTAGGTGCACTCTGATCCGTTGCTGCTGTGGGTGGAGTCTGTTCTCCTGTGGCCGGGCTTGGGCACACTCTAAAGAAAGGAGGGGCAAGGGGACGTTAGTGTGTATGTGTGTGTTTGTGGTGTGGTGCAGTGTGTTTGTGTTGTGTGTGTGTGTGTAGCATGGTGGGGTGGTGTGGCGTGTCTGTAAGTGTGTAAGTATGTGTGGTATGGTTCAGTCCAGTGAGTGTGAAAATGTTGACATGCTATACGTGTGCCTCCTACCACAGAGAGTGTGATTTCTTCCTTGAGGTCGTCGTAGCGTTCCTCCAGTCTCAGGTGTTCTGTTAGGAGGTTCTGGTAGCGAGACCTCTCCTCGTTCAGATCGCTCTCCAACTGCTGAGTCTCCTCCGCTAATGCACGAGCCATTTTCTCTGAGAGGGGGAGGAGGGTGAGACGGGGAGGGAGGGAGATTGAAAGGGGGTAGGGGGGAGAGGGGGAGGACAGAGGACAGAGAGAAGAAGGGAAAGAGGGAGAGGGGGGAGAGAGAGGAGAAAGAAGACATTTTCAGCATGCGTGGGGAACATATCATAAATTCTCTGTATGGAACTTCAACAATGAATGTGATTGGTCTAAAAGTATTAACACGGAATGTGATAGGTCTAAAGATAGTAACAGTGAATGTGATTGTTCTAAAGCTAGTAACAGTGAATGTGATTGGTCTAAAGCTAGTAACAGTGATTGGTTGGTACCTGTCATCTGCTGGCTCTGTTCTTTGATCATTCGGTTCAGGTCGTCTTTCTCGGTCTTCAGCAGACCATTCTGCTCCTTCAGCTCTGCTACCATCTACACACAAAAGAGAACATACTTAAATCAAGTCTACCACAGCCTATTGGTCAGTAATCCATCAATTTGAGAATACTAGCAGATCTGGGTCAAATAGTTTCAAATACTTAAAGATGCACTTGATTAGCTGGACCAATGTGCAGAGTGGGTGGAGTTTGAGAACATTTCCATTGGTTCCAGTGTACAAGGTGAGACAAATCAAGTGCATCTTCAGTATTTGACCCAGGTCTGGACCCTAGGGACATTGGGGATGAGTTGATTTCCCTGGGCTTCTGGAGGACTGCTCTACTGTACTGCACAGCTAGCACTAGTCTACCTGCTCTCGACTACACACCCACACTACACTAGTCTACCTGTCTCACCTGCACCAAGGCAATGGCCTCCCAGCCCGCCATGTACCCAGTCTGCAGTAGATTCCCCTGGGTCCTAAACCATTGAACCACGACACAAACACTGTATCCTCTGGCAAAAACATCTTTACACATTCTTATACAAACTTGTCACATTTCTATAGGGCCACTATGGGGAATATGTATGAAAGGGAGCCATTTCACTTAAATATATCTGAGAAGTGACTGGAGGAGAGAAGATGAAGAGATGACTTGAGTAGGTGAGAAATGTTCTATCCCACCACCCTCCTCACCCCACCTCACCCTCTCCCTAACCCCCTCCTCACCCCACCTCACCCTCTCCCCCTACACCCCCCCTCACCCCCTCACCCCTCTCCCTACCCCCTCCTCACCCCCCCCCCCCTCTCCCTCACCCTCCTCACCCCCCTCCCCACCCCTCCCTCCCCCTCCCTCGCCCCCCCCCCCACCTCTCCCTCACCCTCCTCCCCCCCCCCCCCCTCCCCCCCCCCCACCCCCCCTCTCCCTAACCCCCTCCCTCACCCCACCTCACCCTCTCCCTAACCCCCTCCTCACCCCACCTCACCCTCTCCCTAACCCCCTCCTCACCCCACCTCACCCTCTCCCTAACCCCCTCCTCACCCCTCACCTTTTCCATCTCATCCCTGTACTTGGTAGCCCAGTCCTCTATGGTCTTCTTCTCTTTCTGGGTGGTGGTCAGCTCCTTCCTCAGCTTCTCCAGCTCCTCCAGAAGGGAAGTGACACGGTTGGCGTTTTTCTTGGCTTCCTCTTCTATCCCCTTCAGCTTAGACACCTCCACCTTCAGCTTCTCACTCTCCACCGCGTGGGATGTCTCCAGACAGTTCAGCCGCTCGCTAGTCACACGGTTGTCTTTAGCCTGGGGGGAGGGAGAGGATGAGGGGAAGGAGAGAGAGAGAGGTAGGGTTAGTCCATTTTAATGTAATGTGTGAAGATGCATATTCTATTCTTTTTGAGCAGTCACTCTTGGAGGAGAGTTTGTTATTAGGGTGGCTACTTCCAGCTGCAAAAAGATCAAAAATGTCCGCCTGGTTTCCACAGAGCCTCACCTGTTCGTCTAACTTCCTCTGCAGCTGCATGATCTTGTTCTCCATGCCGACGTTAAGCTTCTTGAAGTGTTCAACGGAGCGGGCCTCGATTTTCAGCTTCTTCAGCTCTTTCTTGGCCTTCATCCTCCTGATGCAGCACTGCAGATAGACGATGGCTCGCAGGGAGCGCTTGTACCGCTGTCTGGCCAGCCAGCCACGCACGTGTTTCTGGATGATCACAGCTTTGTGGTTACGCAGCAACTGTGGAGAGAGAGGGAGAAAGAGAGAGTTAGTTCCTGTGAATGTAATGTGAGCGTTCTGGTGTTGCTGAACTCTTATTGGTCTCCTGGGCTTCATCTTGCTGTTAATTCACAACAACAGGAGATCTATCTACTTTCTACCTAACATAACAGACGAGTGATGACAGAGACAGAGAAAGAGAGGCAGAGAGTGAGAGAGCGGCAGAGAGAGAGACATATACAGATGCACAGAAAGATAGAGACAGAGTGTTGATAGAAAGACAGAGAGAGCAATAGAAAGTGGTATCCTAGCAGGGTTATGTTAAAGAGGTCAGCTGTGTGTGTCAGTCAGTGGGACAGTCCCTAACTACTGCCATGTCACCTGACCCTAACATGGCCCCAGTGACCAGAGAGACACCAGCCTAGTTCTCTCCCTAGCTCCCAGTGACCAGAGAGACCCCAGCCTAGTTCTCTCCCTAGCTCCCAGTGACCAGAGAGACACCAGCCTAGTTCTCTCCCTAGCTCCCAGTGACCAGAGAGACACCAGCCTAGTTCTCTCCCTAGCTCCCAGTGACCAGAGAGACACCAGCCTAGTTCTCTCCCTAGTTCCCAGTAACCATAAAGACACCAGCCTAGATCTCTCCCTAGCTCCCAGTGACCAGAGAGACACCAGCTGAGTTCTCTCCCAGTGACCAGAGAGACACCAGCTGAGTTCTCTCCCTAGCTCCCTGGGAGTGGTCCAGGTATGAGGGTGACTGGTGACTCACGTCCATCCAACGTTGCACTGGAGTTATTTATAAACCACACTGCTGACAGACATGCAGGAGGGCTGCGTTATTAGCTGGCAGTGCTAGGAGTGTGTATGTGTGAGTTGGTTCTTCTATCCTTGTGGGGACCTAAAATCACAAAATATCCCCCCACAAAGATAGTAAAACAAGGAAAAAGGCTATTTTAAGCTTAGGGGTTTGGTTTAGGGTTACAATTAGGGTTAGGGTTACAATTAGCGTTAGGGTAAGGGGCTAGTGGTTAGGTTTAGGGTTAGGAGTTAGGTTTAGGGTTAAAGTTAAGATTAGGGTTATGGTAAGGGAAAATATAATTTTTAATGGAAATAAATGTTAGGTCCCCACGAGGATAGAAGAACATAACGTGTGTGTGTGTGTGTAGTGTATGTAGTGTGTGTGTGTATATAGTGTATGCGTCTCTCACCCCTTGGTATTTCTGTCGGGCCATGTATGCTCTGAGGATAGTCTGCATGACCAGGGCAGCAGCCTGCTTCTGGAGGTACAGTTTCCTCTGGACACACATCCTCTGGAACTTCTGGATGGTGATGGCTGCCAGGGTCTGACGCATGTACTTAACCAGACTGGGGGAGGAGAGAGAAAGAGGGGAGGCAGGGGAGAGAGTGAGAGAGGGGAGGGGGACAGAGGAGGAGGAGAGAGGGGAGGCGGACAGAGGCGGCAGGAGAGAGAGAGAGGAGATGAGACGAGAAGAGAGAGAGAGAGAGAGGAGGGAGGGGGGAGACGACAAGGGGGGGGGAGAGAGGAAGAGGCAGGGGGGAGAGGGAGAAGGGAGGAGAGGGGAGGCAGGGGAGGAGTGAGAGAGGGGAGGGGGAGACAGGGGAGAGAGAGAAGGAGACAGAGGAGAGTGAGAGCGAGAAAGGGAAGATGGACAGAGGAGGCAAGGGGAGAGAGAGAGAGAGGGAAGGTGGACAGAGGAGGCAGGGGAGAGAGAGAGAGAAGGGGGACAGAGGAGGCAGGGGAGAGAGAGAGAGAAGGGGGACAGAGGAGGCAGGGGGAGAGAAGAGAGAGAGAAGGGGGACAGAGGAGGCAGGGGAAGAGAGAGAGAGAAGGGGGACAGAGGAGGCCGGGGGAGAGAGAGAGAAGGGGACAGAGGAGGCAGGGGAAGAGAGAGGGGGAGAGAGGAGGCAGGGAGAGAGAGAGAGGGGACAGGGGCAGGAGAGAGGAAGAGAGAGTAGAAGGGGGGACAGAGGAGGCAGGGGAGGAGAGAGAAGGGGACCAGATGAGCGAGGAGAGAGAAGACGGAAAGGGAGCAGAGAGAGGAGAGAGAGAGAGAAGAAGGGGACAGAGGAGCGGAGGGAGAGAGAGAGAAGGGAGGACGAGGAGCAGGAGAGAGAGAGAAGGGGGACAGAGGAGGGCATGGGGAGAGAGAGAGAGGACAGAGGAGGCGGAGAGAGAGGGGAGAAGAGAAGGGAAGGGAGTGACAGAGGAGGCAGGGAGAGAGAGAGAAGGGGGACAGAGGAAGGGGAAGAGAGAGGAAGAGGTGGACAGGGGAGGGGGGAAGGAGAGGAAAGGGGGACAGAGGAGGCAGGGGGAGAGAGAGGAGAAAGGGAAGCAGAGAGGGCGGAGAGAGAGAGAAGGGGACGAGGACAGGGAGTGCAAGGAGGCAGGGGAGAGAGAGAGAAGAAAGCCGGGGGAAGGGGAGCAGAGGAGGGGAGAGAGAGAGAGAAGGGGGTCAGAGGAGGCAGGGGAGAGAGAGAGAGCGTAGTTAGGGTAAGTGGTGAAACATGCTGTTGAATTACTATAATTTACCCACCAATAACCTCCAACTGATCGGATTAACAAATCAATCAATCAAATCACAAATAAATATTTGTAAAATGTTACCACTTCCTACAATACATCAGACAATTCTGATTGGCTCCTTTTCAGGAAGTCACACAGTCTAAACTGCTTTTATCTGCATTGTGATTGTCCAGAGGGTGTTGAGTGACAGGTGTGTGCTCCACTGACCAGCGGGCCTGGTGTCCGCGGGTGTATCTCTGGATGGTGATGGCGGCATGCTTCTTGCGGAGGTACTTCTTGCGTACCAGCCAGCAGCGGATGGTCTTCTGGATGCGGACGCATGCCTTTCTCAGCTTATCAGCCCTCAGCTTCTCCAGGTAGGCAACCTGACCAGCCCTGAAGAAGATCTTAGTCTTACCAAACTGGTACTTATCCTGGTCCTAGAGAGAGAGAGGAGAGAGGAGAGAGAGATGGGTGGGAAAGAGACACACCACGTGTTTTAGAGGATCAGTTTCAGCAAGGTGAGGTCCAGAATTGCTCATTTTGACCACAGTAATCAACTAATCATGCAATTAGTTTAATGAGCTGTGTTTACTAGGGATGGGAGAAAAAGTGTGTCACCACTCCGGCCTCCGAGGACTGGAGTTGACCATCCCTGACATAAATAGTTGGGATGTAAGATGATTTGTAGATCTTTGATTCTACGCAGTCTGATTGCAATGTAGTGGATCTCAAACCCCTGACCCTCGTACCTGCACTAGTTTCTCCAGGACGTTCCTACAGGTCAGCCTCCTGTCCGACAGGACGTCCTTCTGCTTCATCAGAACCCGGTAACGACTGAAGAACTCCTGGTAGGTCCACCTGGATGGGAAGCCTGCGGCTGAGATGCGGATGGTTTCCAGAACACCACAGGCTCGGAGCTGCTGCACCGCTCGCTTAGGGTCAAACCTAAAGACAAAATTCACCTAACGTTAGGGTCAGACCCACACACAACATTCAGCTCAACCTAAGGGTCAACCTAAAGACAACGTACACCTAACATTAGGGTCAAACTTAAAGACAACATTTCACTAATGTTAGGGTCAAACCTAAAGACAACATTCACATAGTTAATCAAACCATACCAGCCAAACTTGGAGAGAACCATTCAGCCTCATAACATCACAATTACATTCACCTAACGTTATCTTGCCAAGTCAGATGGTACTATGGCAATTTAACCAGAGATTAGTATGCAGACACTTACGTGAAGGGGAACTTGAGGTCATTGGGCTTGATGCAGCGAACATAGTGAGGAGTGGTCGCATTCAGAGTCTCCATCAACATAGCCAGAGAGTTACGGAACTACAAGAGGAGAGGAGAGGAGAGGAGAGGAGAGGAGAGGAGGGGAGAGGAGAGGAGAGGAGAGGAGAGGAGGGAGAGGAGAGGAGAGGAGAGGAGAGGAGAGGAGAGGAGAGGAGAGGAGAGGAGAGAGGGAGAAGCGGACAGAGAAGGAGGAGAAAGAGTAAAGACAGGAGATTATTAAAGTGCTTCATTTTTACATTTCAGCTATTCTGACTCTGGTTGGCAAGTCACAATGCTGGTCTGAGTGCCTGTAGGGGTGTGTGTGTGTGTGTGTGTGTGCAGTGGTGTAAAATACTTAAGTAAAAATACTTTCAAGTACTACTTAAGTAGTTTTTTTTGGTATCTGTACTTTACTATTTTTATTTTTGACAACTTTTACTTCACTACATTCCTAAAGAAAATAATGCACTTTTTCCTCCATACATTTTCACTGACACCTAAAAGTACTCGTTACATTTTGAATGCTTAGCAGGACAGGAAAATTCTCAAATTCACGCACTTATCAAGAGAACATCCCTGGTCATCTACTGCCTCTGATCTGGCGGACTCACTAAACACAAATACTTTGTTTGTAAATTATGTCTGAGTGTTGGAGTGTGCCCCTGGCTATCTGTACATTAAAAAAAAACTAGAAAATGGTGCCGTCTGGTTTGAAATAATTCATACTTTTACTTTTGATACTTAAGTACATTTTATCAATTACATTTACTTTGATACTTAAGTATATTTAAAACCAAATACTTTTAGACTTTTACTCTAGTAGTATTTTACTGGGTGACTTTCACTTTTACTTGAGTCATTTTCTATTAATGTATCTTTACTTTTACTCAAGTATGACAATTGGGTCCTTTTTCCACCACTGTGTGTGTGTGCATGCATGCGACTGTCTCTATGATGCAGTCTACCTGGCAGCCAACAGTCTTCTTGTGCTCCTTGCTGCTTGCTCCAGGTCTGATCTCTTTTGGTTTGACGCTGAGTCGTGTTCTACCTCCTGGAGCGGTCCCTGTCGGACTGGTCGCCTTCTCCTCATCCTGAAACAGCTCCACTAGCAGGTCCAACTACACACACACACACACACACACACACACAAGCATGCACACAGGCACGCAACCGCACCCAAACATGTGTACACACACAAACATGCCTCGTCATTGCAAATAAGACACTGTTCTTAATTGACTTACCTGTATAAATAAAGGTAGCAGCAGCCAACAGACAGTTACGTCACAAACTTGTTAAGCTAACAGTTAGCCATAGGTATATGTGGGTGGTGGCTAGGCTAGGCTAGGTAACAGTGCTAATAATGTTTGTGGCTAAAGCTGCAGACAGACTGGCTATTAACAGAATGGTACAACAAGACAACAGGAAACTCTGGACAGAAAATGTGTGTAGTCTAATTAATACATCTTTTTAGTTTTTTGGACCAATAACAATGTGGACCAATAAAAGCCCTTGATAAGGAATGAGATGATGCTGAGCAGCGGCATCTAAACATTACATGATAAGTATAATAAGGTCTATAGTATAACAGACAAGTCTATGGAATTGTTATCATCAGCTTATTCATGCAATCCTTTATATCTAACAATCTAAAATGACAACAAAGAATGTTATGGTTCGAGGAGAAAGCGATTGGTTAGTGTGTTCTCTGTTGGTTAAGTTGTAAATGGGGAGGGGGCCACAGTGCAGCCTTTCAAAAGGGGTTCAGTCCTCCAGCTGTGTTCTTGTGTGTGTGTGTAGAATGCTGCTATGCTGCTTCTATTCGGCAGGGTTTCCCAGACTCGGTCCTGGTGAACCCACGGGGTGCACATTTAGATTTTTGACCCAGGCACTACACAGCTGATTCAAATCAGCTTGATGGTGAGTTTATTATTTGATTCAGCTGTGTAGCACTAGGGCAAAAACCAAAATGTGCACACCTTGGGGTCCCCAGGACCGAGTTCGGTAAACACTGCTTCAGCTCCATTAAGCCCCCCCCCCCCCCCCCCCCCCCCCCCGAGAGATAGTCTCCAGTGCTGCAGCGCCCATGCAGCCTCACCCCCTACACCCCACACACTTAAGTGCCATTAGAACTATTGTGAGACCACAGTGACGAAGAATGAATGGTGTGGGTTAGAGAGTCAGGGAGAAAGAGACGATGCAAGGATAGAAAGAAAGAACTAACAAAAGGTTGAGACAGAAAGAGAGGTAAATGGGGCAGCAGCATGTTTACCTTTAGCTGTTTAAGGGTTGTTGTCATGATGGGACAGACACACATGGACAACAGATGTAAACAACAACAACAAACAACACAACAACAAAATAAAGATTAACCAAAAATGAAAGAAACCAAGGAAATCCAAATCATTGCAGTATACACATCTAAAACACATTAAAAGTATATTCATATAAAACTATGAATCCAAACAAAAAGGGCCATCAGATCAGACAGGGTAGGTGTCATGGTGTCTACTGCCGAAGGCTGTTTGTAATGACAACACACCATTCAAACATGGCATCAGACCATAGACGTGGCACTATGTCTGTCGGCTCAGACAGCATAACACATGACTGAGCCATCTCTTTGCTGATGGTAGGCAGAAGGAATGTGTGTTTCTTGTAGACATAAACACACACAGAACCTCTCTCTTTCTCTCGAACACCATGATGATGGGTTGAACTGCTAGATTTCTAATTAAAGAGTCATTATCACGTCTACACCATTACTGGTTAGTCAAGCTGGTTTCCATGACAACACACACACACACACACACACAATTACACGCACAAGCACATACACACACAGTATTGCCATGGCTGATTGTTCCAGTGTAGTTAAACCTTGTGTGTGTTTAATGTGTTAGGGGGTTAAAGGAGTGTTTTAACCCTTACCCCGCTCTGCTGCTGCTGGCCTCTACAACAGAACAACGGGCAGAGTGAATCTTTATACACACACACACACACGCCCACACTTACACAGACACACACACTGCAAGGCCTATTTGGCGGAAAATGTCTCCCATTGTGTACATATCATCATTACACCACATGGACAGCAGAGGGTGCTGTTTCTCCTGACCTTCACTGGGTTCCCTGTCGGAGGTCATTCAGTGAGACAACACAGAGACTGTCAAACACACACACTAGTGAGAAAGTCATCGATCGTGTGTGTGTGTGTTACCAGTTGAATGTGCGGTGTGCGTGTTTGTATTTGTGTGTGTGTTTTGCAGGGACACACACCTTGCTGGCCTTCAGGACATTGATCTGCTCTTCATTCACTGTGTCCTTGTTTTTCTCCAGAAAGCCATCACACTGGTACTGCACCTGGACACAACAGTTAGAAAATAAGGTTATTTTGCTGACACTTTAATACAAAGTGATTTACAGAACTGTCAACTTGGACTCAGATTATCAATCAGAACAGCATTCATTTTATTCATAGAGTGAACCCGCTCACTTCCCGCTCTCTGTAACCGGACACTGATACTAAAACAGAACTCAGCAGTACTGGGTCAGCCAAGACGTCAACACTGCACACACATAACACACAGTGATCAGCACCTTGTCAGCGAAGTGTTGTATGATGAAGGCTTTGTTGGACATGCGAGGTTTCTCAAACAGAGAGCAGGTCTTCAGATGGGTGTTGTACAGCTTCTGGGCCCACGAGTCATCTGAACCTTTAGGCATCTGGACACACAGAACACTGGTTCACACTAGGTACTCTATGTGTGTGTGTCTGTGTTATGGGGGTGTGTGTTATGGGAGTGTGTGTGTGTGTGCCTCTGCATTATGTATGTATGTATGTATGTATGTATGTATGTATGTATGTATGTAGTATTATGTACTATGCATTTGTCAATCTATCTACATATGCTCTATGAGTTCACACATGGGGGTAATCAAATGATACAGATTAGGAAGTTCCTCAAATACTCAAACTGTAGATTTATTCAATGCTTAGAGGGAATTAAGGAGAGGGATAAAACAGAAGATCGAGAAAACAATTAGATTTTAAGTATAATGCATGATTATGTGAATATGTATGATAAAGAAAAGACGCAAACTAAAGGACAACCCTGTTGCATGACAAGATCATAGTCGACGATGACCAGTATTGACAACTGCGAAGGTTTGGCAGCTCTAAGGAAATTCAACCCGAAGATGGGCGGAATAGGATTACTCCCGCCAAAGTTTATATGCGTACGGGGAGCTAGCAAACCAGACCTGAGATCACTACAGACTCTAATTCACCATGCTAACTGGTGCGTTCATGAATGAAGAACTACCATACAGACTCTTCAATGCTTACTGAGCAGGAGGGTTTAGCAACGCTCACGGATCATTCAGCCAGACACCCAGTTCTCACCATGTTAAACGAGTTCAGTTCAGAGGGCACAACCCGTTTTCTCACCATGTAAGGAGTTCGTTCAGACAGGGCACACACAGTTTTTTCACCAATAAAAGGAGTTCAGTTTCAGACAGGACACACCAGTTTCTCACCATGTTAAACAGGGCGAGTGGAGTTTTGCCAAAAGCTATTGGTCCATTCAGACGATGTCTGTCCACCTCCTGGGCCCCAGTCATTCAACCTTAGGCACGGGCCGAAACGCTGGTTGACAGGGGGACTCTTGCGTGCACGGTTTAAATTGGGGGTTGTGTTATGGTTTTTGTGTGTGCCTGGCTGCATTATGATGTATTATGGTATGCCGTTGTTGCTATCTACTGTATGTATATGTCAGTGGGCGGAAAAAAGTATTTAGTCCAGCCACCATTGTGCAAGTTCTCCCACCTAAAATTGAGGCCGTCATTTTCTATCATAGGTCACAACTTCAACTATGACTACAAATTGAGATGAAAAAATCCGAAACCCACATTGTAGATGTTAAATGAATTTATTGCAATTCTATGGTGGAAATTAAGTATTTGGTCGCTACTACGAGCAGGTTTCTGCTCTCCGACCTGTAACTTCTTTTTAAGGCTCCTTGTCCTCCACTCTTACCGTATTAATGGCACCTGTTTGAACTGGGTTATAGATAAAATACACCTGTCACAACCAAACGTCTCACTCAAACTGTCAAATCTAGTGGCAAGACAAAGACTGCAAATACACAAAACAAAATTGTATGACCTCCCAGGTGGGAAGACTTGAATCTGCAATAGGTACCAGTCATCTTGGTTGAAGTGACCAAAAAATCAACGTGGGAGCATTTAGGAAATGGAAGACCTACAAGCATGATAATCTCCCTCGATCTGGGGCTCCACGCTAAGATCTCCCCCTGGTCAAATGATACAAGAGTGGCAAAATCCCAGAACCACCGGGGACCTAGTAATACCCAGAGGCTTGACCAATAAAAGCCTACCATCAGTATACACTACGCCGCCAGGGACCAAATCCTGCAGTGCAAAAAAAAAAAAAAAAAAAAAAAAAAAACCCCCCCCCCCCCCCCCCCCCCCCCCCCCCCTCGCTCAGTGAACACATGCTGAGAGAGGAGGAGGAGAGGAAGGGGGAGAAGAGAGGAGAAGAAGGAGAGGAGAAGAAAGAAGGAGAGGAGATGATAAGCAGGAAGGAGGGAGAGAAGAGGGGAGGTACAGGGAGAGGAGGGAGAGAAGAAGAGGGGAGAGAGGAGAAGAGAGGAGAAGAAGAGGGGAGAGGGGAGAGAGGAGGAAGAGAGGAGAGACGAACAGGTCAGCATTCAGAGCATGGTCATCTTGGTGCAGTCGTCTGTCCCCTTTGCATGAAAAGCATCCCCAAAGAATGATGTTCCACCTCCATGCTCACGTTGGGATGGTGTTCTTGGGGTTGTACTCATCCTGCTTTCCTCCAAACACGGCGAGTGGAGTTTAGACCAAAAGCTCTATTTTTGTCTCATCAGACCACATGGACCTTCTTCCCATTCCTCCTCTGGATCATCCAGATGGTCATTGGCAAACTTCAGACGGGCCTGGACATGCGCTGGCTTGAGCAGGGGGACCTTGCGTGCACTGCAGGATTTTAAATCCATGACGGGGTAGTGTGTTACTAATGGTTTTCTTTGAGGCTGTGGTCCCAGCTCTCTTCAGGTCATTGACCCAGGTCCTGCCGTGTAGTTCTGGGCTGATCCCTCACCTTCCTCATGATCATTGATGCCCCACGAGGTGAGATCTTGCATGGAGCCCCAGACCGAGGGTGATTGACCGTCATCTTGAACTTCTTCCATTTTCTAATAATTGCGCCAACAGTTGTTGCCTTCTCACCCAAGCTGCTTGCCTATTGTCCTGTAGCCCATCCCAGCCTTGTGCAGGTCTACAATTTTATCCCTGATGTCCTTACACAGCTTTCTGGTCTTGGCCATTGTGGAGAGGTTGGAGTCTGTTTGATTGAGTGTGTGGACAGGTGTCTTTTATACAGGTAACGAGTTTAAACAGGTGCAGTTAATACAGGTAATGAGTGGAGAACAGGAGGGCTTCTTAAAGAAAAACTAACAGGTCTGTGAGAGCCGGAATTCTTACTGGTTGGTAGGTGATCAAATACTTATGTCATGCAATAAAATGCAAATTAATTACTTACAAATCATACAAGGTGATTTTCTGGATTTTTGTTTTAGATTCCGTCTCTCACAGTTGAAGTGTACCTATAATAAAAATTACAGACCTCTACATGCTTTGTAAGTAGGAAAACCTGCAAAATCGGCAGTGTATCAAATACTTGTTCTCCCCACTGTATTTATATATATATATGTATATGTGAGTGTACGTGTGTATGTGTGTACTTTGCACTCTTCGTCCAGCAGATCTAGTACTCCCATCTTGGCCTCTATGAGGTTGATACATGGCTGGTTATCATAGAAGTCTATCAGAGTCCAGGGAATCTGCTCCTTCAAATACTCCTCCTGCTCCAGCTTGAACACATGCTGTAGAGAGGAGGAGGAGAGAGAAGGGGGGAGAAGAGAGGAGAAGAGAGGAGAGGAGAAATGAAAATACAGGAGAGGAGAGGAGAGGAGGGGAGAGGAGAGGAGAGGAGAGAGAGAAGGTGTTGGAATAGTGAGGAAAAAAGGGAAGAGAGAGAAGACAGGCAAGAAAGTGGGATGAGAGGAGAAGTTGTAACAAGGTCACCGCATTACAGCAAGCATCACAATTGTCTCTGACATCAATAATAAAATATATCAATCTATTTATATTGTTTTTTTGGAATACTTTTACACACAAGAGGGTTATTTAGACAACGGCATCACAGGAGTTCAGTTTCAGACAGGACACACACAGTTTTCTCACCATGTTAAACTGGAGTTCAGTTTCAGACAGGACACACACAGTTTTCTCACCATGTTAAACAGGAGTTCAGTTTCAGACAGGACACACACAGTTTTCTCACCATGTTAAACAGGAGTTCAGTTTCAGACAGGACACACAGTTTTCTCACCATGTTAAACAGGAGTTCAGTTTCAGACAGGACACACAGTTCTCACCATGTTAAACAGGAGTTCAGTTTCAGACAGGACACACACAGTTTTCTCACCATTGTTAACAGGAGTTCAGTTTCAGACAGTACACAGTTTTCTCCCATGTTAAACAGGCAGTTTTTCAGCAGGAACACAGTTTTCAACAGGTTAAACAGTAGTTCAGTTATCAGACAGGTTCACACAGGTTTTCCTTCCACATGTTAAACAGGAGTTCAGTTTCAGACAGGACACACACAGTTTTCTCACCATGTTAAACAGGAGTTCAGTTTCAGACAGGGCACACAGTTTTCTCACCATGTTAAACTGCTGTTGTAGCTTCTCGTTAGCATAGTTGATACAGAACTGTTCAAAACTGTTGATCTCAAACGTCTCAAACCTGGAGAGCAGAGGAGAGGTCAGAGAGTGATTGTCTCACACACACACACACACACACAAACAAGCACAGACACACACCCACCCACCCATAGATATCCAGGACTCCTATGAAGGAGTGCTGTTTGACAGTGGCGCGCAGAGATTTGTTGACGTGGTCCACGATCCAGTTGAAGACTTTGGCGTAGATGTGTTTGGCAAGCGCGTCGCGGGCATTGGAGGCTTGCAGCCGAGGGATGGGCTTGATGTAGGTCTCCTGGGCTGTCTTCAGCTTCTTGTGGCACAGCCAATGAGACATGTCCTGGTAGGTCACGCCCATCAGCTCACAGAACACCGTCAGGTGGCGGTTATTGGGCTGAGAGGGGGGAGAGAGAGGGATTCATGGTCATTTCAATCAATTGCTCAATTAATCTTTCTGCTATTCTTCCCATCTCCTCGACCCTTCTCAACCGTATTGGAGAAGGTCCAAGGTCCCTCCCCTCAGACCTTCTTCTCCAATGGGTTTTGAGAAGTAGGTGAGGAGAGAGATGGGAGGAATTGAGTCAAGACAATTTGAGAAAGAGCCAATGATTAGGAAAGGTCAGAGGTTTAATAATAGAGGTTAGAGGTCAGAGAGGTTGGAGGTGTCTCCTCACAGGTATGATGCTGCTATCAGAGTCTCGGTCCTTGATCTCCACGTTGCCCAGATGTAAGATGGCCGCCAGGACCTGGAACAGCCCCCTCTGGTTCAACTCGTTGATGCCTGAACACAAATACACACAAAAACAATACTATCAAAATCAACACTATACTAAAAACCAAATGGGACTGAGAGTAAATGACTGCCTGGGAAATGTTAACGTGTGTGGTGTGGTGTTTGTGTGTGACCTAGGACATTAGGGTAGCCTAGCGGTTAGAGCATTGGGCCAGTAACCGAACGGTAGCTGGTTTGAATACACAAGTCGACAAGGTGTAAATCTGTCTATGTTCACTTCAGCAAGGCACTTAACCCTCATTTGCTCCAGGTGCGCAATACTACTATGGCTGACCATGTGTGTATATATTACCTAGCAGTGAAAAGGAATGTCAGGTGTGTATATATTACCTAGCAGTGAGAAGGAATGTCAGGTGTGTATATATTACCTAGCAGTGAGAAGGAATGTCAGGTGTGTATATATTACCTAGCAGTGAGAAGGAATGTCAGGTGTGTATATATTACCTAGCAGTGAGAAGGCATGTCAGGTGTGTATATATTACCTAGCAGTGAGAAGGAATGTCAGGTGTGTATATATTACCTAGCAGTGAGAAGGAATGTCAGGTGTGTATATGTTACCTAGCAGTGAGAAGGAATGTCAGGTGTGTATACAGTGAGGGAAAAAAGTATTTGATCCCCTGCTGATTTTGTACGTTTGCCCACTGACAAAGAAATGATCAGTCTATAATTTTAATGGTAGGTTTATTTGAACAGTGAGAGACAGAATAACAACAACAAAATCCAGAAAAAAACGCATGTCAAAAATGTTATAAATTGATTTGCATTTTATTGAGGGAAATAAGTATTTGACCCCCTCTCAATCAGAAAGATTTCTGGCTCCCAGGTGTCTTTTATACAGGTAACGAGCTGAGATTAGGAGCACACTCTTAAAGGGAGTGCTCCTAATCTCAGTTTGTTACCTGTATAAAAGACACCTGTCCACAGAAGCAATCAATCAATCAGATTCCAAACTCTCCACCATGGCCAAGACCAAAGAGCTCTCCAAGGATGTCAGGGACAAGATTGTAGACCTACACAAGGCTAGAATGGGCTACAAGACCATCGCCAAGCAGCTTGGTGAGAAGGTGACAACAGTTGTGGAAGAAACACAAAAGCGCTGTCAATCTCTCTCGGCCTGGGGCTCCATGCAAGATCTCACCTCATGGAGTTGCAATGATCATGAGAACGGTGAGGAATCAGCCCATAACTACACGGGAGTATCTTGTCAATGATCTCAAGGCAGCTGGGACCATAGTCACCAAGAAAACAATTGGTAACACACTACGCCGTGAAGGACTGAAATCCTGCAGCGCCTGCAAGGTCCCCTGCTCAAGAAAGCACATATACATGCCCGTCTGAAGTTTGCCAATGAACATCTGAATGATTCAGAGGAGAACTGGGTGAAAGTGTTGTGGTCAGATTAGACCAAAATCGAGCTCTTTGGCATCAACTCAACTCGCCGTGTTTGGAGGAGGTGGAATGCTGCCTATGACCCCAAGAACACCATCCCCACCGTCAAACATGGAGGTGGAAACATTATGCTTTGGGGGTGTTTTTCTGCTAAGGGGACAGGACAACTTCACCGCATCAAAGGGATGATCGACGGGGCCATGTACCGTCAAATCTTGGGAGAGAACCTCCTTCCCTCAGCCAGGGCATTGAAAATGGGTAGTGGATGGGTATTCCAGCATGACAATGACCCAAAACACACGGCCAAGGCAACAAAGGAGTGGCTCAAGAAGAAGCACATTAAGGTCCTGGAGTGGCCTAGCCAGTCTCCAGACCTTAATCCCATAGGAAATCTGTGGAGGGAGCTGAAGGTTCGAGTTGCCAAACGTCAGCCTCGAAACCTTAATGACTTGGAGAAGATCTGCAAAGAGGAGTGGGACAAAATCCCTCCTGAGATGTGTGCAAACCTGGTGGCCAACTACAAGAAACGTCTGACCTCTGTGATTGCCAACAAGGGTTTTGCCACCAAGTACTAAGTCATGTTTTGCAGAGGGGTCAAATACTTATTTCCCTCATTAAAATGCAAATCAATTTATAACATTTTTGACATGCGTTTTTTTCTGGATTTTGTTGTTGTTATTCTGTCTCTCACTGTTCAAAGAAACCTACCATTACAATTATAGACTGATCATGTCTTTGTCAGTGGGCAAACGTACAAAATCAGCAGGGGATCAAATACTTTTTTCCCTCACTGTATATTACCTAGCAGTGAGAAGGAATGTCAGGTGTGTATATATTACCTAGCAGTGAGAAGGAATGTCAGGTGTATATATATTACCTAGCAGTGAGAAGGCATGTCAGGTGTGTATATATTACCTAGCAGTGAGAAGGAATGTCAGGTGTGTATATATTACCTAGCAGTGAGAAGGCATGTCGTGTTGTGCACATCTCTTTAGCGTCGTCCACTCCATCGATGATCGGGTTCCGACCCTGGTTGGTGCAGTGGAAGTCATCAGCACTACCTGCATGGACACACAAAAACACACACACACTAAATCAACAGTGGTTAATCAGTAGCCTATAGAAAGTCTTCTATTCTATTCAACTGTTTAGAGCAGCTGACCAGGAGAATACTGCTACATTAGGGTCACTGGGATCACACAGGGCCCAATCCTGACCTGATGTTTGAGTGTGATACATTGAATACTCTTGTTAATACGTGCACGCAGAAAGTGTGCACACACGCACACTCCCAAAACAAAGCCTTCCCTAGATTAAAGCAACCATAGACTGTTGCCTGGCAACTCAGGGCTGATATCACTGTGACAACCCCTCCATTCTGGTGGTGTGTCTCTGCCAAGAGGCCAGCTGAGAGAGACTAGGGCAGTGTGTGTGTGTGTGTGGCAGAGATTAAGTGTGTGTGTATGTGTGTTTGTGCAACAAACAGCCTCGTTAGATGACACAGTCTCTCTTTCTGCCATCTCACACACATGCGCTCTCCCTCCATCTCTCTCTGCAGGCAGCTGGGCACTGCCTCACACCCACAACATGAAGTTTGATCGAATAGGAGCTCTACTGTAGTTAATATGATCCCACAGTTAATATGACTCAATATGGCTGCTGTCTGTCCTCACGTTTCTGTTTGTTTACAAATACACTGTACTATTTCCTCTACCCCTGTTACACATCTCACCTATATGATCACGGAGAACGACTGGGGCACTATTTTTATTTATCCATTTGTCATTTATTGATATCAATAAATTGCTTGACGACTCATCCTGAATTTAATTCCACTGCTCGACCGATCGCTTCATACATTCAGTCTGAAACTGCCATCCCAGAAGTCGTTTGTGCCGACTTCAAAATGAGGATCGTTGTACAAAACAAATTCATTAACGATTGGATCGTCTCAAACCAATCACAGTATCAAAGCCAATGACGTGATTCATGATTTGTGTACGCTGGGCTCAACCCATTGGAATCGGGACCAATCAGAACGGTTAGAATGTGTTCACATTCTATGTATTGAGGGAGGAAAGCAAATCCAGACTCATGGTGGAGAAGAAACTCTAGTGGGCGTGGTGTTTGGCCGGAGCCATGTGGATGGGTTGTCAGGCTAATCAATAAACAAATAGATAGATACGTTTCAAAGCTTAGGAAGCGTCCAACCATCCAATGGAGAGTGTGTGTTTGTGTGTGTCTTACCTAGCTTCAGATTCTTGAACTCTGGTAGATGGGAGGACGCACACAGCTGATAGAAGATGTGATAGTTCCTCTCCTCGTCCGCCTGCACAGACAGACCAACAGACAGACCGACAGACAGACACACACAGTCAGGCAGTTTCAGATAGTGTGTTCTATACAGCCAGCAGATTCCAGTGTGCAATGTTGTGTACAGACAACAGAACACTGTCATGCTGTTTAGAATCTCGTATAGTTTTAATGTTGCAACATTTCCACCACAGACTAAGACACACACACCCAGGTGCTGTTGCAGAAAGGAATGTGGGGAATGTGTGTTGCAGTACAGGACTCACAGCAGCTTCCTCAAGTCTGGGAAGACATGCTATACTCCACTATCCTCATTCCTCATCTGAACAATGTGTTTTTGTGTGCATGTGTATCTGTGTGTGTGTGTGTGTATCTGTGTGCGAGTGTGTGTATCTGTGTGTGCATCTGTTTGTGTGTGTGCACTTTCTAAGTTGTGCACCTTCCTGATCCGTCTCAGCTGTGTGACCTGGATCAGATCGACGAGAGAGAGAGAGAGAGAGAGAGAGAGAGAGAGAGAGAGAGAGAGAGAGAGAGAGAGAGAGAGAGAGAGAGGAGAGGAGAGAGAGAGAGAGAGAGAGAGAGAGAGAGAGAGAGAGAGAGAGAGAGAGAGAGAGGAGGACTAAAACACTTATTCAATAGGCTCATATCAGGAATGAGCTGGACACAGAAGGAAGGAAGAACAGAATAGAACAGAGGTAAAGTGACAGGTGAAGAGAAGGAATGTGTTCTGATGTGTGTTCTGTCTCCTGTGTTTTCCTGACCTGGAGGAAGAGGAAAGACAGTGGAAGGAGAGACAGCCAGAAGGATGGATGAGAGAGAGAGAGAGAGAGAGAGAAAGGTAGACTGAGCAGAAGTAAAGACAGACAGACAGGTAAAAAGAAGGAATGTGAACTGATGACTGGTGTGTGTGTATGGTCCGGGTGTGTTTTCCTGAACTGGAGTGGAGGAGGAATTCACTGCTAAATACTGAACTTGTTTAGAGAGACACTCACCTGGAACACCACTCTAGACTTCTCCAGTAGATATGTCCTCATGTTAGCGCCGATGATGCGGTAGCGTTTGTCGAAGCCGATCTCGATGTACTTCCCGAAACGACTGCTGTTGTCGTTACGAGTCGTCTTAGCGTTTCCTATCGCCTAGAGAACACACACACACGGACACACACACACGGACAGAGAGCGAGAAATATAGATTAGGTCAGCAATATCAGCATATCACCCCCCCTTTTACAACAAGGCAGTGTTTTGACATTAGTATTCAGTGTGCATTCCAGGCTAGCTGGGCCATGTGATGGTGTAGAACTAAACTGTCCAGCAGGGAGGGGAGGGACATGGGGAGAGAGATACTGTGGTGGTGCTGCTGCTGCTGCTGTGCATCATGGGGGATGAAGTCCTGCTGGGTCTGCAGTCAAAGCACAGCACAGTAGTCAGTGGTGGTGTTAAAGGTCGTCTTTATTGCAGTCGCGCTGCCCAGATAATCAGACCTCACAACGCCAGCACAGGGACTGGAAATGCCTAAAGCAAATATCACCAACTGACTAACTGCAGTGGAAATCAGCTCTGCTACACACACACACACACACACTATATAGGGGTTAAAGTGTGTGTAAGGAGAGAGCTCTCCTCTAGCTGAGTTAAGAGAAAACACACTGTTACTGTTCCCTAAAGACAAGGAGGCTTTCAGCTGCACAGGCAAGTATGGTAATGTGTCCTTACATCAACACACACACACACACACAGCACACACACAGCAGGAAGAAGGCTTCCTGTTCATCCTGTGATGCTGACCACTGATTGGCTGACAGGGCTGTGAGAGGAGTGATGTCATCCTTACACCAAGGGGGAGAGGGAAGGGAGAGGAGAGAAAGAGAGGAGATGGGAGAGAGGCCATATGGGCACAGGGGAGAGCACTAACCCCCCCCCCAGATGCCACATGAGAGGACTGGAGCGAGGAGAGGAGAGGAGAGGACTGGAGCGAGGAGAGGAGGAGAAGAGAGAGGAGAGAGAAGGAGAGGAGCTTAATAGAGTATATCTGACTTCTATCATCTCTATACTCTCTCCTCTCCATTTACGGGCAGATGAGTCATAGTCTAGGTGAGGGGAGTCATACCTCCATGATGGGGTTGGATGCGAGGACCTTCTCCTCTACGTTGGCCTCTGTGGCTGCTCCGCTGACCGTAGCGAAGTACCGCATGGCGTATTTAGCCGACACAGTCTTCCCTGCTCCCGACTCACCGCTTACGATTATAGACTGGTTCCTCTCATCTCTAATACAGGAGAGAAGGAAAGATGGAGACGGTGAGGGAAGCAAGAGTCTGCTATGTGTCAGCTTAGTTGGCTCAGTCATGCCAATACAACAATACACACATAAAAAAGGAAAGTTATTAGACTTGGTTCTCAAAACGGTGTGTGTGAGGTCACTCTAGCAGACAACATGCTGTACAGAGAGAGAGAGAGGAGAGAGGAGGTCAAAAAATGTTGGTGTAGGAAAATGAACTCTATATACTTTAAAATGACTAAAACCAAATTCGAAACTGTAAAAATGATAAGGACCTACATTCATAACATTTCTTTACTGTGTCCAGCTCCCTAATAATCACCAAAATGAAAGCTAGATAGTCAGGGAGCATAAATAATTCCACGTTGAAGGTCGAATGCGCCCCTGGGGCAAAATAAGTTTAACACCCCTAGAGTAGAGAGAAAAGAGAAAGGAGATAGAGAGAGAAAGAGAGAGAGAGAAGAGAGAGAGAGAGAGAGAGAGAAAGAGAAAGAGAGAGGAGAGATAGAAAAGGGGAGAGAGAGAAGGAGAGAGAGAAAAGGGGAGAGAGAGAAGGAGAGATAGAAAGAGAGAAACAGAGACCACCAGTTTATTTCTGGTTTAGTTCTGACCTACAAACCCTAAGAAACAGATTGAGTTAGAGAGGGAGGGGCCATGAGCAGTGGGCGGGGCCAGGAGCAGAGGGAGGGGCCAGGAGCAGAGGAACACTTGAAACACAGGTAACACAGACAGTAAATACCCACACACTGTTCTATTCCACTGGAAGCTCTCAGACTGACATCGTTTGAACCATGGGAAAACTGTTTAAACACTGGCACGCATGCCACACACACACATACCTGGCCATCTGTTTGTAAGCCTCCTCAGCCACAGCAAAGATGTGAGGGTCCATGTCTCCCATGTTCTGGCCGCTGTACGCATTGATGATGTCACTACCGTAGATGGGCAGATTCTCATAGGGATTAATGGCCACCAGCACAATCCCTACAGGAAGAGAGAGGAGAGGAGAGAGGGGGTTGGTGTGTGTGTGTGTGTCTGTGTGTGTGTGGGACCCTTGTGTGTCTGTGTCTGCATACCACAGTATGTGTAGATGAGTTTGGAGTCGGTGAATCGGACTTTAAGGTTGTGCAGGACAGCCGGCTCGTGGAGGTAGCTGAGAGCTGTGAGGTCATTCTCCCCCACCAGGATGTCAGGGTTCCGGAGGTGAGGAAGGTTCTTCGTCTTATCATCCAGCTTGTGCTCAATGTCCTGAACAACACAGATTAAACAGAGAAGCTGGTGGCACCTTCATTGGTAAATGGAACGGTATCAAACATGGTTTCATTGGGTTTTATACCATTCAATTTAGTTCATTACACCCATTATTGTAATCCGGCCCCCCCTCACCAGCCACCTGTGTGTGTGTGTGTGTGTGTGTGTGTGTGTGTGTGTGTGTGTGTGTGTGTGAGCTGAGTAAGGTCCTGGTTTTATGTAACCCAGTGACATAAAAAGCAGACAGTTGGTGAACATAAGCAAACTCAGCCAAGCCTCATGTATGTACTAAAATATGCCAGCAAATGGGACATGTTTCTGAAAGGTCCACTGGGCTTGGTTGACTTTGTTAACATTGACATATGGACAGGTTATGATATGTATGGTGATATATGGTATATTGCAGTGTGAAGACAACAGCCCTTTACAACTCCTCTGAGTCTTCACTGGAACATACTGGTTCATTTCTGGAGAGTGCTTTCACAGGAAAACTATTAACCAATAATGAGATAGATTCACTGTGTGTGTGTACTGTGAATCTCATCACAAATGAGAGGATGTTATGCAACCACCCAACCCTATACCCCCCTTCTCCTCCTCTTCATCCTCCAGTACTCACCATTCCATCCTCCAGTGTGAGGTGAAGGGTGGAATCTCCATGTTTGTAGTTCTTAGTGAGCTCTGCTGACTTCCACACCTCCTCTGCATCAGGGATCCACACCCGAGCAAACTGAGAGAGAGAGACAGAGAGAGATGTGGATAGAGATATATGGAGACAGAGAGAGAGATATGGATATGGATAGGGAGATATATGGAGAGAGAGAGAGAGAGAGGGGGGAGAGAGAGAGAGAGAGAAAGGAGATGGTGAGAAGGTAGAGAAAGGTTATACATTACATAAATACATACTACAGAGTTTATTCTCCAAGTCATAAAGCTACATAAGGCCTACATCAGTACAGTGCTGTCCCTAGGCTCCATTTCTACTGCATAGAGAGAGCCTGCTGGTGTCCCAGATTAGCACAGTGCTGACTGAGGCTGTTATATATCCATGGTTGGTTGGATATGATTTCACCATCTAACATGATCAATACCGCTGGCCATTCATAAAGTCCCAAACCCAGTCCACATGATTCTGTGACCAATCACAACATGACAGGAATGCTTTCAGAGCCCGCCCTGCCCTGTGGCAGGAGCCTGTCAGCTGATCAAAGACATGCGAAACACACAGACACACTGTGACTGGGTTTGATCCCGGGTCTTCAGCCTTCCACTGGACTATGTTAGCCCGCTGAGCTAAAGCCAAGGCATTAGCTCAGGAAGAAGTCTTCAGGCCTCAGGCTCACAAGAGTGAAGTTCACAGAACCACATCCGTAACACACACATTGGTAGAGACGCACTCCAGTCACCAGAGGAGAGCTGACTGGTAGATTCCAGCTCTAACAGATGCCATTGGAAAGGTCAAACAGATGGCCTATCAGATTGCCAATCAGTGATCTTTCCGTCTCATTAAATCAGCTCAATGATGATCAGCACTACCCTAAGCTTATCATCATTTACCCTAATCCATTATTACCACCAGCAGACCTATATATGAAGATCTTTCAGAGGCACACACAGCAGGCCAGCCTAGGTCTAATTCCATAGCGCTAGAATGTTTAGCCCACATGATACTGCTTTTTCAGGAGAACAGTCTGTAAAATGTGTTATAATCTCATTGGTAGGAAGGATTTACATGAAGACTGAAAACAAGCTTCAGTGTATGTGCGTGCGTGGTGTGTGTGCGTGCGTGCGTGCGTGCGTGCGTGTGTGTGTGTGTGTGTGTGTGTGTGAGCATGTGTGTTGGCACTATGACAGTTGGCACTCGGATAGGATGCTCTCATATCCTTATGACTCCCCCTAACCTTCCAGGAACATTCTGTGGAAAAGTCTGATGATCTAGCTCATAGCCTACAGAGCCATGCACTCACACAGACAGACAGACAAGAATCACCATTGTGGGAGGTTGCTTACATATTCAGACCTACGTCATCGTCATGCCATCATGGTTTATCACTACGTAATGGAAAAGGTATTCTTGTGATGCTCCACAATGAATTGAAATGAATCTTTCACACCAGCGTTTAACACTGAAAGGTCAGAGCAGAGTGTGTGTAGAGAGGTCAGCAGAGAAAAGTGCTGACGTGACAGAACACAGAGATTCAGTCATCCTATAGCAGGGTTACTGAGGCTATTCTCTCTCTACCTGTTCCTTCCTGGAGGAGAGCGGTTCACAGCCCAGCTCCTAGCAATGGAAAGGAGGAGTGAGGGAGTGAGAGTGAGCGATAGAATGAGTGAGAGAGAGATGGAGAGAGTGAGAAAGAGATGGAGAGAGGGGAGTTTGGAGGTAAAAATAGCCTCACACACACACCTCACTGAGTAGCATCACTCCCACTGTGACACAACCATACACGCTGAGCACACTTCCTGATCCTCCTAATCACACACACACACACACTTTCTGCTGCAATTAAGTGTGTAAACCATTTACTAGTCCATGTTGTGAGGAGGGGGGGGGAGCAGTGGGATTGAGTCATATTTATAGACAGATCCCCAGGGTTACAGTAGAGGAGAGATGAAGGGTAGAACTCTACCCCAAAACACACAGAGATAAGTCAGAGGGACCCTGTCTGTCACATGGTGCTAGTGGGGATCAGCTAGACTGGTCAACTATACAGGAGAGGAGGAGAGGACTAAGGAGGAGGATGCAGGAAGAGAAGGGGAGATTATACCCCTTGTGACATCAACCCTCATGACTCAGAGTGAAGGGGTTCTCATCACACATACACACCCTCTGCTTGCCTGGCTCATGACCTGGAACAGCTGATCAGAGTGGGAGAGGAAGAGCTACAGAGAGGCTGAGAGGACAGAGGGGTCCGCAGCGAGCAGCAGAGTGTGTGATGTAACCTTGCTTGAGGCTTTAGCTCAGTGGGCTACTGTAGAGCTAACATATCCCTGAGGCATGTGGTGTGTTCTATATTAACCTGACACAAACTGTTTCACACTGCAGGCCTACTCCTGGATCAGTTTAGTAGTTCAGTGCCTTCCTCAAGGGCCCAAGAGCATCCAGTAAGAACACCAGCAACCTTCTGACCTGGGATCTGAACCTATAGGTCAAACCTATAGGCTAACTACCAGCCCAGTGGTTAGTTATATTAGAGTAGTGTATATGTGTGTGTACGTGTGTGTGTGTATGTGTGTATGTGTGAATGTGTGTATGTGTGTATGTGTGTGTGTGTGTGTGTGTGTGTGTGTGTGTGTGTGTGTGTGTGTGTGTGTGTGTGTGTGTGTGTGTGTGTGTGTGTGTGTGTGTGTGTGTGTGTGTGGCAGGTTGGTAGGAGGGAAAGGCCAGTAGCGACTCAGGTCGGCCCTTTAATCCAGGACTGACTAAGAGACTAAAGATCAGCACTGGATTAACTCTGGATTTACCTCTAATCTAATCCCTACACAGAGAACTACACCTCCACTCTCTCTCTTTCACTCACACACACACACACACACACACACACACACACACACACACACACACACACACACACAATAACATTCTACCAGCGTTATTGGTTATACCAATCCTTTCACAGCCGTGAATACTGAAAGGTTCTGAGAGATATTACGGGTACAGGGTACTAGGGGCTAGGAGCTAGTGAGACAGACCCAGGAGCTAGGGGAAGAGGTTAAGGGGAGGAACTAGGATATTAGGAACAAAGGGCTGGGAGTTAGGAGGTAAGGCCTCAGGCGAGATAGTGAAAGGTTCAACTTCACTCAGTTCCAAGAGGTTATGTCAGTGGGTTTAGATAGAGGCAGTGATGAGGGGACATGAGGAGAGGGTTAGGAGGGGAGTGGAATGGAGAGAGAGGAGTGGGAGGAGAGGAGAGGAGATGAGGGGGGAGGAGAAAAGAAGAGGGGGAGAGAGGAGAGGAGGGGGGTAAGTAACAGCAGAAGTGTTTATACATTTGTTCACAGCCAACAGGATTATTAGAAGTAGATTAACCCTCTTAGACTGAGCTTTCACTTCATCAGTTAGATCTCTCTCGCCCTTTCTTTCGCCTCCTCTCCTCCCTCCTCTCCTCTTGTTCGCTCTTCCTCTATCCTTCATTCCTTTATTTCTCCTGATCTGACAAAGCAGGACAGGCCAAACCAGACATCCACCATGTTGCTTTCACAACTCAGCATTACAGATCACTGACAGTGACTGCAGATGGAGGAGAGGAGGAGGATGAGGAGAGTTGAACTGCAGCCTGCCCTCACCCTGCAGGCGTGGTGTCTTCACTGCTGCTGAGGGGGAGGATGAAACAGTGCAGGGCTGTAGAGCAGCAGTAAATCCAGCCTCCACCCCCTGGCCAGGCCTCTCTCTGCTAAAATGGAGAGCATCAATGGCCCTATGAGCCAACGTAATTATAATGTTCTTCAATGTCTTCGTTCTTCAACAGAAACAGTTTCCACTCAATTAAACACTTGACTACGATTTCTTCATCCTGAACGGAGCCCTGCCCTCTGTGTGTGTGTGTGTGTGTGTGTGTGTGTGTGTGTGTGTGTGTGTGTGTGGTTAGTCTAGTCAACACTGTGTGTGAGCAGTAGAACTAATCTCGCGGTGACTGCGGCCCCGTCATCACATGACCCGGGTCATCACATGACAGAGCCTCATGTGAGAAACTGCTGCTTTTCTGTTTAACCACAGAGTTTCTAAACCATCTTTGGTTTAACACTCCAAGTACACACCTCAGCAGAGATACAGGAGGAAGAGGAGGAGAGGAGAAGAGAGATGAGAGAATAGAGGAGGGAGGGAATAAGAACAGAGGAGAAGAGAGGGGAGGAGGGGGAGGAAAGGAGAGGGGAGAAGGTAGGAGGAGAGGAAACGAGGGAGAGGAAGAGAGGGGAGGAGGGGAGCAGATGTAGGAATCTTGGGAAAAAACTATGTTGATGAAAATCCCTGATTCCTGGGAAACACTACCTGGAGCGCTCGCTCGCCCTCTTTCCCTCCCTATCTCATTACCCCCCTCCCACTATCCCCCTCTTCCTCCCCCCTCTTTCTCTCCCCCTCTCCCATCCCCTCTCCCCCCTCTCCCATCTCCTCTCCCCTCCCCTCACTCCCATCTCCTCTCCCCTCCCCTCACTCCCATCCCCCTCTCCCATCCCCTCTCCCACCTCTCCATACCAACAGTGTCACCCCATTTCAGAGTGTCTTACAGTAACTTGTCTGTCTAATCCCATTAGTTACCATGCAGACATTTGGCAAACAGGAGTATAGTATGACACAGTACAGTAGCCCTGTCTATGACAGTACAGTAGCCCTGTCTATGACAGTACAGTAGCCCTGTCTATGACAGTACAGTAGCCCTGACTATGACAGTACAGTAGCCCTGTCTATGACAGTACAGTAGCCCTGTCTATGACAGTACAGTAGCCCTGACTATGACAGTACAGTAGCCCTGTCTATGACAGTACAGTAGCCCTGACTATGACAGTACAGTAGCCCTGTCTATGACAGTACAGTAGCCCTGACTATGACAGTGCAGTAGCCCTGTCTATGACAGTACAGTAGCCCTGACTATGACAGTACAGTAGCCCTGACTATGACAGTACAGTAGCCCTATGACAGTACATAGCCCTGACTATGACAGTACAGTAGCCCTGTCTATGACAGTACAGTAGCCCTGTCTATGACAGTACAGTAGCCCTGACTATGACAGTACAGTTCAGAATTCCCATAGTATAATAGCGTATAACGGGGTATGACAGAAGGAAGGTATGATAATCTAGATAGTGCTCCTAACTGGCTGAAACAGTATTTTCTGTTGAGCAGCCCTCTGTTGTTCCTGTGTTGGCTGAAGTACCCAGGCCTACTGGAACACTCACTGTGGCTACATCCCAAATGGCACCCTATTCCCTATAATGTACACTACTTTTGAAACAGAGCCCTATGTGTGCCATACAGGGTACCATTTAGGCCGCAGCCTGTCTTCATTTTTATTTTTTATTTTTTAGGTCATTTTTAGCATACATTTTTCATACTGACCCCCGTGGGAATCGAACCCACAACCCTGCCGTTGCAAGCGCCATGCTCTACCAACTGAGCTACAGGAGGGTCATCAACAGACAAACAACCCTTCCTGGTACAGGAGAGACAGGGGAGTCTGACCTTCATGTTTAAGAAAGAGAGTACCAACTCACACAGCTACTGGACAAGTATGCTCTTGCACGTGCACACAGGCCTGAAACGTTCTACTACAACTCAACAGACAGATAAAACAACCAAAGCCAAGCCAAGTGAAAGGAAGTGAACTTACTTTGACAAACATATAATCCAACTCCTGATTCTCGTTCATCTTCACGTCTCAGCAGATCCCAGAGCCTTATCTTAAACTTCCTCTTCACCTCCCGGCCCCACACACACACACCTTGCAACACACTCCCTGCCACACACACCGACCACCACACACCTTGCCAACGGAGGGAGGTGAATGGATTAGTGATGGTTATAGCGTTGTGGACAGATGAAGTATACCCATTGTGTCTGACAGCGATCAGGACTCTGTCTCTCTCCCTCTGCCTTCTACTTTGCCCTGGTCCAACCCTGTCATTGGACGACCCAGATTTCAGTCAAACAGCCCAGCTCCCGCCCTCCCAGCCCAGACTACCACCCCTCAGTCACATGAGGACGAGGCAGACAAAAACTCACACACTATCGCTCAAACACACACACGAGCTGGGATGATGATGTGATTGTTGATGGAACAAGTGATAGATACAACAAGTAGTAGTGGTAGTAGTTTCAAGGGAAATATATATTGTGATAATGCAGTCAATTTATCGTGATTTGGGTTTTTGTCCATATCGCCCAGCTCTAAAAGGCAGTCTCTCACACACAAGCAAACTAAAGCTCCATGAGTCTCCTCAGCCACAGAATTACCTAAGTATTTTGCCCCTTACTAAGTATTTTGCCACTTACTAAGTCTTTTGCCCCTTACTAAGTATTTTGCCCCTTACTAAGTATTCTGCCCCTTACTAAGTATTTTGCCTCAGCGAGTCAGCTCCTTTGCCCTTTACTACTGCTCCAAACACTGTGTCCAGAAAGTTGCACACACACCACAGAACAAGGCGTGTTTACCTGTGTGTGTGTGTGTGTGTGTGGAGCAGCAGGAAGTCATGTAGAGAGCACTGTGGACATGACTTCGCCGCTCAATTACCATAACAGGGTTACTGTGGTAATCTAATGCACATGTCCTGCATCAGCGTCCGAGGAAAACACACAATTATGTAATGGTCCAGCAGTTTGTCTTAACTTGCTGACCTGATCAGTAGGATGAGGAAAGTGTGTTCATCTTTGAGCCGAGAGATGCTGTATTCTTCTCTGAGCTACTAAAGGACTGTGCTCTCCCCAATGCCCTATAGGATAGACCTGACTGACTACTGGAGCCTGCTACAGCTGCCCTATAGGATAGACCTGACTGACTACTGGAGCCCGCTACAGCTGTCCTATAGGATAGACCTGACTGACTACTGGAGCCTGCTACAGCTGCCCTATAGGATAGACTTGACTGACTACTGGAGCCTGCTACAGCTGTCCTATAGGATAGACCTGACTGACTACTGGAGCCTGCTACAGCTGCCCTATAGGATAGACCTGACTGACTACTGGAGCCTGCTACAGCTGTCCTATAGGATAGACCTGACTGACTACTGGAGCCTGCTACAGCTGTCCTATAGGATAGACCTGACTGACTACTGGAGCCTGCTACAGCCTGATGACTAGACACACTCTTTGTTCACCAACCTGTGACAGCAGAGACGTCATTTTAATGCTGTCAAAATGACAAGACATTTTTCTATAGTGCGAGAGAATGAGCTGACATTCATTCCAACAGAGTAAGGTCATGTTGTAAGCTAGACCTAAACTTAACCCTTTGAGTTGTGGGTTTGTGCTGGCACCAGCAGAATTATAGTTATTGTTAGTGGCAACACCGGGGTTGTGGGTTTGATTGCTACATGTCCCATATACTTAGCTATGTGTTTCTTCATTGTACGTTTATCTGCCTTCTTTCTCCTCTCTCCTTCCGCCTCCCTCCCTCCGCCTCCCTCCCTCTCTCCTTCCGCCTCCCTCCTTCCGCCTCCCTCCCTCCCTCCCTCCGCCTCCCTCCCTCTCTCCTTCCGGCTCCCGGAAGGAACAATAGCTAGTGGAAAGCCTCATTCTGGTTCAAATATGATAATTGGGGCCCTTACAGAATCCAGGCATTAAAAAGTAATTCAACAATATTTAAAAATGTATTTACCTTAGTAGGGAATCAACTAAATGTATCAACCAAGTTTATCTTAAGACATGAACAGAAGGCATCAGTGATTGGTATTTCCTGCAACTTCCTGAAGAGGCAAAGAGAATGCTCCTGTCTGTGAGTGTGCGGTGCGTGCATCTACCACTTTGTGTAGCCTTTAGTGATGATGTTAATGAAAACAGTCTTCTGGTAGATGGAAAGGCTTTCCCCAAAACCTTCTCAATTAAATGTTAACTACAAAGTAGCCTATGCCTACCTGGCAGAATGATATCATGATTATTTCAATCCAGTTGGTATTTGTTTTGCAAATCCCATTACATGTACCGCTAAACAACAGCCTCTTCCTAGGTGTGCACTTGAATTAAAGGGTAACTACATCCAAAAATCTACATTTCTCAGATTATTCCCAGACTTCAAAAGTGGTCTCCTAAAAAATTGGATGTTCTATTTTTTTTTTGTGTGTGTGTGATTTTGAGAGAGAAAACCTGAAAGAAAATGGGGGAAAATGAAACATGGAAAAACAAAATGATGAAAACTGAATTTGGGAAAGAACAAAACGGAATCAGGCAAAAAATGTAATGGATTTTATAGGGCCCTACCTAGGCTAATGATACTTTGTTATTAATATAGGCTATGTATAATCAGATAAATGTAATGGATTTTATAGGGCCCTACCTAGGCTAATGATCATTTGTTATTAATATAGGCTATGTATAATCAGATAAATGTAATGGATTTTATAGGGCCCTACCTAGGCTAATGATAATTTTTTATTAATATAGGCTATGTATAATCAGATACATTTAATTCTTAAGACTGATATAACCCTTTTCTTTTTTTAAATGTAACCTTTTATTTATTTTTCAAGATAATGTGGGCTATTTATTTTTATAAAATACATAATTTGAAGAACAAACATTGTGGCAATACATATCTTGCAGTAAAACTGTAAATAAGACTGATCTCAAGAGAAGACTGATCAAACGTTAAAAAAGGTTTCTCTTACTTAGAAAATAGTCCTGGTCATATAGACCTAGACCATATCCAAAACAACTCACTGAATTCATACATTTTCTGTCATTTGAATTGTAAAGTCATGTCTCTCTACACAATACCACAACTAATTTTTCCAATCTGGGAGGTAAACTCGATAAAGTATTGAATAATTTTGCTGTGCATTTCGGATGGAATCATGGTATTAGAATGTACGAGAGGCAAGCTCCTTAGGCAAAAAATCAAACCCTTGGGGGGGGCAAGCCCCGGACCAGGGGCACCTGGCTGTCTACTTTTTCTAGTTGGCTGGCTAATCTATGTACTTGTGGAAAACACTGGTGTGTGTGTGTGTGTTGAGTATGGGAGGACCCTCTGAACTAACTGTTTATTGGTTAGAGAGACAAAAATAAGAGTGTTCCCTAGACCTCTGTACTCACGAAGAAAACCACACACACCCTCAGGGAAAACCTCTGAGTAGACACACCCTTTGACACTTAGGCTACAAGGCATTAGCAATGCACACAGACATTTCAGTTCTTATGGAGAGCCTTCATTTGTGCAGCGGTGAATTTATCCTAAGTATGGATAGTCATGTCTGTAGACAGATAGACAGACCGACCAACCGGCAGTGTATTTCCATCGCAATCTTTCTATATGTTTCTAATATATCCACACACTCCTTCCTTTGGTGTGTGGATGGATGTGGTAGTAGTAACCCTGAGGACCCGGACACTTCAGGGTATCAGTCATTCACATTCATGCCACACACCACTCTGTTCATTCTGAATACAGCAGCTGGCCTATTGGGGGATGGGCAACTCATCTCTCTTTCTCACACACGCACACCCACACTCTCTGCTCCCTCATCTATCCGAATTTCCTCCTCACATTGTTGGTCAAAAACAATAACATCAACAACAAATAAGTATTATTTTCTTTGTTGGGTAAGGTTATTCTAGGCTGTTGTCATTCATTTCTATATTATAATTATACTAAACTCAAATTGCATCCCTATATTTGGCCTGTTTTGATCAGGCAGTGACAAGCCTTTATCTCTCAGCTCTCACCGTTCCCCTGGCCGAGCTGTCTCGAGCTTGGGCCGCGTTCAGCAGGATGGAAAGTTTTGGAACGTTCAGCTAGAAATATCCTATGTAGAACAAACATGCATCTCTGACTTGTAGAATACGGAATCACGTCGGTTCTATTTGTGGCATTTCTATCTGCAACGTTCGAGAACGTTCTCATACTGAACATGGTCCTGGACCCAAAAAGGGGGAAAAATCTCAAAACAACCGGCGGTGACGTGAGCGGGGCCCGTGACGTCAGCGCTGGTATCAGCATCATTCCTCTCTCCTCCGTACCCCAAACCGAATCCCAGCCTCGAGCTCAAATAAAAGGCCTGTCCTCCGTTATAAACCACGACTGTATAAACACAAGAACAAACATGACTGTGCCACTGCCAGTTGACAAAATAACATGATTTATTTAGGACAAAAAACAACATTCTCCATCGTAGCCATTGCGATGCTACATTTATACCATAATAAAAATCGGCTTTTCAAAAGTGCATCAACCTGCAGATGATGACATTACGCCGAATAATAAAACATTCAAATTGACAGTCATTCTGAGCCGGGGGCTATGAAGGGCAGAGACAGAGGCCGAATCTCAGAGCCCACCGCTTCGGCGCTTTGTCAGCTGAGATGCTTCTGCTGCTGCACCCATTTTAACACAGCAGAGAGCTAAATATAGAAGGTGCCTTCACTCAGTCATAGGCTACTGCATGTCAACCTACATGTACTGTATATAGTCCCCCAAGCTGTAGGACGCTGCTTCAAACGCTTTTCATTCATTCCAAAAACATAGCATTGTTTTGATGTCCGAAAATCACCTCCTGCGCGGTGCGCGAGGCTTTGTGACCTGTCAATCTCGCTGTTTGTATTAAAGACTTCCCTCTCATTCATTCCCGCCATCAACGAATGAATGATTATAAACAAGCTCTTTGCTTTGTGCTCATTGAAGAAAGCGCTGCAGAAACGCTATAAACGCACAAGGCAAAGCCCGATTATGTTGATTCCATTACCTTTGTGTACAGCTCCGACGCTGCCATACTGCAGCTGTCGTGTCCTTTTTCCATGAATCTCAGCAGCTAGATTTGAACATCAGTAGGTCGCCGCTCCGTTTTTTCCTCGCAGTTAATAAATAAAAATCCCTCCAGGTTTTAGGTTACTCTCCTTTTAGTGTACAACACATAGCACCATCATACCTGGAAAACCTCGATATTTTGGCATCTCTCGGAGCATTATGGGAATTGATGATGGATAAAATGATTCAGTGAAACGCGGTTGTTGCCATGGGCTCGGAAACATGGCTAAACAGCGCACCCCTGTGGCCAAGAGGCGACATCGCTTTAGTTCTGCTGGTTAGAACTATGGTTAGAAGCCTGCTAGTCAGAAACTGTAGGTAGGCCTACATAACTCTATGTGTGGTTATTTCAGAGGCGTGAGTAGGAGTATTGTTCAACTTGTTCGTGTAATAAAAACTCTGATTCACCTCTCCTCCAGTCAGCTGAACGACCAGAGAACTTCTCAGCTGTCTAGATCTAGAAATGTCATCTTTAGACCCGTTGCTGACATGATTACACAATAGAGAGAAATTAATCATAATCTGATCTAGACCACAGTTCTATCTGAAATTCCAGATGTTCTGTAACGTTCTACATTCCTAATTGTAAACGGCTGGAGTCAGTCTTCTGTTGAGAAAAATATATATATATAACTAGAAGACTGGTTGCTGTGTCCAGTGTCATAATAAGTGGGTGCTTCTCATAGATAAATCAAGAGGATATATAATTATTTTTTTAAAATGATGTATCACTGTATTTCTTTCGCTCTGCTGGCTGTTGTCCTCTGTTGAGAACACATCTATAAATCGAACTAGAAGACTGGGGTGTATTCATTAGACAGATTCCGTTGCAAAACGTTTCGTCTGTTGCAAAACGTTTTGCAACAGAAACCGTTTACTATAGGAGCCGAACGGAAGCAAACAGAACGGAACGGGTAGCGACCTGCCTGAATTTGTCCAACAGAAACTCTCATTTTCGATGCCAAACGTTTTCCGTTTTGATTGCAACAGACTAAACGTTTTACAACGGAATCCGACTAATGAATACAGCCCTGGTTGCCATGTGTCATATGCCTACTAATTTAGCACTCTTCATCCCGGGTGGGTCATAAAGCTGCAACAATTTTCTTCCACTAGGGTCTGTCGGTCTTTGGCCACAGCTTGTGTCTTAAATGGGAGATAAATCCAGCTTATTTATATACATTTTGATCAAGATTTATCTTGGTGGTGCTTCTGCTCTGCTGGTGTTATCCCTCATGTAATACTAACTGGCCTCTACATTTGCATACATCATTCCTTTGTATACAATCTTTCATAGATGATCGTATGATCTCTGTCATTGCATGGAGTCAGTCATCAAACACCAACAGCCGTTTGTGCAAAACTATTTTATTTACAAAACAAAATGGCACAAAGTGACAGGGGGGCAGTCAAATACAAGCACACCTCAACTATGTAGTGCTTCAGCTTCAGACCATTGATGACCACACCCCCACCTCTACTAGTGGACTGGCCTGTGCATATATACAGTAGAGCACTATATAGGGAATATGGTGTCATTGATATTTGTAAGGATATGCTGGACAAAGGGGGTGGGTATGGGGGAGAGAGTGTGTGTGTGAGAGAGAGAAAGAGGGAGAGTGGGAGTGAGTGTGTGTGAGGCCAGCTAATTTGGAGCTAAATGAAATGTCTTTAGACCCTGTCACATCATCCTGCTGTTCCATCTCCATTCACCAGTGGAGCCTGCTGAGGGGAGGACAGCTCATAATAATGGCTGGAACAGAGTAAATGGAAACCATGTGTTTGATACCATTCCACTCAAGCCCTTACCACGAGCACATCCTCCCCAATTAAGATGCCACCAACCTCCTGTGACATTCACCCCTCCCTCTGATAGCCACTCTGGTCTCAAACCACACCATAGAGACAGGAGGGTTTTCCTGACCATGTGACCTGACCAGGAAATACTCTAGACACTGGTTAAAGGTTACAAATAGGGTCCAGAGTTTTTCCTGGTCAGGAGTTTTTTGGGGGGGCCATACATGTTGGTGCTTTTCCAATGAAACTTACCCCCACACTAGTGGGTCGACAGTGTTTTAATGTAAGCTCTAGTGTTATTGTTTCCATCAGGAGAGTGCCACTAAAGACTTGGGGCGAGCAGAATCAACAACCTCTACATCATTCAAGACAGTAGCTTTGTGAGAAGGTGTTAAAGTTCATAGTTAGCCATTGTTATGCAAATAAAGCTGAAAAGTACCCAGGGCCTGGGCTTGGCCCCAAGTCAGAGCAGGTCCACTGGAGCCATGGCCCAGTGAGACACGGGTGCCGACCCACGTAGATGGAAACAGAAAAGTCTGAGTCTTTTGGGTAAATCCTAATTGGAAACTCGCCAATAGTGCACTACTTTTGACTAGAGCCCTATGTGGCAGTGGGTGTAATGTAGTGCACTATACAGAAAGAAGGGTGTGATTGGAGATTCTCTATATAATGCAATAATTCTCACCACCAGAGCCCTTTGGACCCTGGTCAAAAGTAGTGCACTATGTAGTGAATAGGGTGCCATTTGGGACACATATGTAGCATTTAAACAGAACAAAACAACAGTAGTGAGAGGTTCTGGTCAGTCATTATCAAGGTTATATTCATATTCAATCACTCAAGCACATTACAGCATAATTTAGATGACAACATAACACTAATAACAACGTGTTTGGTAAATCATAATATTCTAGGGTAAAACATTCTAAAAGGCTGATTTTGGCCTCACTCCTCTCCAACACAACTAGAAATATGTACACAATCAGCTAACAGGACTGGAGATGACATTCAACCCTCTAGACCAGAGAGACCGTCTGTCTGTGTCCCAAATGGAACACTATTCCCTATGTAGTGTAACCATTTTGGGCCAGAGGCTCGCAGGGCAGCCACATACGGCTCTAGTTGATAGTAGTGTACTGAATAGGGAATAGGGTGCAATTTAAGACTCTCTGTGGCTCCAGTCGGCCTTCCTCCCTCCTATGTTAGACTCTCCAGGTGTGCGTCCAAAATGGCACCCTATTCCCTAAATAGTAAGAAAAAAATGTATGCACTCACTCTGGATAAGAGCGTCTGCTAAATGACTAAAATGTAAAACGTAATACACTGAGAGTACAAAACATGTTCTTTCCATGACAGACTGATCAGGTGAAAGCTATGATCCCTGATTGATGTCACTTGTTAAATCCACTTCAAGTTAGTGTAGATATAATATAATATAATATGCCATTTAGCAGACGCTTTTATCCAAAGCAACTTACAGTCATGTGTGCATACATTTTATATGAAGGGTAGGAGACAGATTAAAGAAGGATTTTTAAGCCTTGAGACAGATTGTGTGTGTGCCATTCAGAGGGTGACAAAAGATTTAGGTGCCTTTGAACGGGATATGGTAGTAGGTGCCAGTTTGAGAGCGTCAAGAACTGCAACGCTGCTGGATTTGTCATGCTCAACAGTTTCCCGTGTGTATCAATAATGGTCCACTACCCAAAGGACATCCAGCCAACTTGACACAACTGTGGGAAGCATTGGAGTCAACATGGGCCAGCATCCCTGTGGAACGCTTTCGACACCTTGTAGAGTCCATGCCCCCGACGAATTGAGGCTGTTCTGAGGGCAAAAAGGGGTGCAACTCAATATTAGGAAGGTGTTCATTGTACTTTTTACCAGGGCCCATAGGGCTATATAGGGATAGGGTGTCATCTGGGACAGAGTTCCAGTCATTTACATTTTAGTCATTTAGCAGACGCTCTTATCCAGAGCGACTTACAGGAGCATTTAGGGTTAAGAGCCTTGCTTAAGGGCACATCGACAGATTTTTCACCTAGTCGGCCCGGGGATTAGAACCAGCGACCTTTCGGTTACTGGCACAACGCTCTTACCCACTAAGCTACCTGCCACCCAATTTGCTGGTCCCAGTCATCTTTAAAGTCTCCTCCTCTGTAGTGGAGTCATCCCACTCCCTCTCTCTTCTACACATCCTCATCCTTGCTTTCAGTGTATTTTTACATGAGAATAGAAGATAAACAAGAACAGAGAGGGGAGGAGGAAAAGGAGGAAGAGGGAGCCATAACAGAGTGGAAGGTGAAGGGAAGCTGAGAGGACTGGGTGAAGAGGGTGAGGGACAGAACAAGGGACAGGCGGTTAGGGGTGTGTGCCAATTTGCTGGCCACCAGGAAGGGGTCTCTCTGGGACTGGTGCAGGAGTAGATGGGGGGAGGTAGTGAGACAGGAACAGGTGTAGTAGGGTGATTGTTAGGAGTATTGACAGGGTTAGAGACAGGACAGTGTGTGTATCAGCCGGCCAGTTTGCTGGCCACCAGGGAAGGTTTCCTCTGCGGCAGGTCCTGAGGTGTAGGGATATGGTCTCCTGTGATCTCTCCCCCTCCGCTCTTCTCTGACGTGGCTGCAGGAAGCTGCTTGTTCTTCACCTTGGCCTTGGCCATGTTGTAGTCCCCAGAGTCAAAATACTTTTGCTGCAGAAAGAGAATGTTAGACTTAAAACAACCTGTATCTTAAAAAAAACAAAAAAACAGTCTAATTGATGCTGAGCGAGAGAGAGAGCGAACTGTAGGCTCGTGGGGATAGGTTAGGAGAGAAAGTAGGGCGGTAGGTAGGGTTTGGGAGTGTGGACTCACCCCCTTGGTCAGGCGTTTGCGTAGCAGGTCGGAGCCTCCAGGTTTGTGTCCCAAGTTTGGGTAGCGAGCCTTCAACTTGGCCTCCTCAACCTTCTCTGGACTGATCACCTTGTCGTCCATCTCCTGAAACACACAAACAATTGCAAGCTGGCTAAAGGCATTGTCAAGCGGATGGTCACGTGTTTGCGAGGCAGTGTGCCCAGGGTTTGAGCCGTTGTACGGACAGTGTACCCGAAGCTATGCTAAGCAAGCACACTGTGGTCTGTCACATCAGCTCCTGAAAACACCTGCGCCACCCACATGCGGAGGGAGCAGGGCTGCTACTACTGGTAGGGACGTCAAACAAACGCTCAACAGTTTCCCGTGTGTATTAAGAATGGTCCACCACCCAAAGGACATCCAGCCAACTTGACAACTGTGGGAAGCATTGGAGTCACTATGGGCCAGCATCCCTGTGGAATGCTTTCGACACCTTGTAGAGTCCATGCCCCGACAAATTGAGGGCAAAAGGGGGTGTGAGAAAATGTTTTCTTACAGAGATTTAAGTTGATAAATGGCTACGCCAGGTTGTCATCTAATCGACATATATGCAGTATACCAAAGTTCATTGAGGTTTGTCTGTGAGAAGAGCGCAAACAGTACATGTCGCTGCAGTTATTGTCCCAGTTCCATTGATTTCAATACAATATCAACATGAGTGATTAATTTGTGCGCGCTATTGATTACAGTAGAACAAGCTAATCAATTCCAGTCTTGAGTGACTCCTTGGTAAATATTGGTCCTGTTTATATGGTACTAATTTAGCAAAAAAACAAGTAATCTGAACACAAGTGTGACGTGTGTGTAGGGAGTAACTTTTATGTAATGGTCTTCAAAATATCATAACTTATTTCAGCATATTGATTATGAATTTGAAATGTAAACTGGTGTTTTGACACTCAAAAAGACATGGCAACAGGAAGCAGCAACAGTATCATTTTCAATGCATGTTTCAGGAATATAAATGGTACTTTTAACACTTTATCAGGAAAAACTACTGAATGAGCCCAAAAATGTGCTATGATTTATTCATTTGAATGATATTAGTGAAAACGTTAAAATAAGTTTGTCCTGGCTACTACTGAGCCTGCAGGCAGCCAACAGCCACAGCAGCAGACACCTCCGTCAGGCCTGCACAACAGACAAGGCCTGTACAGCCTTAACATAGGGCCTTTGTCCTGGCAAATGCAATGTGTATTGCTAAACAACATTGGGAGAGGATTTCTGTTAAAGTGACAGCCTGCCTGGCATGTGATATGTGCCTGTATGAAGACATTACATAAACTAAAGCTGGTTGATGTGTGTTGTACTAGAAGCTGAAGTAGGGATTTAGCTATAAAACCACCACAGCAGTAATAAGAGGAATCTGGAGCATGAACAAATTAATACATTTACATTTTATCCAGAGCGACTTACAGTTAGTGAGTGCATACATTTTTCATACTGGCCCCCCGTGGGAAACGAACCCACAACGCTGGCGTTGCAAACGCCATGTCTACCAACTGAGTTAGACATGCCTAGAGTGCCTTCACCATGCCTCCTAAGCTGCGGGCACACTGCAAGAGTTGAGAGGGTTGGAAGGAATGGAATATGGATTATATGAGTTACCTAACTAAAGGACAGAACATAAACACTGGCCTTCAGTACATCGTGGGGCGAGTCACTGTTGACAGTCAAGCCAGATTGCCATCTTTAAAGTAGACAACAGTGGTCAAGCCACTGAAAGCAACATAACTTCGCTAACGTTAGATGGCTTTGATAGTGGTAGCTAACTAGTTAGATCACTTGTTGGTTAATGTGGTTAAAGCTAGCTGGCTAATGTGGCAATGACAGTTGTTCGTTAGCTAACTAGCTGGCTAAAATAGACACAAATCGACATAGCTAGCTAGCATTTACTTGCTAGCTAACTTAGCTTGTTAAGTCGTTATCCAACAAGCAAGTCAATTATATAACGTTAGCTATTACTACACATTAGTTAAGGAAAAACAATAATTAGGGGATTTGTTCCGCTTGTGTTTACCAAATAATCATGACTTCATTAGTTAACTAACTAGCATTATGGGCAGCTAACGTTAACTGTCGTAGCTAGCTAACGTTAACTAGCTGAATTCCTTAGTTAACGTAATATCGAAAAGCCCTAGCTAGTTACGACTGCAATTAGTTATGGAAAACAGTTTGTTTAGACACCAACTGGTATTTATTAAGTAGAACAAACTGATGTTGTGGATAATCAATCACGACAGCTAGCTAGTTAGAAAGGATTAACGCTAGCTAGCTAAAAACCTGCATCCCATATGATCGTGTGCATTGCAGTGCCAGTGCAGCTTGACAGTCGTTGGTTAGCAGTGTGGTTGTGTTTAAGACAAATACACGTACGTTCTGGTCATTTACCAACGTCTCCTCGGTCGTCTTTGTTCCCTCAATTTCCTCCGACATTTCTGTGTAACCTCGATCCCTGGCAAAGTCGAAAAGTAAACACAATCTGGACTAAATCCTTGCCCTGGTTTCCTCTCCCCATACGAATCCGTCCGACCGTTAGCTACTAGCGCGCACAAATATGGCTGCCCGATCTGACGTCACTGTTTAGCAGAGGCGCGCTCATCATTCTCAAAAAACCGCCGCTAGATATTTGAGCAAGACAAAAGTAGAGCCTTTTATTGAGCATCAACTCGGTTTAATGCATGCAACCAACATTAACTACAAACGTTTTTGACATCAGATTTGAAGTAGGTGTTTCCCAGTATATTGCATGATGGTAAATGCCGTTTTTTTTGCTGTAATGACAATGGAATGCAGCAGAAGGATTTGGCCATGAAGTCCAATGTCATGAAATAAGCTAAATTATACACATTATTCCTTTATTTGATGGACCATGATCCATATGTTATATTGAAGGCCAGTGATTGTGGGGGAACTGCCAGAGATGAACCAGTGACTCAGTGGTTATGGAGTTTGGCCACCACCTGTGCCATGACCTCTTGGCAGCTGCAGCCTGCAGCAGTAGCCCTACACTAAGAAAGGAGGGTCAGGGACCAGGGTACATATATTAATGGTTTACAGACAGAATAACGTTTTTTTAATTGACAGAGATTTGAATGTAGCTCTCCAGTGTGTATCATTTCTCTTCTCAACAGGCCACTTGATCATGTACATCTGACCACAGGACCAACCTGCTATGACCGATGAGGACTTTAACAGTCGTTTTATTCAGCTGTAGAAATTCTGACTCGTTTTCATTTGTACATAATCTTTTTCAAATGTATTATAACAACATTATAACATGTTTTACATCAGTCGACATGACATGGACCTCAGTGTTGTCCAAGACACTCAAAATAAAGACACACAGACAATGCAGGTTTCAAGATTTTAAGATATAGATATATTTTCAGATCTGAGTTAATGTCAAAAATACATATGATTTACAGACTTTTGTACTACATAATGCTGAGGATGATAGATGTCACATGAGCAGTAACTGAAATATTAATTTAAATATTAAATAACTGACAGTAAACAAAGTAAAATAATGTAAACACTAAAGCTAAAGGTTACTCTCTTTCTATTGCAACACTTCAGAGATTTGTTTTTGTAACAGTACACAAAAAGTATTAGACTATTACTCATTTTGATTTCCAGTCATCGTGGAAATACACAGTGCGCTTTTTCAATGTCGTCTTGTCATTTTCTCAGTCTCTTGATTGCTTGTTCTGGTCAGACAGTGGTCCATGGTCGCTAACGTGTAGTTGATGTGTGTTTTAGCATGTCTTTAATACGCCTTCAACATGTATAAAGATGAGTTTGAGCTTCACAGACAACAGCAGGGTTCTGTACGGCTAGGAGTTGTTCCTGGTCAGATCAGATGGTCAGTGAAATCTCCAGGCCCTAGGTATCTGGGACGGAGCCTGTCTGGACTGTTCCACATGAGAACGCTCTGAGCCCAGCTCTCTGACAGCTCTGTGGGTGTGCGTGTGTGCGTGTGTGTGTGTGTGTGTGTGTGTGTGTGCGTCAGCGCAGATAGAGAGTGTGTGTGCGTCAGTGTCAGCAGTGCAGATAGAGGTGTGTGTGTGTGTGTGTGTGTGTCAGCAGCGCGGGGAGAAGGCTGGGTCAGCGGGGGACTCTGTGTAGGACTTGAGTTCGTAGGCTGCTCCACTGTCTACCTCCATAGACTTCCTACTGAACAGCAGTCTGATATCCCTGTGGAGGTACACCTTACCTGACCTAGAGGTCTGGAACCTGGGGGTGGGGGGAAGAGAGAGAGAGAAAGAGAGAGAGAGAGGGAGGGAAAGAGCTAGATTAGTGTCAGTACAATGTTTTCCTGTTCAGTTTGGTCTTCTGTCCAGTCTTGACTAACAGGTAATATATTTTATTGACAGGTGAGATTATGTGATTGACAGGTCAGCTGAGCCAGACCAGGTGTCTTTCTTACCTCAGGTGAATGAGGTAGCGCAGGATGCGTCCCTGGCCGAGGGGGAGGGCTTTCCTGCTGCTGCCGTGTGTATGTGTGTTGCCTGGGCTGCCGTGTTTGTGTGAGTGTGTGCTGTCCCGTCGAACGGGGACAGAAAAGGTCCTCTGACGGAGGAAGGTCTGGTAGCTGGCAGGCATGGCTCTCAGGTCATACACCACCACAAACATCTTCACCACCGTCTTATTGGGGTTAAATAAGGTCTGGGAGTGAGCGGGAGAGAAGGAGGGAGAGAGTGAGGGCGGGAGGGAAAGTGGGCGGGAGAGAGTGGGCGAGAGAGAGGAAAAGAGAAGGGGTTAACATGTAGTCATGTATTTCTTTATGTCCTCACTAGGGGTCTCCCTCTCCTAACTCTCTGCTGGAACGGAGCTGGTCCATCTTTCCTTTGTTCTCACTGTCTGGAGTTCTTATGTCAGCAACAGTGACACACATGCATGCACACACATTTAAACAAACATTTTCAATGTGTATAATCCACAGAGTGTAAATCTGTCCTCACCACTTGAATGGTTCCTGATGGAGGGACGCGGTAGCCCCGTTTACCCAGAGTCTCCAGGTTGATGACTCCCTGTAACAAAAACAACACACACTATTAATATTGATCTGCACTGTGAGCAGTAAGTGTGTGTGTGTATATATATATATACACATACATACATACATATATATATACTTACATATATATATACACATACACACACACACACACACACACACACACACACACACTGAACAAAAATATAAACGCAACATATAAAGTGTTTGCCCCATGTTTCATGAGCTGAAATAAAAGATGACAGAAATTTTCCAGACGCACAAAAAGCTTATTTCTCTCAAATGTTGTGCACAAATTTGTTTACATCCCTGTTAGTGAGCATTTCTCCTTTGCCAAGATAATCCATCCACCTGACAGGTGTGGCATATCAAGAAGCTGATTATTACACAGGTGCACCTCGTGCTGGGGACACTCTATAATGTGCAGTTTTGAATGTCAACCAGAGCTGTTGCCAGAGAATTGAACGTTAATTTCTCTACCATAAGCCTCCTCCAACGTCGTTTTAGAGAATTTGGCCAGAAAATCCAACCGGCAACACAACCGCAGACTACGTGAATGGCGTCATGTAGGGGAGCGGTTTGCTGATGTCAACGTTGTGAACAGAGTGCCCCATGGTGGCAGTGGGGATTATTGGTATGGGCAGGCATAAGCGACAGACAACGAACACAATTGCATTTTATCTATGGCAATTTGAATGCCGTGACGAGATCCTGAGACCCATTGTTGTGCCATTCATCCGCCACCATCACCTCATGTTTCAGCATGATAATGCACGGGCCCCATGTCGCAAGGACCTGTACACAATTCCTGGAAGCTGAAAACATCCCAGTTCTTCCATGGCCTGCATAGTCACCAGACATGTCACCCATTGAGCATGTTTGGGACGCTCTGGATCGACGTGTACGACAGCGTGTTCCAGTACACGCCAATATCCAGCAACTTTGCACAGCCATTGAAGAGGAGTGGGACAATATTAACAGGCCACAATCAACAGACTGATCAACTCTATGCGAAGGAGATGTGTCGCGCTGCATGAGGCAAATGGTGGTCACACCAGATACTGACTGGTTTTCTGATCCACGCCCCTAACGTTTTTCTTTCTTTAGTCATGTGAAATCCATAGTTTAGGGCCTAATTCATTTATTTCAATTGACTGATTTCCTTATATGAACTGTAACTCAATAAAATCTTAGAAATTGTTGCATGTTGCATTTATTTTTGTTCAGTTTATATAAAGTGTGTGTGTGTGTGTGTGTGGGTGTATGTGTGTATATATATATATATATATATATACACAGTGAGGGAAAAAAGTATTTGATCCCCTGCTGATTTTGTACGTTTGCCCACTGACAAAGACATGATCAGTTTATAATTTTAATGGTAGGTTTATTTGAACAGTGAGAGACAGAACAACAACAAAAAAATCCAGAAAAAGGTATGTCAAAAATGTTAAACTGATTTGCATTTTAAATTAGGGAAATAAGTATTTGACCCCTCTGCAAAACATGACTTAGTACTTGGTGGCAAAACCCTTGTTGGGAATCACAGAGGTCAGACGTTTCTTGTAGTTGGCCACCAGGTTTGCACACATCTCAGGAGGGAGGGATTTTGTTCCACTCCTCTTTGCAGATCTTCTCCAAGTCATTAAGGTTTCGAGGCTGATGTTTGGCAACTCAAACCTTCAGCTCCCTCCACAGATTTTCTATGGGATTAAGGTCTGGAGACTGGCTAGGCCACTCCAGGACCTTAATGTGCTTCTTTTTGAGCCACTCCTTTGTTGCCTTGGCCGTGTGTTTTGGGTCATTGTCATGCTGGAATACCCATCCACGACCCATTTTCAATGCCCTGGCTGAGGGAAGGAGGTTCTCACCCAAGATTTGACTGTACATGGCCCCGTCCTTCGTCCCTTTGATGCGGTGAAGTTGTCCTATCCCCTTAGCAGAAAAACACCCCCAAAGCATAATGTTTTCACCTCCATGTTTGACGGTGGGGATGGTGTTCTTGGGGTCATAGGCAGCATTCCTCCTCCTCCAAACACGGCGAGTTGAGTTGATGCAAAGAGCTCCATTTTGGTCTCATCTGACCACAACACTTTCACCCAGTTCTCCTCTGAATCATTCAGATGTTCATTGGCAACTTCAGACGGCCCTGTATATGTGTTTCTTGAGCAGGGGGACTTGCGGGCGCTGCAGGATTTCAGTCCTTCATGCGGTGTTTCCAATTGTTTTCTTGGTGACTATGGTCCCAGCTGCCTTGAGATCATTGACAAGATCGTCCCGTGTAGTTCTGGGCTGATTCCTCACCGTTCTCATGATCATTGCATCTCCACGAGGTGAGATCTTGCATGGAGCCCCAGGCCGAAGGAGATTGACAGTTCTTTTGTGTTTCTTCCATTTGCGAATAATCGCACCAACTGTTGTCACCTTCTCACCAAGCTGCTTGGCGATGGTCTTGTAGCCCATTCCAGCCTTTTGTAGGTCTACAATCTTGTCCCTGACATCCTTGGAGAGCTCTTTGGTCTTGGCCATGGTGGAGAGTTTGGAATCTGATTGATTGATTGCTTCTGTGGACAGGTGTCTTTTATACAGGTAACAAGCTGAGATTAGAAGCACTCCCTTTAAGAGTGTGCTCCTAATCTCAGCTTGTTACCGGTATAAAAGACACCTGGGAGCCAGAAATCTTTCTGATTGAGAGGGGGTCAAATACTTATTTCCCTCATTAAAATGCAAATCAATTTATAACATTTTTTACATGCGTTTTTCTGGATTTTGTTGTTGTTATTCTGTCTCTCACTGTTCAAATAAACCTACCATTAAAATTATAGACTGATCATCTCTTTGTCAGTGGGCAAACGTACAAAATCAGCAGGGGATCAAATACTTTTTTTCCCTCACTGTATATATTTATATATATATATATATAAATATAATGTGTCTGTGTAAGTACTGTAGGTGTGTCTCACCATGTATGGCGAGGGTGCGTTGTCGTCAGAGACGCTGTAGAAGGAGACGTCGACGGGGAAGGTCATGTGACTGGGGCAGAAGGTTCCGGAGGCACCCACCTCGGCCGTGAAACCCTCCACTGACCCCAATGGCTCCAGGCGGTAGTTCAACACACACTCCTGTAACACACACACGCTTTAGGTCATACAATGCATGTACACTTGTGTGTGTGTGTGTGTGTGTGTGTGTTTGTGTGTCGTACCTCAAAGTTGCCCAGTAGACTGAGGCTGGCAGGAGGAGCGCTGGCACTGAACAGCTGCTGAAGTTCCTCTGACTCCTCCTCTGTCTTCACACACACTCTGCCCAACAGAACACAGTACAGGGTTAAAAACAGGTGAACACACACACACACGCACTGATTGATTGGTCGATTGGTTGATTCATTGAATCATGCGAGTTAGAGATGGCCTGCAGACCCTGCAACCCTCAGATGATTTGGACATGATGCACGAAATATGCTAATATCGGTCCCATGACATGAATAGGATTTGTGCCACAAATGCTAAAACATTACTATTTGGAAACAGTACCAGAGAAGCTAAACCAAAGCATTGCTTGCTGTCCTGTGGTCTAATTCTGAATTTATGATTAGACTAATACTGTATATTCAAACACTATCAAACCTTAGTCAGCCATGTATGTAGAAGCATCAAACTGACTGACCTCTAATCCACACAGTAACCCAGCGGCCAGATCAGAGCCTCTGAGTGTAGAGCTGTGTACAGCTGCCATTTTGAGCTGAGCCTCAGTGTCAGGCCAATAGCAACAGTACTAGCAATACAACCCCAGAACAGCAGGTGGCAGTGTGAGAGGACAGGACAGGGCTACAGTACAGTACAGGCCTGGACTGAATGACCACTGATGTCTAGTAACAACCTAATCTCACCTTCCAGTCAGCTCACTCTCTATTGAACCTCTAAGTGGTAGCAATTGAGTTTGAGGACAAGGTTATTCATGATGAGTATAAATGTGTGTGTCTGTGTGTGTTTGCGCGAGAGATCAGTACCTCTTCCCTGCGGTCCAGGGCAGTCCTTTACAGCTGGTCAGAGAAGAGTCCAGGTCAAAGTAACCAGTCTGAGTTCTCCTCTGAGGAACCTGGGAGAGACAACACACACATTTAATAATACAACATAACACACACAACTGTACACAAAACTTTATTGACGTCAAAACACCCAATTTAAACACTATAGCATGACAGCACACACAAGTATATAATAATAATAACAACAACAACAACAACAAGCACTACATGAAAACACACAACTTTTAAATTATTCCATTTTTATGAACACAACCTAGTCAGCATCAACAGGAGTTTAGTCAGAGTATTCATACTATTGAGAAGAAGATAAGTCATGTGGCTCTGCACCCTGACTGACTGACTGACTGACTGACTGACTGACTGACTGACTGTGTGTGTGTGTGTGTCTTACAGGGCTGGACAGCAGAGGCAGGCCGGTACAGGGGTGGAAGGCCTTGGTGAGGGTGGAGTCCAGAGAGTGACGGTTGCGTTTCCTCCAACTGTTATACGGTCTCAGGGGCGAGGGAGAACGCTACGGGGAAAACACACACACTGGCTTTAATACAGCAATTCTAAAAAAACATTTTAGACAAATGCCAAATACACTACGTCAAATATCCTTTCTCAAAATGATATCTCTTTGTACTGTTAATAGACATTTTCCAAAAGTGGTAATATCCTCTTTCACAGGTGGACAAGCCACCTGCATGATATTCAACATATACTGCAGTGTGTGGTGATTTTCTAATCAGGTGTGCTGGTCTTTAGGGACACTCCACTCACCAGGACAGTGTTGGGCTCTGTGCTGGGGGGTCTGGTAGCAGGACTGGGGGGGCTGGAGGACTTGGAGCCTGGGGGGGCCTGGTTCTCATCCTGGAGACCAGACGGCTGGGTTCGATCGCTGCCCTGAATCTGTGAGGGCTGAGTTCGAGACTCGGTCTGGGTCTGGTTGTGAGACTGAGTCAGAGGTTTCATGTGGTTCTGGATGAGAGCAGTGGTCTGGGTGTGGGTGAGCTTGGTGGTCAGTGTCTGTGCAGTGGTCTGGGTCAGGGTGGTGGTCTGGGTCACTGTCAGGGTCTGGATGGTCCTCAGGATGTTGTCTTTAGGTGAGGAGGGTCTGGGCTCCTCTTGGGGGTGTGTGGGGTGTAAACTCTTTGAGGTCTTGGCCCTGGGACTCTTGGGGCTGAGTAGTGGAGAGGCCTGAGACTGGGGCTGGGGTAAAGGCCGTGGGATGACTAGAGGAGAGGACTGGGGCTGAGGCAGGATTTGGGGTCGGGGGCTGACCGGGAGTTCTTCAAGTGTTGAACCACAATTCTGGGCTCTGATTGGACCGTCTGTCTCTGGAGGAGCACCAGCTCTGTCTGTGCAAACAGGTGTGTGTGTGAGAGTGTGTGTGTCATGGCTGGGTGTGTAGCCGTTGCTATGACTGTAGCCGGCTCTGTGTGTGGTGTGTGTGTCCGTGCGGAGAGTGTGTGTGTCGTGTGTATGTGGTGTGTGTAGTGGGGTGCTGCTGCGGCTGTGTGTTGGAGACAGAGACTGGACAGACAGTCTGTCCTGAATCAGTCTGGTAATGTCCTGAACAGCATGGGACAAGAGACTACTGTCTCTCTCTCGCTGTCGGTCTCTCAATGCATCTCTGTCTCTCAGTGTCTCTCCATCTCTGTCCTCTGTGAGTCTCAGTCTGCGGCAGGCAACAGGTTTCGGGGACAGCGTCTCCCTGAGAATAGCTGCTACGTCGCCAATGGGCGTGTCGAAAGGGGAAGACCGGGCGCGGTCAGTAGGCAGAGCTCCCTTTGGGTCTTTGGTCTTTCTGAGCGTGGTGTTGTCAAGGTAACTGCCCCGGACAGGGGTCTTGGTGGGAGTGTCGGAGGTGAAGAGGGCAGGGGGGAGGTGGGGGGCGGTCGGGTCGCAGAAGTTGAGGCGCTGAGCGATGCGGGCGATGACTTCCTGTCTCTCCTGGAGCAGCGAGCCAATCAGAGGGTTGGTCTCAGAGGAGGAGGCTCTGGGGGAGGGGCACCGTGGGGGCTCTGCCAACGAATAAGTCTTAAAGGCCCGGAAGGCTTCGGAGCCACGCCCCTTGGAGCTCTCGGCCCCATTGACGGCCATCCCATAATCCTCGGTGGTGTGTGTAATGTCATCGGAGGGGTCAGAGGTGAGGGCATAGAGCCACCTGACAGCCTTTCCCCCGGGAGGGAGGGGCAGGGGGGAGGACAGTTTCCTGTGGGGGCGGGGGGAGGGCCGGGGGGAGATGGGGAGGTGGTAGGGGGATGAGGTCTGCCCCTTATTGACCTGGGGGAGGTCTGATCCATTCTGGCTAGAATGACCATGGCTGTCTGGGGGGTCCTGGCCTCTCTTACTGGGCAGGGGGAGACTGGGAGGACTGGGGAAGGGGAGGCCAGAGAAAGGCAGAGTCGCCCTGTTGTGGCTCTCTTTAGAGTTGTGGCTCCTCTCGTACAGAGGCGGGTTAGGGTTAGGGTTCAGGCCTGGGTTAAGGCTAGGTGTCTTGCTGTAGAGGTTAGGACTGAGGTTGGGCTTAAGGCTGGGGGACTTGCTGTAGAGTGGGGCCAGGGGCAGGCTGGTGTGTATGCTACAGGCCAGGGTGGGGTAGGTGGGCTGACGGGGGAGTGACTGGACCCTGAGCCTCAGGGCAACACTCTGGGACACGTTAGGGACAGGGAACAGGTGCTCCGCTGGGGGCTGGGAGAACTGACAGACACACTCCTCATCTGCTGCACTGATCCTGTGGGACACAAACACACACACATAGGCTTAGAACCTGTGATCACATCAGATTATTTAGTTAATTTTGGAAAGTATTTTATGATCAACATTCAGTAACGATATAGGAAAATAATGGGGAAGTTTTTAAGATGTTGTTAGTGTGTGTTACCTGTAGAGGATGTTTCGGGGTACAATGCCGTGAGAAGCGCTGAGCCAGGCACTGAGCTGGGAGAAGAAGACGTAGGAACGAACAGCCAACAGCAGAGTCTTCTCCTCTATAAACTTATCACCGCTCCTAGAGAGACAGGGGGAAGGAGAGAGTCAGGCCTTTGCTTTAGCTAGCTAGCAATGGCTAAGGAAATTAGCATTTGCAATGATGCCAATCCCACATTTTTTGGGGTCATGGTCAGTGTTCGAAATATATATAGCGTCAAAGCGGAATATTCCAGTTTTTGCATGTGCCACTAGCTCAACCTAGTCCTGACAAAAAGTGTGTGTGTGTGTGTGTGTACACACTGTCCTGGTACAGGCTGCAGGGTGTGTGTGTATCTATGTACAGTTGAAGTCGGAAGTTTACATACACTTAGGTTGGAGTCATTAAAACTAGTTTTTCAACCACTACACAAATGTCTTGTTAACAAACTATAGTTTGTTAGTTAGGACTACTTTGTACATGACACAAGTAATTTTTCCAACAATTCTTTACAGACAGATTATTTCACTTAGAATTCACTGTATCACAATTCCAGTGGGTCAGAAGTTTACATACACTAAGTTGATGGTGCCTTTAAACAGCTTGGAAAATTCCAGAAAATGATGTCATGGCTTTAGAAGCTTCTGATAGGCTAATTGACATCATTTGAGTCAATTGGTGGTGTACCTGTGGATGTATTTCAAGGCCTACCTTCAAGCTCAGTGCCTCTTTGCTTGACATCATGGGAAAATCAAAAGAAATCAGCCAAGACCTCAGAAATAAAATTTGGTTCATCCTTGGGAGCAATTTCCAAACGCCTGAAGGTACAATGTTCATCTGTACAAACAATAGTACGCATGTATAAACACCATGGGACCACGCAGCCGTCATACCGCTCAGGAAGGAGACACGTTCTGTCTCCTACAGATGAACATACTTTTGTGCAAAAAGTGCAAATCAATCCCAGAACAACAGCAAAGGACCTTGTGAAGATCCTGGAGGAAACAGGTACAAAAGTATCTATATCCACAGTAAAACGAGTTCTATTTCGACATAACCTGAAAGGCCGCTCAGCAAGGAAGAAGCCACGGCTCCAAAACCGCCATAAAAAAGCCAGACAACGGTTTGCAACTGCACATGGGGTCAAAGATCGTACCTTTTGGAGAAATATCCTCTGGTCTGATGAAACAAAAATAGAACTGTTTGGCCATAATGACCATTGTTATGTTTGGAGGAAAAAGGGGATGCTTGCAAGCCGAAGAAAACCATCCCAACCGTGAAGCGCGGGGGTGGCAGCATCATGCTGTGGGGGTGCTTTGCTGCAGGAGGTACTGGTGCACTTCACAAAATAGATGGCATCATGAGGAAGGAAAATTATGTGGATATTGAAGCAACATCTCAAGACATCAGTCAGGAAGTTAAAGCTTGGTTGCAAATGGGTCTTCCAAATGGACAATGGCCCCAAGCATACTTCCAAAGTTGTGGCAAAATGGCTTAAGGACAACAAAGTCAAGATATTGGAGTGCCCATCACAAAGCCCTGACCTCAATCCTATAGAAAATGTGTGGGCAGAACTGAAAAAGCGTGTGCGAGCAAGAAGGCCTACAAACCTGACTCAGTTACACCAGCTCTGTCAGGAGGAATGTGCCAAAATTCACCAAACTTACTGTGGGAAGCTTGTGGAAGGCTACCTGAAACGTTTGATCCAAGTTAAACAATTGAAAGGCAATGCTACCAAATACTAATTGAGTGTATGTAAACTTCTGACCCACTGGGAATGTGATGAAAGAAATAAAAGCTGAAATAAATCATTCTCTCTACTATTATTCTGACATTTCACATTCTTAAAATAAAGTGGTGATCCTAGTTGACCTAAAACAGGGCATTTTTACTAGGATTAAATGTCAGGAATTGTGAAAAACTGAGTTTAAATGTATTTGGCTAAGGAGTATGTAAACTTCCGACTTCAACTGTATGTATGTATGTATGTATATGTGTGTACATACTGTCTTGGTACAGGCTGCAGAGTCCATCGCTCCAGTAGCAGAGCGTCTTGTTTGATCGCCGGGTCACTGATGGGGTCACTAGGGGGACTCTCGTCTCCATAGCAACAGTCTGGCAGCAACATCACCTCCACCATGATGGGAATACTGTTCCTCCACAACACACACACCTCCGAGCGCACACGACGCGCCTGCACACACTTGAACACACACACAGACATGGGAGGGTAAGTGTGTGTGTGTGTTAGCTGAGGCAATGTGTGTGTGTTATCTATGTGTGTATGTGTGTGGATGTTACCTGTGGCAGTTTGTCGCTGCACTCGTGCCTGTGTAGGGGCGGCAGGGCGGACTTTGCAGGGGGGCAGTGCAGCCCCTCGGTGCGACCCTTCACAGAACATTCTGGGGTCCGTCCCTCAGTGATCAACAGGGTCAGGAACACCAGGAAGTCCTCAGCATCGTACTCAAAGAACTCCTCCACCACCACGTCTGGAAGACAGAGAAGAAAAATTAAAAAACACAGGTCAGATACACATTCTGGCATAATATATACACACACTACCAGTCAAAGGTTTAGACACACCTACTCGCAAATCTATTTTCTTAATGTGTTTGAGCCAATCAGTTGTGTTGCGACAAGGTAGGGGTGGAATACAGAAGATAGCCCGTGGTCGAATTGCTGCAAAGAAACCACTACTAAAGGACACCAATAAGAAGAAGAGACTTGCTTGGGCCAATAAACATGAGCAATGGACATTAGACCAGTGGAAATCTGTCCTTTGGTCTCCTCCAGGCTGCGTAAGGGCTATTTGACCAAGAAGGAGAGTAATGGTGCTGCATCAGATGACCTGGCCTCCACAATCACCCAACCTCAATCCAATTGAAATGGTTTGGGGTGAGTTGGACCGCAGAGTGAAGGAAAAGCAGCCAACAAGTGCTCAGCATATGTGGGAAGTCCTTCAAGACTGTTGGAAAAGCATTCCTCATGAAGCTGGTTGAGAGAATGCCAAGAGTGTGCACAGCTGTCATCAAGGCAAAGGGTGGCTACTTTGAAGAATCTCAAATCTATTTTGATTTGTTTAACACTTTTTTGGGTACTACATAATTCCATGTGTTATTTCATAGTTGTGATGTCTTCACTATTATTCTACAATGTAGAAAATAGTACAAATAAAGAAAAATCCTTGAATGAGTAGGTGTGTCCAAACTTTTGACTGGTACTATATACAGTGGGGAGAACAAGTATTTGATACACTGCCGATTTTGCAGGTTTTCCTACTTACAAAGCATGTAGAGGTCTGTAATATTTATCATAGGTACACTTCAACTGTGAGAGACGGAATCTAAAACAAAAATCCAGAAAATCACATTGTATGATTTTTAAGTAATTAATTTGCATTTTATTGCATGACAGAAGTATTTGATCACCTACCAACCAGTAAGAATTCCGGCTCTCACAGACCTGTTAGTTTTTCTTTAAGAAGCCCTCCTGTTCTCCACTCATTACCTGTACTAACTGCACCTGTTTGAACTCGTTACCTGTATAAAAGACACCTGTCCACACACTCAATCAAACAGACTCCAACCTCTCCACAATGGCCAAGACCAGAGAGCTGTGTAAGGACATCAGGGATAAAATTGTAGACCTGCACAAGGCTGGGATGGGCTACAGGACAATAGGCAAGCAGCTTGGTGAGAAGGCAACAACTGTTGGCGCAATTATTAGAAAATGGAAGAAGTTCAAGATGACGGTCAATCACCCACGGTCTGGGGCTCCATGCAAGATCTCACCTCGTGGGGCATCAATGATCATGAGGAAGGTGAGGGATCAGCCCAGAACTACACGGCAGGACCTGGTCAATGACCTGAAGAGAGCTGGGACCACAGTCTCAAAGAAAACTATTAGTAACACACTACGCCGTCATGGATTAAAATCCTGCAGCGCACGCAAGGTCCCCCTGCTCAAGCCAGCGCATGTCCAGGCCCGTCTGAAGTTTGCCAATGACCATCTGGATGATCCAGAGGAGGAATGGGAGAAGGTCATGTGGTCTGATGAGACAAAAATAGAGCTTTTTGGTCTAAACTCCACTCGCCGTGTTTGGAGGAAGAAGAAGGATGAGTACAACCCCAAGAACACCATCCCAACCATGAAGCATGGAGGTGGAAACATCATTCTTTGGGGATGCTTCTCTGCAAAGGGGACAGGACGACTGCACCGTATTGAGGGGAGGATGGATGGGGCCATGTATCGTGAGATCTTGGCCAACAACCTCCTTCCCTCAGTAAGAGCATTGAAGATGGGCCGTGGCTGGGTCTTCCAGCATGACAACGACCCGAAACACACAGCCAGGGCAAGTAAGGAGTGGCTCCGTAAGAAGCATCTCAAGGTCCTGGAGTGGCCTAGCCAGTCTCCAGACCTGAACCCAATAGAAAATCTTTGGAGGGAGCTGAAAGTCCGTATTGCCCAGCGACAGCCCCGAAACCTGAAGGATCTGGAGAAGGTCTGTATGGAGGAGTGGGCAAAATCCCTGCTGCAGTGTGTGCAAACCTGGTCAAGACCTACAGGAAACTTATGATCTCTGTAATTGCAAACAAAGGTTTCTGTACCAAATATTAAGATCTGCTTTTCTGATGTATCAAATACTTATGTCATGCAATAAAATGCAAATGAATTACTTAAAAATCATACAATGTGATTTTCTGGATTTTTGTTTTAGATTCTGTCTCTCACAGTTGAAGTGTACCTATGATACAAATTACAGACCTCTACATGCTTTGTAAGTAGGAAAACCTGCAAAATCAGCAGTGTATCAAATCCTTGTTCTCCCCACTGTGTGTGTGTGTGTGTGTGTGTGTGTGTGTGTGTGTGTGTGTGTATATATATATATATATATATATATATATATATAATTACATTCTTATGGGGATACATTTCAATTCAAATAGACAGTGTAGAATGGGACAAGTCATGGAACTCAGACAAAGCAAATGGCAGCAGGCTCCTGTTCTCTTGTAGAGTAGGAGACAACATGCTACAACATCTTGGCCCAGACTAACCACTAAACACAGACAGGAAGGGAGGAATGAGACCACTATTCCTGTTCTGGGGATAATTTTTGTATCTCCACGTCAGCTGAGCACAGGCGCTGTGTCACAGAATAACACTCACACAGAAAAAGAACAGTGTGTTCTACTGTAGTGTCTGTCTGGTCAGGGTTGGGTTAAGGTGGAGCAACAGAAACACAAGCATGACAGTCAGAGAGGTTCTGTCCTCCTACAGCCCAGCTTTAACAAAGAGCCTCTCAACTGGCTCTGGGGGGCACTGTGTGTCTCTAGCTTGTCTCTCTCTCTGTGTGTGTGTGTGTGTGTGTGTGTATTTGTGTGTGTGTGTGTATCAGGCATTCTTCCAGGGAACTCCTCCCACGTGCACACAGCTACTCTCTGCACATGGAGAGAGAACAGTCAACACACAGACACAGAGTAGGAGCGAGACAGAAACAGCACAGAGAACATGGATCAGGGGAGGGTGCTGCAGCCAGCTATAGGCTGAGACTAAGGGAGTGGGAGAGGGGGATCGGGGAGAGAAACCCAGCTCTGACTGGCTAATGGCTATAGGACAGGAGAGAGGGAGAGGGGAGGGAGAGGAGCAGCCTATAGGACTTCCTATACAGCGATCTGCTCTGCTCTGCTAACCCTCTGCTCCCTCCCAGTGAAGTAGGCTAAAGGTAAAGCTCTGGCAGGAGGGAAAGAGAGAGAGATCCTCCGGTCCAGTGGGATGGGCCAGAGAAAAATGGAACATGGCTGTGCTGGTGTCAGCTTGCTGTTTTAGTGTGTGCATGTGTGTATAGTGTGAGAATGTGTGCATAGTGTGTGAATGTGTGTGCATGTGTGTATAGTGTGTGTATGTGTGTATAGTGTGTGCATAGTGTGTGCATAGTGTGAGAATGTGTGTATAGTGTGAGAATGTGTGTATAGTGTGAGTATGTGTGAGTATGTGTACAGTGAGTGTGTATTATGTAAGAGGTGAGGTTTATAAAGAGCGGACTGACTGCAGAGCGGCACGCAGGTCTTATTATTAGAACTACTGCTGCTGTCCCTGAGAGGAGCTGGAACGGAGCCCACTGATCAGCTGGCCTAGTACACACACACACACCAGTGTCATGGGGTGTGGAAAACGCCCCCAGGGTGCTGGACTAGTACAGGGGAGGGGAGAGGGTGTGTAGTTAATAGATCATGTAGTCGTGTTTAGGTCTGCTATATAGTGCTATAGTACAAAGAATACTGCTGTTGTTTTTTAGGCTTCAGCTAGAAGACAAGCTGATTAACTAATGGCCTAACTCACACACTTTCTCTCTCCTTCTGGACAAACACACACTTTTTCTCCCTCTTTGCTAAATATCCAGGCTCCCACACTAGTCCAGAGAAACAGATGTTATAAGAAAAAAAAAAGTGAACTGATGAGACTGAAGCACTGAGAGGGGAGACCGTGTGAGTATGTACTTTTCCAGTTTCATCAATAGGCTACTATCAGTTCAGTTGTAATACAATTTTCCTCTGTTCCAAACCAAGGCCAGATCATCATGAACCCTCTACTGGTCATCAATACCTTGTTGACCTCTGGTTAGTCCAGTAGGGACAGTATCTAATCTAAGGTGGGTGTGGCTACTACCTAGTAATGCGCCATCTGTGGTCTGATGGGGGCATACAGTTCATACACTCACGCCCCTGCCTCTTTCTCTCGGAGTCTCTCCTTCTCACACACACACACACACACACACACACACTTTCAGATTCAATTTATGAAACACACAGAGTCCGTATTAAACACACACACTATATTAGTGGTGGTAGGCAGTAGTGGGAGATTACAGACAGCTTCTCCATGGTAAATCTGATTACTGTTACAGCAGGGCAGGCCCCTCTGGGATAAATATAACTACACTACAGCAACTACCCAACACAAACCATAACCCCCACTAACACCAACCAGCATTAACCATACCCCCACTAACACCAACCAGCATTAACCATACCCCCACTAACACCAACCAGCATTAACCATAACCCCCACTAACACCAACCAGCATTAACCATACCCCCAACAACACCAACCAGCATTAACCATAAACCCCACACAACACCAACCAGCATGAACCATAATCCCCACTAACACCAACCAGCATGAACCATACCCCCACTAAACACCAACCAGCATTAACCATAACCCACTAACACCAACCAGCATTAACCATAACCCCCACTAACACCAACCAGCATTAACCATAACCCCCACTAACACCAACCAGCATTAACCATAACCCCCACTAACACCAACCAGCATGAACCATAATCCCCACTAACACCAACCAGCATTAACCATACCCCCACTAACACCAACCAGCATGAACCATAACCCCCACTAACACCAACCAGCATTAACCATAACCCCCACTAACACCAACCAGCATTAACCATACCCCCACTAACACCAACCAGCATTAACCATACCCCCCACTAACACCAACCAGCATTAACCATACCCCCAAAAAGCCATCAGCATGCTTCAGTTGGGCTGGCGCCTAGCCGAACTCGGCTAGCCGAATCAAACGAGTGTGCTAGCATACTCCCTTAAAATACCTTCGTTTGAAATACAAGAAAAAAAGCGGCAATAGTACTTTGTCCATTTTGAGACGCCGTAGCCAGTATATGCTTCCTCAAAATAGTCAGAATTAATCTAAAATAACTCAAGAAATCTGTCATTCATTTTGACGTTTTTGACGAGATCTTAATCGCAAATGTTACATCTAACTAAGATGTTTGGTGCAGTATTTCTCAATGAAAAAATGTGCATGAAAACGAGTCATCTCTCGTTGAAAAAACACTACTGTTGACCAATCCCTGACGAAGGGCGTAGACTTTGGCTCCGAACTTCGGCTTGCCTCTAGAAAAAAAAGTAAGTGTGCCCGAACAACCGAAAAACCCCCTAATTGAACTCTTCCGAACGCCTTAACACACACACAGTAACACAAATATTACTACCTACAGGTTTCCCCTAGGATTTCTTCCAGCAGCGGTGGCAAAGTTAGCGGGGGGGATGGGGGCGTCGTAGTGGCCGTTGCCAATTGCGAGGCCTCCTACCAAAATCTTGAAAGGCCCTCCTCTTGGCAGCAGAGACCAAATTCTTCTGTTTTAAAAGGTCATTTCCTGCAATTCTACACATTTGGAACGTCGCTGCTAAATGAATATAGGGGAAACAATGAAAAACACACCTCAACACACACCTCAACACACACCTCAACACACACAGCCCTGAGGCTCCTCTCCTCCTCTGGTCATAGTGCACATCTATTTTGCATGGGGACAAAGGGTTGCCCTGGCAACACACAGCTCATGTTAATGTCCCATCACAGGGATTTTGTGTGTGCTGGAATGAGCTGGGGCTGTGTGTGAGCATCTGTGTACGTCTTTCCAGTGGCATGTTAGTCACATGTGTGTGACTCATCTATGACATGTCTGTCTGTCACTGTGTGTGTGTGTGTGTGTGTTTTTACACAGACTCTTTGTTCTCCATGAGGCCTAATCTGTGCCTCCGTGACTGAAACAGACAGCAGTCCAGCCCACTCTACAGGAGCTCTGATTTAAGTTAATGTTTTTCTAACTAGCCTACACTGTAGTGGCAAGCAAACAGAAAAGTGTTGTCAACACAAAGATATAGTTTCCTGTTCCATGTGATGTTGGCCTGCCCTGAAATCACATGCAGGAACAAGAGAGAGAGAATAGAGTTTGAAGTTTAGCCATGTTCAACTTTACAGTTTCCTGAGAGCTCTCTCTTTGTTCCCTCTATCTACCCCCCCACCCTCTCGCGCTCTCTTTACACAAAGGGGCAGATTCACAGCACGCATAGCAACACACATAGCTGCCTTCTGATTGGCTTAGAGGGTTCGGTACAGTTTTCTCCTTCTGCTCCTGTGAACTCAGCTGCTCTGGCTGCTTTTGTCTGGATCTCTCACACACATACACCAGGCCCAACGGACACACACACCTCTCAAACCTTCATTACTAGCTGCTGCAACAGAAGGGCTTTCACAGACACACACACCAGATTAAGCTTTTACTTGAGCCCTTATTGACCAACCGTTAACTTAAAACACTACCTCTAGTGACGAGTCTAACGAGAGCATTCAGCCTAGCTAAAGCTTTAATCATGATCCTGTGTGGACTGGGGTCAGCTCTGAAGGCCTGCGAGATGTTTACCATTACAGGTGACTCTGACCAGACTAGCCCTGATCATGCCCTCACTAGGCTGGGTATAAAGATCTCCAGAGCCAGTGCTCTCACTCTGTAAAAGCCCACTCTTTGTCCCACTAATACTGATTACGTAACTGGCAGAGAGCCCGGCACAGCACAGGGTAGGATAGCCAGGTATTACTCCCCGCTGTGTACCCACTATGGCCACCACAGCGGACTCTGATACCACTACACTCTATAGACTGATAGTCTGTGCTCTGCCCTTTAACCACAATTTACTTGTCCTAGCTAGCCAACGTCTAATCATTGCTGCGTCATATAAGGAACTTGACACAGACACGAATGATCTGTTTAGTGTGATATCACAATATTGGTGGTTTGTTGTGACCAAGTGTTGGCGCTAAACGGTGTGTTATTGTTATTGGATGCTAGTCTGCTAGTTGGCTATGGAGTCATAGTAGGCTAGCTGAACAAAGTGGGTTGAGTCTACTCCTTTAAACATTGAACCGCTGTGGTTCACAACAATTCTGATTTCCAAAGGCGGAAGTTGGGAGAGTTTTTGTTCGGGTGGTTCAGTGAAACAATTTTAGTTTCCGAGCTAGAAGATTTGGTGAGGGAGGCCCTGCTCTCTCCACTCCCAGATGCTTAGCCCATTTCATTCCGATCTCCTCTGCATTTTTGTAGCCATTTGCTACAGCCTGTCAACTATGCCTCTGCCTATCCCTGTTCTCTCCTCTCTGCACAGGCTACACAAACGCACCACACCGCGTGGCTGCTGCCTCTCCAATTTGGTGGTCCCTGCACGCACCACCCACGTGGAGTTCCAGGTCGCAGGCAGCCTCTGGAACTGCCGTTCTGCTGCCAACAAAGCTGACTTCATCCCAGCCTATGCCAACCTCCAGTCCCTCGACTTCCTGGCGCTGACGGAAACATGGATCACCACTGAAAACACCGCTACTCCTACTGCTCTCTCCTCGTCTGACCATGTGTTCTCGCATACCCCGAGAGCATCTGGTCAGAGGGGTGGTGGTACAGGAATCCTCATCTCTCCCAAGTGGACATTCTCAATTTTTCCCCTAACCCATCTGTCTATCTCCTCATTTGAATTCCATGCTGTCACAGTCACTAGCCCATTTAAGCTTAATATCCTTGTCATCTATCGCCCTCCAGGTTCCCTTGGAGAGTTCATCAATGAGCTTGACGCCTTGATAAGTTCCTTCCCTGAGGATGGCTCACCCCTCACAGTTTTGGGGGATTTCAACCTCCCTATGTCCACATTTGACTCATTTCTCTCTGCCTCCTTCTTTCCACTCCTCTCCTCTTTTGACCTCACCCTCTCACCGTCCCCCCCTACTCACAAGGCAGGCAATACGCTTGACCTCATCTTCACTAGATGCTGCTCCTCTACTAATCTCACTGCAACTCCCCTCCAAGTCTCCGACCACTACTTTGTTTCCTTTTCTCTCTCACTCTCCTCCCACACTACTCACTCTGCCCCTACACAGATGGTAATGCGCCGCCGCAACCTTCGCTCTCTCTCTCCCACTACTCTCTCCTCTTCCATCCTATCATCTCTTCCCTCTGCTCAATCCTTCTCCCTCCAATCTCCTGATTCTGCCTCCTCAACCCTCCTCTCCTCCCTTTCTGCATCCTTTGACTCTCTGTGTCCCCTATCCTCACGGCCGGCTCGGTCCTCCCCTCCAGCTCCGTGGCTTGATGACTCATTGCGAGCTCACAGAACAGAGCTCCGGGCAGCGGAGCGGAAATGGAAGAAAACTAAATTCCCTGCCGACCTGGCATCTTTTCACTCCCTCCTCTCTACATTTTCTTCATCTGTTTCTGCTGCTAAGGCCACCTTCTACCACTCTAAATTCCAAGCATCTGCCTCTAACCCTAGGAAGCTCTTTGCCACATTTTCCTCCCTCCTGAATCCTCCCCCCCCCCCCCTCCCCCCCTCCTCTCTCTCTGTGGATGACTTCGTCAACCACTTTGAAAAGAAGGTTGACGACATCCGATCCTTGTTTGTTAAGCCTAATGACACTGCTGGTCCTGCTCACACTGCCCTACCCTATGCTTTGACTTCTTTCTCCCCTCTCTCTCCAGATAAGATCCTGCGACTTGTGACTGCAGGCCGCCCAACAACCTGCCCGCTTGACCCCATCCCCTCCTCCCTTCTCCAGACCATCTCCGGTGACCTTCTCCCCTACCTCACCTCGCTGATCAACTCATCCTTGACCGCTGGCCATGTCCCTTCCGTCTTCAAGAGAGCGAGAGTTACTCCCCTTCTCAAAAAACCAACACTCGACCCCACTGATGTCAACAACTACAGACCAGTATCCCTTCTTTCTTTTCTTTCCAAAACTATTGAGCGTGCCGTCTTTAGCCAACTCTCTTGCTATCTCTCTCAGAATGACCTTCTTGATCCAAACCAATCAGGTTTCAGGACTGGTCATTCAACTGAGACTGCTCTTCTCTGTGTCACAGAGACTCTCCGCACTGCTAAAGCTAACTCTCTCTCCTCTGCTCTTGTCCTTCTAGATCTGTCTGCTGCCTTTGATACTGTGAACCATCAGATCCTCCTCTCCACCCTCTCCGAAATGGGCATCTCCGGCGCGGCTCACTCCTGGATTGCGTCCTACCTGACCGGTCGCTCCTACCAAGTGGCGTGGCGGGAAGCTGTCTCCGCACCACGTGCTCTCACCACTGGTGTCCCCCAGGGATCGGTTTTGGGCCCTCTCCTTTTCTCCCTATACACCAAGTCACTTGGCTCTGTCATATCCTCACATGGCCTTTCCTATCATTGCTACGCTGACGATACACAACTAATCTTCTCCTTTCCCCCTTCTGATCACCAGGTGGCGAATCGCATCTCTGCATGTCTGGCAGACATATCAGTATGGATGACGGATCACCACCTCAAGCTGAACCCTGGCAAGACGGAGCTGCTCTTCCTCCCCGGGAAGGACTGCCCGTTCCATGATCTCGCCATCACGGTAGACAACTCCGCTGTGTCCTCCTCCCAGAGTGCGAAGAGCCTAGGCGTGACCCTGGACAACACCCTGTCGTTCTCCGCCAACATCAAGGCGGTGACCCGCTCCTGCAGGTTCATGCTCTACAACATTCGGAGAGTGCGACCCTGCCTTACACAGGAAGCGGCGCAGGTCCTGGTCCAGGCACTTGTCATCTCCCGTCTGGACTACTGCAACTCGCTGTTGGCTGGGCTCCCTGCCTGTGCCATTAAACCCCTACAACTCATCCAGAATGCCGCAGCCCGTCTGGTGTTCAACCTTCCCAAGTTCTCTCACGTCACCCCCCTCCTCCGCACACTCCACTGGCTTCCAATTGAAGCTCGCATCCGCTACAAGACCATGGTGCTTGCCTTTGGAGCAGTGAGGGGAACGGCACCCCTGTACCTTCAGGCTCTGATCAGTCCCTACACCCAAACGAGGACATTGCGTTCATCCACCTCTGGCCTGCTGGCTCCCCTTCCTCTGCGGAAGCACAGCTCCCCCTCAGCCCAGTCAAAACTGTTCGCTGCTCTGGCACCCCAATGGTGGAACAAGCTCCCTCACGACGCCAGGACAGCGGAGTCACTCACCACCTTCCGGAGACATTTGAAACCCCACCTCTTTAAGGAATACCTGGGATAGGCTAAAGTATTCCTTCTAACCCCCCCCCCCCCCCCCAAATTGTAAAGTGGTTATCCCACTGGCTATAGGGTGAACGCACCAATTTGTGAGTCGCTCTGGCTAAGAGCGTCTGCTAAATGACGTTAATGTGCCCTTGAGCAAGGCACTTAACCCTAATTGCTCCTGTAAGTCGCTCTGGTTAAGAGCGTCTGCTAAATGACTAAAATGTAAAAATGTAAAATGTAACCTAGGTTCTGAGGAGTTTACAGCCCCCATCAGCCACATGTTAGAGAATTCAGATTGTGTGGGTGTGTTTGGCACGCTCAGCAGGTCTCTCCTGCTGGTTGAGCCGGGTCTATCTGGCCTTGGTTGAACATGCGCATTCATGTGCCAACCCCCAAACACACACCTCTGACCTACAGCTCTTAGGAGATTACATTTCTGACACAGAGGACAAATTTAGCAACGTCAACAACGCTCCAAAGTGTGGCAGTCAGACTTTTTAAAGTGCTGAACTGAACTGGAGCTGGCCAGCCAGGGCCTAGGCCTAATATATCTCTGTATGACTGACTGACCTAGCCAGATCATGGCTGGTTCTTCTCTGCTACAGATAGAGGTCAGACGACTGACGACTCTGACATGTCCATCTATCTATCTGGCTATGAAAAGCCAACTGACATTAACTCTCCAGGTGTTGACCTCTTGCACCCTCTACAACCACTGTGATTATTAGTTGTCCCTGCTGGTCTTCTATGAACATTTGAACATCTTGAAGAACAATCTGGCATTAATGGCCATGTACTCTTATAATCTCCACCCGGAACAGCCAGAAGAGGACTGGCCACCACTCAGAGCCTGGTTCCTCTCTAGGTTCCTGCCTTTCTAGATAGTTTTTCCTAGCCACCGTGCCTTTATATCTGCATTGCTTGCTCTCTGGGGTTTTAGGCTTGGTTTCTGTATAACCACGTTGTGACAACTGCTGTTGTAAAAAGGGCTCTATAAATATATTTGATTGAATTTGATAGATAGATAGATATCAATCTATCTAGACTGGTGGCCACTTGCCAAACCAGTTGTGCTTTAACCAATTCCTCTGTTGCTGGTAATCGTGTACAGGCCAGAGGCTACTGATAGTTGTCTATGTTCCACAATGTACAGTTGAAGGTGGAAGTTTACATACACCTTAGCCAAATACATTTATACTCAGTTTCACAATTCCTGACATTTAATCCTAGTAAACATTCCCCGTCTTAGGTCAGTTAGGATAACCACTTTATTTTAAGAATGTGAAATATCTGAATAATAGTAGAGAGAATGATTTATTTCAGCTTTTATTTCTTTCATCACATTCCCAGTTGGTCAGAAGTTTACATACACTCAATTAGTATTTGGTAGCATTGCCTTTAAATTGTTTAACTTGGGTCAAACGTTTCAGGTAGCCTTCCACAAGCTTCCCACCATAAGTTGGGTGAATTTTGGCCCATTCCTCCTGACAGAGCTGGTGTAACTGAGTCAGGTTTGTAGGCCTCCTTGCTCGCACACGCTTTTTCAGTTCTGCCCACACATTTTCTATAGGATTGAGGTCAGGGCTTTGTGATGGCCACTCCAATATCTTGACTTTGTTGTCCTTAAGACATTTTGCCACAACTTTGGAAGTATGCTTGGGGTCATTGTCCATTTGGAAGACTCATTTGCGACCAAGCTTTAACTTCCTGACTGATGTCTTGAGCTGTTGCTTCAATATCCACATAATTTTCCTTCCTCTTGATGCCATCTATTTTGTGAAGTGCACCAGTACCTCCTGCAGCAAAGCACCCCCACAGCATGATGCTGCCACCCCGTGCTTCACAGTTGGGATGGTGTTCTTCAGCTTGCAAGCATCCCTCTTTTTCCTCCAAATATAACGATGGTCATTATGGCCAAACAGTCTATTTTTGTTTAATCAGACCAGAGGACATTTCTCCAAAAAGTAAGATATTTGTTGCAAATCGTAATCTGGCTTTTTATGGCAGTTTTGGAGCAGTGGCTTCTTCCTTGCTGAGCGGCCTTTCAGGTTATGTCGATATAGGACTCGTTTTACTGTGGATATAGATACATTTGTACCCGTTTCCTCCAGCATCTTCACAAGGTCCTTTACTGTTGTTCTTTTCGCACCAAAGTACGTTCATCTCTAGGAGACAGAACGCGTCTCCTTCCTGAGCGGTATGATGGCTGCGTGGTCCCATGGTGTTTAAACTTGCGTACTATTGTTTGTACAGATGAACGTGGAACCTTCAGGCGTTTGGAAATTCCTCCCAAGGATGAACCAGACTTGTGGAGGTCTACACTATTATTTCTGAGGTCTTGGCTGATTTCTTTTGATTTTCCCATGATGTCAAGCAAAGAGGCACTGCGTTTGAAGGTAGGCCTTGAAATACATCCACAGGTACACCTCCAATTGACTTAAATTATGCAAATTAGCCTATCAGAAGCTTCTAAAGCCATGACATCATTTTCTGGAATTTTCCAAGCTGTTTAAAAGGCACAGTAAACTTAGTGTATGTAAACTTCTGACCCACTGGAATTGTGATACAGTGAATTATAAGTGAAATAATCTGTCTGTAAACAATTGTTGGAAAGATTACTTGTGTCATGCACAAAGTAGATGTCCTAACCGACTTGCCAAAACTATAGTTTGCTAACAAGAAATGTGTGGAGTGGTTGAAAAACTAGTTTTAATGACTCCAACCTAAGTGTATGTAAACTTCCGACTTCAACTGTATTCAATGGATCAAACCTAGATATCATGTGTCAATAGACAGCTCTGTTTCCAGATGCCTTTAAAAAATGGGCAAAGCACAGGCAGACCAATCATCTGGGTAGGACTGTGTTGGCCTTGTTACTAAAATAAAGCAACAGAACAAGCAGCCAGCTGACTCTAACCATGTGGGAGTTCATCTCAGATATAGCATCAGCATGTGAGTGAGAGAAGACAGCCATGCATGGTGGTGGGCGGCCATGTTTAGAACAGTAAAGCTGTTGGCTGACTGTTGGAGGGAGGTGTGTTGTTGTTGGCAAAGAGGACTCTGACCCAGCAAGGGGACACTACTCAGCTCCAACTAAGGAATGTGTGAGAAATTGTCAAGTCTGTTACCTTCCTCTCCTCGTCTCCTCTAAAGTGGTTTCCTCATCTTGTCCCCTCTTCTTGATATGCACTGATCTGATTCTAAACACAGACAGGCTTGGACAGCAATATTTTAGATAGATTTGTCCAGGTCTTTCACATCAGTGAGGAAGGGGAGAGAAGAAGAAGTCAATATAGACTATTGACATGGAGCCCATATCACAGAGCATTCTATATGGGCCAGGGCAGGCATAGAGAGTGGTCCGCTCTGCTAATCCTTCCCAATGCCAGGAGGAAACTGAGCGGGCCAGATGGTTCCTACTTTTCCTGCTGAGCTGGTTGCCGGTTGGCTCTGCGCAACCATGGGGGAGGAGCCACAGCGGCACAGGAGGTGATAGGCACCCAGGAGCTGATGATGTCACTAACACAGAACCGGTTGGATCAGCACACTTACGTCCCGTGCTGGTTCTGAGCCAGAGCAACCATTGAGCCTGAGTTAGAGTGAGTGCGTGTGTGTCAAGCGTGAGCCCAAGTGACCACTGAGCTTGTGTGTGTGAGCATGAGCCTATGTGTGTGTGTGTACACGTGTGTGTGTGTCAGGCAAGCGTGAGCCAGATAAGACCCCCACAGTTACATAAGAGCATTACTGGGAGGACTGGTTGGAGCCGAATCACATGCTGAACTGGAACTGAACTACAGTACCGGCTAACACAGGAACCTGTCAGAGCCCTTTTGTGTTCAAAAGTTACACACCGCACCTTTAATAATAACAGGTTTATTATTATTGACAAAAGAATAGGCATGTTTTGGTTGGCCAGAGGTCTACAAAGACAGGCAGCACTTCAAAACACAACATGTCACGTCAAAACACAACATCAGCCTACACCCCAGTGACCAGATGTGTCTGACCCTTTCTGTGAGAAAACACCTGTCGTCGTACCTGAATGTCATTCTGTCTGGTTGGTGAATAACATAACACCTGTCCTGTTGTACCCGCCTGTGTGTATGGTGAATAACAAAACACCTGTTGTAGGTGAATCACTGCAAGAAGGAGAGGCTGGCATAATAGTCAGATTGACTGTCTGCGATTGTCCTGTCGGGCTTGGCTATCGGTGAGAGTTCACTCAACTCTGTGCTCTCCTGGCAGTTCTGGGCCTTGTGGGATGGGCTAAGGGGTAATCTGTCTGCGAGGGGTGTGGACGTCCCCTGAGACGCCTTGTTAGACCTTCAACAGGAAACACCTCCAAACAAACAACAAACCACACTGATTCTGGGGCACGTTCCAGTAGACCTTTATGTAAAGAAAGCTTGGATATGCCTTTAGTGACCAGGAACGTTCTGTTTCTTCTTCTCTTCACCTTCCCTCTATTCTTCTTGTCCTCCTCGTCTCTCTTCCCTTATTCTTTCCTCTCCAGAAACATGACTCATTGTGAGCTCATGTGTGTGTTGTAGCCTATGTTCTTAGTGTGTGTGTGTGTGTGTGTGTGTGACATCCGACCGTTTCCTTCCTCTTTTGTGACTGTTCTGCCATGGCTCTTTATGAGATCTGTTACAGCTGTGTGTGTGTGTAAGTAGGTGAGTAAATATGTCGGTTGGTTCTTCTATCGTTGTACCCACAAGGATAGTAAAACAAGGAAAATTCTCCCTCGTGGGAGGACAAAGGCTATTTTAAGCTTAGGGGTTAGGTTTAGTGTTACAATTAGAGTTGGGGCAGGGTTTCCCAAACTCGGTCCTCGGGACCCCAAGGGGTTTTGGCGCTAGCACTACACAGCTGATTCAAATAATCCTCTGGTTGTGTTAGTTTCTCTCAGCCAGCACAGGGGCCACAGCACTAGCCTACATGTTGAACAACAAGTCAGTCAGATGACTTCACTTAGCACTGAGCTAAACCCTGCACTGTGATGGCTCCCTTTCTCACACAAGGTTGCAATCTAAAGTTGAAGAAAAAGCGCTTGTGAATCAGAATTTGTATAACAAGTAAAGCATTTTTTTTTTTAAACAAAAAAAGGTTCTCTAAACATTCTCTCCGTTACATTGTGGGTGTGTGAATCAAGACAGGGTAAGCCTACTGGGCTAAAGCCTAGAGAAACTAACTCCTCTCACTAGTTCAGTGTAGAGGCTAGAATGCTCAGTAAACACCTTCCTCGCCAGGGAGATGACAGAGGAGAGAGGGGGTCTGGGAGGAGGAGGAGAGGATAAGACAGGAAAGGAGAGGAGAACAGGATCAGGACAAATGGAGGAGAGAGATAGTGTCAGAGGAGTACAGGGAGGGCAGTCTGTCTGCTTTTTCCACCAGAGGAACAGTATGTCCCATAATAACAATAGAACAGAGGGAGCATCGGCTGGCCTGTCATATGTGAACTGCTCCAGAGCAGCTTCTATTGCAATTAGACATTATTAATAGAACCACTGTGACAGACCGACAGGGAGCAAATAGCACACATAATCTATATGAGGGGTAAGGGAAAGAACGGGTGGAGTCCCGTGTGGCTCAGTTGGTAGAGCATGGCACTTGCAACGCCAGGGTTGTGGGTTTGATTCCCACGGGGGACCAGTACAAACACATTTGAAAATGTATGCACTCACTACTGTAAGTCGCTCTGGATAAGAGCGTCTGCTAGATTACTAAAATGTAAATGTGATCCAGCAGGAAAGGCCAGATCTGTCTCTCTAGCTCAGTAAAAGTGTGTGTGTGTAGTTGTTTACAATTGGCCATGCAACAACAACAAAACATCTGCAGTGTGTAGTACAGTAAGTGTGTGTGATTTAATTACTATATGTACAGTGTGTGTTTACCACATCCATGGCCCATATGTCAGAGCCATGAACCCTGGGTTATTATTAAAGGTAAAGCCAGTCAGTGTGTTCAGGACAGGGGTTAAATCTCAGCCTTGTGGTGTTGGAGGACATGTTTACACCCTGACATTGGGTAGGGAGTCATGTTACAGTGTCAGTAGGCTGTAGGATGGGGTGTAGGACACTGATGGTGTGGGGTTTGTTGTGTGGTAGGAAAAACTATCTCTGATTGTGCTTCCTTTGTCTGACAGTGGTTGCTGTGTGACCACATCAAACCTCTGAAGTAGTTACAGGCCCTGCCTATTGTCTGACTAGTGACAACAGGTCCCAGTAGATAGAGACAGAGCTAGTACAGAAGAGACAGGCCTATTGTCTTACTACAGATCTCAGAACAGAAGATATAGATAGGAATATTGCCTTACTACAGGCCTCAGAACAGTAGATAGAGACAGGCCTATTGTTTGACTCCATGTTTGGTGGTAACCAAAACAAACAGAGGCTGAATGTCTTCTGATTGACTGTAATGTGATAAGGCCAAAGAGTATCAGCTAGCTGCTCTGAACTCCAATGAGCTGCTGCTGTTGTTGTCCCTACAAGAATCATAACCAACCTTGGATTAATGACAAGCATGTTGAAGCAATCACTACATTAGTAGACTATGTCCAAGCAGGCAGGCAGGGTGCATACAATACAGTCCATGTATTCCTAATAGAGCTGGCATTACAGACCACTGCTGCTGTGGTTGCATAACCCTGACATGAAAACAAACAAAGCTGGCTGCCCAGCAGGCTTCATGTAAATCATACATCATGTTAACACACAGACAGTCCAGCAGGCAGAGAGCAGATCGAAGTCTCTGATCATGGTGATGATTCAGGGTCACAGTGAAGATGTTCAGTTCGAACAAAGGCATTTGAGCATTGCAGCATACCCATACCAGAGACTGACAGAATAACGCAGAGCTCTCAGGCACACAAAGGAAGCTTGAGCGGCTTTATCATGCAGTCAGCTGTTCCACCATGTCAGTGTGACCTGGTGCATTTTGTTCCCCAAAAACAGCTTTTTTACAGAAATGACAAGATGACATTATGTTGTTATAATTGAACCACTGCTCAGATATCTGTAGCCATGTTGTTAACCTATCCATTGTGTAATTTGGCAGTCAGAACGTCCTAATTTCCGTGGCCTCACTGGGTCAGGTTGACTTTGTTATCAACACAGGCAGGCAGCAAGCAAGTTAACCAGCTGTTACATCACTCTCTCTCTCTGCCCCCGATTCCTCTCCCTCTTCCGGGGGACTGCCTGGCTGGCTACATTCTGCTGGTCCAACAACACACACTGCCAACGATGGATAATTTCAATATGATCATCATGACCCTATTAGTACTGCAATGATTGGCACTGTAGTGTAGGCTCACACAGACGCATACCATTAACAGTATAGCTACTGCTAGTTGGCATAGAATAAATCCTTGTAGATCAGCTTACCTCGCTCTGGTTTCATGTTAGCCAGTGTCATCTGGATCCCTCTGGGAATCTGGCAGCCTCTTATGTCTGTCTGTCTTCGGTCTGAAGACTCCCGTCCACACAGCCCTGACAGCAATATAATGATGTGTGTCTGAATGTGTGGATCCAAATCTTCCAAAGGATTGCTGACTTACTGCATTAAGCAACAATACCAGCTGGGTAGCCTGTATGCTGCCAATCGCCCCCTACCTGACAAAGCAACGCTTTGTTAGCAAACTGCTACTGTACAGGTCCATCGAGTCGCACTGTTAACTGGCCAACGTACAGTTGAGCTAGCTAGCTAAATCTGACCGTCAAACGATAGATTAGCTCCGAGCTATTGGTTTGTCAACCACCTAGTTAGCCAACAAGGCATTGAGCTGACAACCTGACTGTCTACCCCCCAAAAATAAACGTCTCAAATTCCACCACCAAAACCACAGCAGTAGTCCCGTCACGAAGCATCTCTCTCTTTCAGCTTGTTGTGCTACTGTAACCTCACCTACTTGGCTTAGCTAACGTGGCTTTAGCTAGCTGACCAAGCAAACAACACACAGGCATCTGATCTGATGACAACCTTCTCAAACAAACACCCCAACCCCCACGCGCAGGTAGCTAGAGTGATCCACCTCAGCTAACAGTGGGCTCGAGTCTAGAGGACAGACCTCGTTCAACGGATCATTCTGAAAAACAGCCAACGTTAGCTAGATAGCTAAACGTTGTGTTGTCCAGAAGCATCGGCTCCACTTGTCGTCTTGGAAACATAGTGAGGTAAAGTAGCCACATCCCTTGTCAGTTACCTAGTTATTGTTGGTTAGCTTTCTCTCATATCAAAAGTTTGTCAGAAAACAAAGCTGACCATCTATTTCCCAACTCGTTGCAGCGGTTAGCGAGATTTTTTATTCCTCCAAAACAACGGTTCGCTGGCTAGCTAACTTCGTCCAACTCGATAACACAGTACAGGCGCATACCGTTCGCAACAAAATTATATTTTGTGCTCTTTCTTATCCATAAACGATTTTGTGTGCTCTTTCCCCCTTCCCCTCTCTCTACCAATGTCCCCTTGTCAAAACAGATCAGCGCAGTCTTTTCTGAGTCACGTGTCCCAACAACAGCTAGACCACTTTCCTGTATCTGCCCTCGAGTGAACCTGCTGCGATAGCAACCGTGATCTCTAAACTTTTTGGTTACAGTTTGACAATGTGTCAAGATGACAACAAATACCATACACTAAAACACGGTTCAAAGTAACAATATAACTATGTGTAAGGGTACCTCAGGCCATGATTGATACATTGTAGCGGGACGGCCACTGCTCTGCTTTGATTGGATGGTGGATTGAATGCGCGTTCACGTCTGCACGTGTATTATTTTTTATGTGAACATTTTGTTCAGATACAGATTAGTGATGCGTTCACGTGTTGCTCCTCTGAGTTTTATATTTCGTAGTTGTGATGTCGGAAATATGAGTTCATTTTATTAATGTGCTTTTTGGTCTGAATAATTCTTCAACCAATATGATTAGCAGATTTTAGCTAGCTTGATAAATCAAATCAAATGTTATTTGTCACATACAGGTGTTTAGCAGATGTTATTGCGGGTGTAGCGAAATGCTTGTGTTCTAGCTCCAATGGTGCAGTAATATCTAACAAGTAATATCTAACAATTTCACAACATATACCCAATACACACAAATCTAGTAAGGAATGGAATTTAAGAATATATACATATATGGACAAGCAATGACAGAGCAGCATGGACTAAGATACAGTAGAAAATTATAGAATAGAATACAGTATATACATATGAGATATATGAGTGCCAGATATGTAAACATTATTAAAGTGATGAGTGTTCCATTTCTTAAAGTGGCCAGTGATTTCAATAGGCAGCAGAGGCCTCTAATGTGCTAGTGGTGGCTA